GTTGAACTCTTCCATGCAATCCAGACTCGCTATAGGTGCACGGCAGCTGCGCGTTCAACACATACGTTTACTATTAATAGGAAAGGATCGATCGAATGCTCGATATAACCGCGCAAACGTTTGCTACGAATACGCGTCGCATCGATGAGCGATTTCGAAGTCGATCCTCCGATTTCCGATCGAACGCGATCCGAGAAACCGCGCTCGCTCTGCCGTCCGCGCACGATCAATCGATTACGAATCCTCCATCGACTCATGCTCGATAAATGTAAGTGCAAATGCTTGTATCTCGATTATGTACCGCGATCGTGTTTCGAATTCCGAGTAACGCGTCGATAAGAAAAAGTCCATAGGAAACGGAACGTTTGTGGCTGTCGCAGGCATACGCAGGGCGATGAGAATTCACTCACCGATAAATAGTGGGCAGCGGATAGTAGTCGTCATCCTCCATGCTACTGTTCGTATTCGCATTGTTATTCGTATCGTTTCCTGCCGTGGACGTGGTGCCGAGATTGCACAGCATTAAACGCGACATCGTTGAGCGTGTCCGGATCCTGTTCGGATCGCGTTTCGGAGTGTCTTTGAGAAGTCAAAAGAGTTTCGGAGAAACGCGACGGTGGAAAGATCCGATCGATCTATCAAATACGAGACTTCGATTCGTTCTCGAAGAGAGCAGCGAGCTTCGACGATCGTTCGTCACGTTCGATTCTCATAATTTGTCGACGAACCGATGAAATTCGCGCGTTCCATTGATCGTTTGGAGAAAATCGTAGGTACCGTTTTTGTTACGGTTCGGAGCGGAACGATATAAGGACTTGATTTGTCAACGATCAAATCGAGGATCGTAAGGGAAGAAAACGAAGAGAGAACGGAGCATTCGGCCACTCGAGCAGCATCGGTCGATCGTTAAATGCAACCGAAACGTTTCCTTTCTGGTAGTCGTTTTTCAAAGTCGTACGATTTTCCTGTACGATCGCGCGGACGTGTTACATCATAGGCACTAGATTTTCTTTGCTCTTACGTTATTTAGGCACCGCAGTAAAGAACTTCGACATGGTTCTTGTACGACTATTCCGACAGGATTCGTGGCATCGTCGTTCGCGGATATTTACGAGCGATTTAACGGGCCTCGATCGAGATGCCGTTGAAAAATTGTGACAGGTAATAATCTGTCGATAAAGTATATTCCACTCGTTACGACGCGTAGGAACGAACGGTGGACGATATGATTTTCGATATGCGATAACCGGGCAGCAGCGACGAATTTACGGAAAGCACTCGCTCGCGCGAATTCGCTAGCTTACTGAGGAATTCGTGAGCTAGGTCGATAACGTCGATTCCGTGAATTCCGTGAATTCCATAAATTCCATTGATTCCGATTGCAACGTTTGGTATCGATGGCAACGCGTTGCTTCCACTGCCACTTCCACTTCCACTACCACTTCCACTTCCACTTCCACTTCCGCTTCTGTTTCCAACTTTGATCCGAATTTCTTCGATTTCGGTTTAGCCCTCGATCTCGGTTTCGACTTCTTCGATCCGGCTTTGAATCGCGACTGCAAGCCCGGATACCGCGCCAGTTCCAGCATCAATCGACGTGCTCGATCGCGTAAAAGCATTCGACGCGTACCGACTATCTTTGCGATCTTTCTTTCGACTCGAAATAATCGCCGTTCGCGTCTCGCTAGCAGCGAGACACCTTTTCTCGCATGGTCGATCCACGACTCGCGAGTTCCGCGGAAGGACGTTGACGATTATCGGAGAAAGGAAAAGAAGGAAAAGAAAAAGAAGAAGAAGCAAACGACCGGAACGCGAAACGAAAAATCGGTTAAATTATTAGGATCCTATCGCAAAGACGGCGAGTGTTATGCCTCCTACGTGGTAAGCAACACTGCACAACTTCGATACACCGCGACTCCCTCCTTTTCGGCGATAGGTCACGAGCGTGCGTGCCTTCGCGTTTCTCTTCCGCCGCGGATCCTTCGGTTTCAGTTTCGGACCGAGCGTTTGCGCACGCCCGCGGCTGCGCGTCCTTCTTCGTTCCTCGCAACTACCCCTTCCTGCTTTCCTGCCTTCCTGCTCGCCTCTCGCCTCCTTCTTCCATCCCGCAACAGAGGGTTGCGGTTGTTTTCAGAGCGCATGACGTTACCTACGTCGCATTCAACGCATTCAGCGCATTCGCCGCATTTGTCGCATCGAGCCTCTCTCGGAATTACTTACGTCTCTCTCGCTTGTCTTTTGCCCCGAGTTCCATGGACCACGTTTCGCGTTCCATGCCTCGTGCTCGGTATTCTATCGAATCTCGCGGCCGGACGATCGAACGTTTCGATTCGTTCCGGCACCGAGTAAATCTATAAATTTCGAGCGCCATAAACGCGCTCGCGTATGGACTCCCGTCGAGGAGTATCTACCTATCCATCTGGCCTATTTGTCTGACCGAACGCGGCACGCATGCGTGCGCGCGATCACGAGCCGGAATAGGTAGAGACGCGTGTACGTAGAAAATATCCGCGATCGCGTGTACCGAGTAATAGCGGGTAAACGCACGGTTAACTATAGAACGCGCGAGGGTGCGCGAATAGAAAACGAAACGGTAACAGTCTCCGCGACAACGCCGCATTGCGGATCCGTTGTGGTGACGCGCAACTGACCCCTTCCTTCTTCAACCGTTCTGTGGCCGCCCACGTTGTTCGACCTACCGACCTAATACAAGCTCGACCTACTGCCACCTGACCCGACACACCGATCCACCTCTGATTACGCTTCACCCCGTGTTACGTGTTCTCGATAACGCGATCGTGGTGTCCTCGTGTGCCTCTTTTCTCCTTTCTTCTTCTCCGGCCACGTTACCTTGCCATGCCACGCCGCCATCGACCGTTTCACCGATGCGAACACGAGACTCGACGATATTTTTCTCCCGTTCGATTTACCGATTATTCCTCTCGAAAAACCCGTACGCGTCGTAGAAACGTTCCTACCGTACGGTTTGCACCGAAACGAGCGTTCTTGTACCTACCTGTCGATAATCCGCAGCGATCCGACGCGTTTCTGCTCCTCGCCAAAACGAATCTGCGTCGCGTGGCGATCCTGTTCCCTTCTCGAATTCCTACATGTATACTCCTTCGTTGAAATCGTGCCAAACGTTTCGAAAACATTGATTACAATTGCCAACGGACAAACGCGTTGCGATCGCGGAACGACCGACGCCTCGCGTCGCGATCTTTCGATTGCCGATGAATCGCAGCATCCGTTGTGTCAACGCAAGCGCGTTCGCCGTTGTCGGAGACAGAGGATAGCCGATTTGTTTTAATAACTTATTACAGTACTTTATTATTAAACTCGTTAAGTTGTAGATTACCTAAACGTACACCCCCTGCGGAAAATTTCAGTACACGCCAATGCCTTTTGTCGAATAAACTCGACCGAGTCGATCTTTCCGTTTCGGTAATCGATTATCATGATTTATGCGCGACGATAATCGATTATCGCAACCGTTTGTGCGTAATTGGGCGCGTACGCGAATCCGTATAAACGTGAACGCGCGTACCTGTTACGTAACATTCGCGAAATGACGCGTCCGTGGAAGCGGCAGTCTTTTCTACGCTATCGTATGTCGTACGCTATGTACCGATCGGACGTATTCGTCACAAGCACTTTTCTTCCTTTCCGATTATTTGCCCTATGTTATTTACTCTCCTTTACAATTGTTCTATCGTTTCGCCGATGTTCCACTCGAAACTAATTCAACGCGAACGTTTTTCTCTTCTTACGTTAGACTTCCGAAATTCGTACACGCACGAAACGATACTACGCGATGGCGAGTGTCTTTACCGTTTTTACCAGAGGACAAAATCTTCTTCTCCTTTCTCTTCGTCTTCTTTTCCTCCTTCTTCTTATTCTCCTCCTAAGTCTTCCTCTTCCTCTTCGTTCTACTCCTCTTCGACTTCCTCTTCCTCTTCCGGTTCCCCTTATTCTTCTGCTCCTTATTCTTCCTTCGCTTTCCTCTTCTCTTTCTCCGTTTCTTCTTTTTCTTCTTCTGTTCTTCTTCTCGGTGTTCTTTGCTCGTTTCTTTTAACTTCTCGTGTTCTTTAATCGTCGATACTTACACGATAGCGCAATAGAAAGAATTCGAAAGATGGAAATGGTATGAACGAGAAAGTTTAGATCGTAACGAAGAAAGTAGGCTCGAGTGTACGAACAAAAGGACATAAAAGGACAAAAGGGACGGTACCGCGGCGGAAAAGAACGAAGAGAGAATAGAATACAAAGAGGAGAAAGAGAGAGAGACGAAGGGAAAGAAATGGAGATAAAAGAATAAAAGAGTATATGGCTCGAATGGATAGAAATAGATATGAATCGTTGTCGTTTGGTTCGCGAAAGAGAAATAACGTCGACCGAGTCGATCTTTCCGTTTCGGTAATCGATTATCATGATTTATGCGCGACGATAATCGATTATCGCAACCGTTTGTGCGTAATTGGGCGCGTACGCGAATCCGTATAAACGTGAACGCGCGTACCTGTTACGTAACATTCGCGAAATGACGCGTCCGTGGAAGCGGCAGTCTTTTCTACGCTATCGTATGTCGTACGCTATGTACCGATCGGACGTATTCGTCACAAGCACTTTTCTTCCTTTCCGATTATTTGCCCTATGTTATTTACTCTCCTTTACAATTGTTCTATCGTTTCGCCGATGTTCCACTCGAAACTAATTCAACGCGAACGTTTTTCTCTTCTTACGTTAGACTTCCGAAATTCGTACACGCACGAAACGATACTACGCGATGGCGAGTGTCTTTACCGTTTTTACCAGAGGACAAAATCTTCTTCTCCTTTCTCTTCGTCTTCTTTTCCTCCTTCTTCTTATTCTCCTCCTAAGTCTTCCTCTTCCTCTTCGTTCTACTCCTCTTCGACTTCCTCTTCCTCTTCCGGTTCCCCTTATTCTTCTGCTCCTTATTCTTCCTTCGCTTTCCTCTTCTCTTTCTCCGTTTCTTCTTTTTCTTCTTCTGTTCTTCTTCTCGGTGTTCTTTGCTCGTTTCTTTTAACTTCTCGTGTTCTTTAATCGTCGATACTTACACGATAGCGCAATAGAAAGAATTCGAAAGATGGAAATGGTATGAACGAGAAAGTTTAGATCGTAACGAAGAAAGTAGGCTCGAGTGTACGAACAAAAGGACATAAAAGGACAAAAGGGACGGTACCGCGGCGGAAAAGAACGAAGAGAGAATAGAATACAAAGAGGAGAAAGAGAGAGAGACGAAGGGAAAGAAATGGAGATAAAAGAATAAAAGAGTATATGGCTCGAATGGATAGAAATAGATATGAATCGTTGTCGTTTGGTTCGCGAAAGAGAAATAACGGTCGAATAATGGGTCGAGAAGGGTTTCGTGGAAGCGAGACGAGGGAAAAAGTAGTTTCGCATAATATAAAACAGCATTGTTCGGTTCACCGTGTTGCTCGTAAGTTTCGGAGATAACGTACGAGAGGACTCGATTAAAAACCGTGTGGAATATCATTAAGCGACTCTACATTCGATCCCGGATCACTTGACCGTCCTCTGGCACGTGGGTAAATTCACCCTAAAGAATACATTCAGTTCTATCAACGATGCCAATATGAGAAAGACGGCGTACATACATAAACAGGCTCGTCCCACTTTTCTATCGAGCTGAAACTTGTTCGAAGCGAAAGCAATATAAAGCAACATCAATGTCGACAACAACGATATAGCGCTGTACTCGAGTCCACCAGAGTTTATACTGATGTAATGTTTTCCAGGTTGCGTCGGTGAAAACGAAGATTTAATTAGCCACGGCAGACCCAGGCACAACAATATGTCGAAGGTGTTCGATCCTATCGAGTTGCTGATACCCATCGAACCGTGACCTGATACAGAACAAATTCATCCAAGATTTAGCGCCTCGCCGCACCGTACTGTCCCGGCGATCGATCAACGTCCACCGGTAACATCCTTCGCTATTTATTATTTATCGCTATTTCCACTACGCATCGCGACTTAATCGTTTTTAAGAACGCGTTACCTTGTTTCGCCACTATTACGCTCGACACAGCCTCCGGGACGCTGGTACCAGCCGCCAGAAAAGTAATACCCATCACGGAATCCGGTATTTTCAGTGTGTCACCTGAAAATCGAATTCTCTATAACATCTTTTACCAGCTATTACTCTTATCCATCTCGCGCGACTTTCTTTCTTACCGATTATAGTGATCATCCATGCGACTACGTAGCTCAAAGATCCGATCCAAATGATGCACATCAGAAACGTGACCGGAAACCAGTTCTTGAATCGGGGCTTCTCGCAATCCGGTATCGTACACATGAAAATCAAATGAATCGGCCAAGTCAAAATCCAGGCAGTTTTTCTTATCCATCCAGCTCGTGCCGGCCAGACCAACAGCTCGTACTCGTAACCTGTACATAATTTTTAAAAAAGACGCAACACTTTCGCTCGCTTCTTTTCTCTTTCCTTCTCTTATCTTCTCTTCTCCTCGCTTCTCTTCTCCTCTTCTCCTCTCTTCCCTCTCTTTTCGAAATTTGGTACTACCACGAACGCGAGATACGTTTGCATACGCCGATACAGACTACCTACCTCTATACCACGCGCATATTATACGTGTTTCGCGTAAAACGACCAAGCGTTTCGATTCGTTCCATCGCGCGTATTTAAATGCAAAGATCGCGCGATATCGTTCGTCGCGAGAATACCGTTTCTAGACGAGTTCTCTTTTTAATCGAAAACACTTACTAGGCTCAGGGTTTTCTTCTTGCGTTTTCGTCCCTCCGTTTTGTAACGGCACGTCCACGTGTTCGGCTTGATCACCAATCTGCATTTTGTCGGATCCTGCCAAGCGAATTTCCGTGCTGCCTTCTGAAATACATTTTCCACATTTCCGTTCGTTTTTCGATTCGATAATGCACGTTGTATCTATGCATCGTTCGAATATCGTGAGATTTTCACCTGTGGCAGCGACTCGATGATCGTCCGACAAGGACTGATCAGCGTTGTGCGCGCGAAATCGCGTGCACCGTTGAAACGATTTGTCCCAGTACATGACGGCGATATAAACGATGTACAGTAGAACCAACGTCAACGCTTCGTACCATTCGACCCGCTCGTCGTGTATGATACAAATCAGAATGGCGACCGTGACGCCGTACGCGAGACAGTCTCTGCTAACCGGCCACCAGTCCAAGGGAACTACCTGTACAGATCGATTAACGAATCGTCAGTCGTTCCGATCGATGGCGAACTTCCACGATCTTGACATTCGAAGCTTAAAAAAGTTACATGGTTGATCCGCACCTATTCGGATGCACTTACCATTCCAGCACCGATACCGCAACAAGCCGGTACCGCAAGAATGTTGAATACAGCCGAGCCTACTATTGTTCCGACACCGATGTCACCCTCGGTGATGAACGTGCCGATCGCGTTCACGAACAGTTCCGGTGCCGACGTAGCCGCGGCCATAAAGGTGGCACCAGCGACATCCTTCGACATCGACAGCGCTGCAATTTCAAGCATTTTCTTATCGTTATTTGCTCGAGGAACGCAAACATTCTGTTTTATTTTGCCGCCATTCTACTGGACCAAAAGCAGAATTTTTTTGCATAATACTTTTCTTACCGTGACATATTTTTTCCACGGCAGGGACAAAAAACTTATCGCACACTACCGCTAAGGCGATGAACAGGTAAAGCGAAACGATCACGTGTACGACTACAGCTCCGTCCTGCCTCTGCTTCTCGTCGAAAAGATCGTGCGGAAAGTCTTCTATTGCCGGGGGTGTACAATTTATGCCTGAAACGCGGAAGATATTTAATGAATATATTCTTCCTAATCCATCCACCAACGGACGCGGTCGTTGTGTCTACGAATTAACACCGAACGACGTGTAATTGCGACGAAATTCTCGATCGGATAAATTTTCTTTCCCTTCCCTTTTCTCGATGCATCGAACAAGAAAGTGATAGTTAAATAAAGCGGCAACGAGGTTAATCGGAATGGAACCTCTTTGGATACGTTCGAGTCCGAAATATTTTGATTGATTAGAACGGAAGATATATAAATGTAAACGCGGGAGATTTAAATGTTACGGTATTGCTAGAGCGGACTCGGCTTCGATGAGTCGCCGCGCCGGTGCAGATGCACGAATCGTATCGTTAACCGATTTTGGTCTAGGTTATTACGTAAGTTTCGACGACCTTGCGTAGCTGGTACAGCGCACTTGGACACAAACGTCGAGTACACGCTCCACTCGGTGATTACACGATAATTGGTCGCATTCGCTCTAGTAGCTGCCGTGAGCACAAATATAATCAGTTCACTGACCTTCGTCGTTCCTCTATCGAATTGGTTTCTTCGTAAAATTTCTTGTTCGTGAAACCGAATGCTGGTACAGGGACGATTGCGATAATGGACACGGCGATACCGTTTGCCGGCAATTAAACTCGATGCTAAACAAATACCGTGTTCGTTGACGCGCTACGCAGTTGGCGATGTCGTGCAATTTTTATTTTCATCGTAAATTACGTGCGCATCCTTCGACATCTCGACGACGTAGCCGACCGATGCTAAAATTGAATAAAGTCGAATGACTGAATTCGTGTTTACCGGGGCATTAACGTTCACGAATAAAACCACACGCACGAGAGAGACCGAATCAACGATCAAACGAACGATCGCGTGTCTCGACGTTTCGAACAATCGAATTCGTTTTTTCTACGTTTTATACATCGCCCGATAGTAATTATTTCGGTGCACGTTCAAAGGCGAAGAACTTTAAACGTTACGGAAGAAGAATCGTTTGTGCAATTGCTCTCTCACCCTCCTCTTTAACTCTCTCATTCTCTCTTTGGCTCTGTCTCTCCCTCTCTTTCTCTCCGGCGACATTCTTGTTTCACGATCGAAATCATACCTTTGTACGTTTAGACACTAGAACATTTGAAATACATTTATACGTGTAGATGCTCGCCGAGGACAGATGTACCGAGCAGGCGGCAGCGATAAGTGCAAGAAGAAAATAACGTCAAATTACCGGACGAATCGCGTAATTTTGCTTACAGATAGATCCGGTCCACTTCGTCTAGCTTTCGATCGATAAACTGATCGTGAACGCGTTGTCGAAGATACCGATCAATGGTAGATATACAATTATCGAAATCGGATATGACGGAGAAAGGGGAGGACCGAATCTAAGATTGTAAAGAACCAACGGAAACATTCGATCGACGATTTATTTTACCGAACGATCGTTCGAGCTTTCGACAGCTAGCGGAGATCCTGATGTGCGCAAGGAAGCTTCAAGGTAGTTGTTCTACCGCCTCCTGGTACCTGCCTATTCCGGCAAAAGTTACTTTGCCGATTTCGTGGATCGACTCTGTTTCCATCTTTACCCTTGTTCCTCATTTCTTTTCGTGAACTTTCATTTTTCGATCTCAATAATCGATTTTTCTCCTATGACTTCTCGTAATCGACGTAACGAAGCAAACGATGCACGTATTGGTGTCTCGTACAGGTTACACAGCTGTATAGTTGATGTGACTTCCTACCGATTAAGCAACCTAAAGAAGTTAAATTGCTCTCATTCAAGTTGGCAGAGGAGATGCCATTCATGTCTAATGTACGTCGTATAAACTAGATATAACGTGGCTCGGCTATTCGGCGTCGAACGGTTTCGTCTCGTTGGAAACGAACGATGGCCACCGGAGCTCGATTACCGATCATTAATAGTCGCTCCTTAATTGATAACGCGTTGGTTGATCCTTCTATGTACAAGCGGTAACGCGCTTCTTAAAAAACAAATTAAAGGCCTGTTGCTCGGTACACGTTCGCTGTTTTTCGAAAAGTTATCCTGGAAAACGAACGACTTTCTCTGCTTTCGCTGCTGATTAGACCAAATACATCGCTGTTTTTACTATTCTTTCGCATTACCGAGAGGATAGTACCGGTGAAATAAAGAAGATACAAGTTGGAATCGTCGAACGTCAACGACACGCAACACCGAACTACAAGCGTTACACCTCCGTACGCGCTTTGCGAATAAAAGAACTGTTACGCGTTCATCGGCGCGTTTTGTCGTCGCAACGTTTTTAGGTACACAACTTACCAAATCCCCTAAAAAAATAATGAATATTTCAGGGAGGGAGAGAGAGGGAACTTCGATGTAAAAAGATAATTAAGAATAGGAAAGTAGACTTCTGTCTCGATCGAAAATCCTGCGTCCATCTTTAGCAAACGATAATCGTGAACCAAACCAATACCGCGCGAAACGTAACGTCACGCGACACGCCTGAAATGTTTAATGCTTTGTGCTAAAATGCACCGTTTCTCAAGAACCGCTCACTCGCACCCTCTCTCTCTAACCCCCTCTCCAACCCCTTCGCACCTAATCCATCCATTTATCTCTCCGTTTTTTAAAATTCTTTCTTACTTCCTCTGCCTCATTTTTCACCCCGTTCGCGCCATTTTACTGCTTCCTTCTGTTGGACTTTTTCTTACGTTCTCCTGTTTTCTTTCGCCGATCGTCGTCGATGCCGATATCTAAACACCATCCATCCTGCTGTATCTCCTCCTCCTCCTTTTCCTCCACCTCCTTCTCTTTCTCCTTCTTCTCCTCCCCTTGCTACGTTTCCTTTTGCTCCTTCTCTTCCTATGCCACCACCTCCTTGTTCGATACTTCGATTTTCAATCGTATCCTGTTCTATCGATCACGATTCTTGAAACACACCCCTCACCTTCCCGCCCAGCCGAATCGAGCGTTCCCGTATCAACCGAAACCGATTTACCGTGAAAAAAGCATCGATTCTCGATGGTATTCAAAATATATCCAACAAACCTCCTCCTAAGTCGGACGTATCCATGTTGTCAATCCCGTTGTCACACATATACTACATTAACAACTACTCCGAAGTCCGGCAGCGTTTGTCGGAATCGCCCCTCCCTCTGCTGACTCTTCTCTTCTCATCTCTCGCGCATCGCGCCTGCTGAATCGTGCCGCGGTCAAAATGCGAAATCGTCATTGCACTAATCGTCGTTATGGCTTCCTTGAAAATTGAACGTGGCATCGTACATATTTCGTTCGGGCTCGCCATCGCGAAGCGAAACGTCTCGATCGCTGTTTATTCGTTTTCGATGGCGCGTTCCCGCATCCTGCGTGCTCTCTTGCTCTACTCCCTCGATACCATTCTATTCTTTTTCCTTATTTTTCTCCTTTCGCATGAACACGTTAGTCGTCAAAATTGTCCTACCAGAGTCACGTATCGAAGTAGCACGAAATAAGCGCGTACGAACGGTACTACTGGACGGAGAGACAGAAGGGGATTCGAAAGATACGTCGAAGTATAAAATTGTGAAACGTCAAAGAGGGTAGCGATACTGCGAAATTGCAACCACCGTTTGCGGTATAAACGATAATTGCTGAAATGTAACGAAAAGGGGGAAATATCGACGTTGAACAAATGCTGGAGACAGAAAATCGGTACACGATGAAAAAGAAACATCTACGGTGCTTCAAAAGTTGGAAGTATCGTCGAGTGACGAATACGATAATATACATATGTGCTGCTTCAATTTTTCCTACGCACCTTGTATATTATATCTATATGTACATATACAGATGGATACATGTATATATTGCATATTACAATACAAGGTACTTCAGTAACAGGATTATTGTTCGGATTATCAGCAAAGGGATGTCTTGATTCGCTTCGCGTAGTATCTTATCTGTGTAAAGTTGAGACCGATAATGTTCGTAAACGAAAAACACCGATGCGGTTTACCGTTCGAGTTAGCAATGAAAATTAGTATCGCACGGAACGGCACGTCGCGCATCGTTGATTCGATTACCGAAGCTTCTTTTCAATTAATTGACATTGATCAATTTTACAATGGCGCGAAGACACAGAGGAACGATTGGCTATAAAATAGTCAGCGTAATCATCGTTCCAACAATATACCTGATTTTCGTAAATACTTTAACGTTATTTCTTCCAACCGAGTCGGATCCGTCTGCAATTAACCCCACGAATACGCGTAAGTCTGGATTTTTCAAACCCTCCTTGGACCACGGCTATTTCCTTCCTGTTCACCCGTTTCGACAATTCATGTTTTTCCTTTTAAATTCGAGTTTCTTTCTCGCTCTGTATTCGCTTCAGAAGCTATTTACTATTTCCTAGAACAGCAACGATAACGTACATGAAAAGGTATCGAGTGGGGGTATTACTCGTGCTATATCGCGTTAAATAGAATGAGAAAGCGAAGAGAGAGAAGGAGCGAAAAAGAAAAAGAACAATATACCGTAAGGCTAAAATTTATAATGAATCATTACATAATATACCTCGTGGTGTCCGTATGCGTATCGTGAATTACTTCGAATTTACAAAAAAACAGATACGTGAATTCTAAAGGTTCTGTCCCTTTTCTCGTTTATTTCCTTTTTTATCATTACTCTCGATCGCACTTTGCCACCGTTCGTGCCGTGAAAACACATGTACGATATCGTTCAAGATTACACTTACCGACCGAGTCTCCATCCTTTATTTCCCTATTATTTTTTTTCAAGAATTTCGAAAACTGCTGCAAATCGACCCGATCTCCACCGAACCAGGAGGGAACGAAACCGTCAATTGTACTCCGCCGGCCATCAAAGAATTCCCATCCGATGGCCTCACGCGGGATCAAAGACAATCCGGATTTATAATCATACATTTCATAATAGCCATTTACATGTTTCTCTTGCTCGCCATCGTTTGCGACGATTTCTTCGTGCCATCGCTGAAAAAGATCTGCAACAGTAAGTGTCGTAACGTTCGTTGTACATCCCACAGGGAAATCGCAAAGTAATTTCCATTTTCAGAGATAAACGTGACAGAGGATGTCGCAGGAGCGACGATCATGGCGGCGGCTAGTTCTAGTCCGGAGCTGTTCATCAACATCGTAGGGACTTTCGTGACGGAAGGAGACTTGGGTGTCGGTACCATCGTGGGTTCCGCTGTCTTCAACATTCTAGCCGTACCTGCTTGTTGCGGTTTATTCGCGAATCAGGTGCGATAGTTTCTTTCACTTTATCGTTACCTTCCACTTGAACTTCGTCGATCAAGATGCGTCCAAGATTACAGACCAAGAAAAGGAGAGGAAAGCAAAGAACAGAAACACTAATGAAACAAGTTTATTCTCTCAGGTGTTAAATTTGGAATGGTGGCCCGTCACTCGAGATACTATCGCGTATACAATTACGGTTCTGTTACTAATTTTGACCTTACGAGATGGTTATATCCAGTGGTACGAAGCGTTGATCCTCATCGTTTTTTACATTTTATACATTGTTGGTAAGTGAAAACAGAAAAGAGATATTCGACGATTTTTTAACGAGAACTTTTCATTTCAGTAATGTGCTGCAATCGAAATATAAAAGGATTTCTTAAACGCACAACGAATAGCAGAAAAGGGTATACAAATATTACTGAAAAGAGTCCCTTGATTTCTAACGGTATAGTTTTATTTCTTTTCTTTATTATTTGTCTGTTGTGAGTATATGTAGTAATAATTGAACGTATTAACAGTCTGTTCTTTCTTTCTCAGACATCGCCAAAAGCACGGACATACACGAGCTAGAATCGTGCAAGGAAGAAGACGAGTCGCGTAAGTGAACTGTTCGATATTTACATTTACATCAAGTTCATTAATTGACAATTAAGATTAACCTTCAAAAATACTATTACAGTTGAAATCGTAAGCATAACGAATTGGCCAAGCAGTACGTGCGAAAAGTTATGGTGGGTGGCCACTTGGCCGATCAATGTCATACTTCTCATCACGATACCCGATTGCCGGAGAAATTCGTTGAAATCGTGGTATCCTATCACTTTTCTCATGTGCATAATATGGATAGCGACTACTTCGTACGTGGTCGGATGGGTCATCACCGTGATCGGTATGTTCCTTGTGCTTTTTCAAGCAATTTTAAGTTTCCGCTAGTAAACCATCGTTAATAAGTCGCTTGAAATGATCCAAGTTCCAAGTTTTACGTGTCGCGTGACTATCGATCATTATTACAGGCGATACGTTTAAAATTCCGGACTCCATAATGGGATTGACCTTTCTGGCGGCAGGAATGAGTGTACCGGAGGCTGTGTCAAGCGTCATCGTCGCGAATCAAGGTAATTCCCTTTAGTCCTTTTATGCGTCTCGCGTTGTTCGCTTTTTTTTGCCATCGCCACGATTTTCGGCCATAAATTTAGAATATATTTTTTATTTACCACCATCTCGTCTGATAATCTCTCTAATCATCGAGATGTAATAGTAACAGTAAAAATAGCGAATAACGAGCGCGATAGTGCTATCGCGAACAGACAATCTGTTACCTATACGATAGCGCGACACGTGGTATTATGGCGACGCTATTATCAAATTTACCCGATCTTGGATCCAGTAATTGATCTACGAAACGGTAATATTGCGCGTCAGTTTCTTTTCACATTTTGTCCTAGTTCGGCAATTTTGCGCACGAACTCGTTGCTTCGAGACACGAATTTAATCGATCATCCGTAACGATTACTTTCTATGTTTTCAGGACACGGTGCTATGGGGATAAGCAACTCGATCGGCTCGAACGTGTTCGACGTGTTACTCTGTCTCGGTTTACCGTGGTTTTTGAAAACAGCCTTCTTCCCCACAGTACCTGGCAAACATTATATAACCATTAATTCGCACGGGCTCGTTTACAGCGCCGTATCGCTATTTTCTACTCTCACTGTTTTTTACCTGTCTCTCTTGATAGCCAAGTTCAAGTTAACGCGCTCCGTTGGAATCGCTTGTCTCATAATGTACGCCGTTTTCTTGGTGTTTGCTTCCGTTTTGGAACTAAACTTGTTCTTCGTGGTTAATTTACCTGTGTGCACCCATTAATTCACACGAGTGCAGACCTTGTTATCTATGTACATATGTATATTTTGTTAATCCTGTTTATGGCTTGTTCTTGACCGATTATGAGATTCCACGGTAGTAGGAGATTTCGACTAAACCTTTTACGGTATCCAACGGGGCCGTGACCTTATCGAATCGTTCCGAATCCGTTTATTCACGCATCTTCCACTCAACATCGACACCCTTCATCGTATAATCTTTCGTGCGCATATATACGAATGTACACCCTCATTTATAAGTATTAAGTCGAACGACTATTTATTCATTCGTTGTGGCAAATGTGATTTGCAAACTCTGAACGTTTAAACAATATCAAAGAACCAATTTTTCAATTTGAATATCAAGCTTTATAAAGTTTTCTAGATCTACATATCAAGCACTGCTGTTTGGAGTAGAACAACTCTAAGCTAATATTTATAAAGAAGAGTGTATATATTTATATATTTGCCATTAATACTTGTACATCTATACTCATTATTACTTGTAAAAATCTTAATACCATTTATGATTCATCTACATAATTCAAATTATATTCCAGTTCATTGAAATCAGTCTGATTATCATTTTACCTTCTTTGAAATTTACATTTCCGCGCTCTTCCGGAAAATGCTATCACTAGCGCCATCTAGCGTCGAGCGATGCTACTACTCAAATTAAAAAATCCATTTTTCTTTAAAATTAACGACTTTTCCGCTTTCCTAATGCGAGGAAAATATTCTATGAACTCTAAAGAATTAGAATAATGACTTCATAATGCGTTCAAAGCGTTAGAAAAAGAAATGAAAAAAATTGCATTTTATGGACCTCGAAACAGTATCGCCATCTAGCGGTAGAAGGTTGGAACTAATTAAAATAAATTTGAAACTATACCCTAAAAAATATTAATCTTTTCTATTTAGCAGAGAATGGTATATTTTAAATTGCAGTGTTAGATGTCAGAATGTTTTACAAGTTCTATATAGCTAAAAAAATGAATCAACAGAAACTGTGTTCAAAACTCTTGGAATTTATACTTGAATGTACAAAGAGATAGAATCGGTGTCGCCATCAATGGCATAACATAGTACGATATCAAACATAAAGTATATATACTTGACCAAGTTTCTGTCACCTCTAACCAATATGTATCGATGTAATCGTAAATACTATGCATTGTTTTTAATCTCAAAGAAATTGTTAATGTATGGTTTCGTTAAAATAAATTCGATCTACGCTTTGATATATAAATATTAGAAATATATTTAAAGCACCGTTATAGGTGGCAGTTGTATAGCGTATCTTCGAATCAACCGGTCACCCGGCTCTCTATGCAAGTTTGAAAAATTTGTGACAGTAAAGTGTGTGTTGTCGACGCCCAGTTACTTGTGAGTGTTTCAGTTAAATTTCGTGTATTTCGTTACTCGTTATATTGCACTTTTCAACGCGTTCACTCATAGAAGATACTACTGGACCTATTTATCTATACATACGAACGATACTATTTCAAACGTGAAATTGACATATTTGATAAAATATCAAAAATGGCGATCCGAAAAACAATAATTTCAAAGCAAATCTGTGTATAATTGTATCAACTTTTTGACAGCTAACAAACGTGTCTTTCGTCTCTTGCATGGAAAATCTTTTTCTCTGTTTCTTTCTTGCCAGTTTGAAAAATCCAAACACGTTCGAACCTATCGTCGACACATTCTGAACTGTGTTTTGTCTTATTGAAAGAATAGACGACAGAACGTTACGGGACATACATAATTGGACGTGACGGGATGCAATGGAACGTGACGGGATGCGGTAGAATTTGGTTAAGATTGTACTAGATTCTACTGTGTTAGGCTACGTTATGCCAAAATAGACAATGTTAGATCACGCTATATAGATCAAACGCGATGGAATAAAACGAGTCAACGCGTTAAATATATGTATATGTGTATATGCATATTTATATCTTTTTAATGTAATGTGTAAGAAGACTCCCAGTATATTAATTATTAACCATCTTTTGTAATGTTCTATGTTTCTTCTTTTTTCTCAGAAAGATCCATAGAGCGGGAGTAAAATGCAAACGATCAAGTGTGTCGTAGTTGGAGACGGAGCAGTAGGTAAAACTTGTCTACTGATTTCGTACACCACCAACAAGTTTCCTTCGGAATATGTTCCAACTGTATTTGATAACTACGCGGTCACTGTCATGATCGGCGGTGAACCATATACTTTGGGATTATTTGACACAGCTGGTAACTACTAAATTTGCATATATTTCAATGTTCAATTGCCCTTCTTTGTTTGAATTCATCATTTGTCAGGAATAGAGACAAATTTGACTCTCATACATTTTACATAAATTCTTAGCTTAATTCTAATTGTCATTTATTCAAAGGCCAGGAAGATTATGATCGATTACGTCCCTTAAGTTATCCCCAAACAGATGTGTTTCTTGTCTGCTTCTCTGTTGTGTCACCATCGTCCTTTGAAAATGTTAAGGAGAAGGTATGTCCACAAGAAATTTTGTGCATGTTGTACCAAGATTTTTTCCTAAAGAGTAATTGATCGGATTAAGTAGAAATTTCTCATTAGTGGGTTCCAGAAATAACTCATCATTGTCAAAAAACCCCATTCTTGTTAGTCGGAACCCAAATAGATTTACGAGACGATGCCGCGACAATCGAGAAGCTCGCGAAAAATAAACAAAAGCCTATATCGGCTGAGCAAGGTGAAAAACTAGCCAAAGAGCTTAAGGCGGTAAAATATGTCGAATGCAGTGCTCTTACACAGGTATAATTGCATTGATGGTTTTGCACCGATATAAACGTTTACAATTTCCTGCTATCAAACTGTGCGTTTCTTTCGTTTTCAGAAAGGTTTAAAAAACGTGTTCGACGAAGCGATTTTAGCAGCTTTAGAGCCTCCAGAGCCAGTCAGAAGAAGACGATGTATCGTTTTGTAGAACGTAACTAACCGTAACTAACATCCTTTTTAAGATCTACTAGCGATGTTCGGTCGAGGACCGAGTGAGTTCCATCGTACGGTGCATGCAAGAATATATAGTTCCGATATCTAAACATCGGTATCATCTGCCTTTCGTTTTTTACTCGTTCGATAGCTGCTCGCGATTCGAATGAACAAGTTTACAAGATAAAAAAGAAACAAGGCATTTTATGAGCAAGAAAAGTGCGTATACGTACATGTACATGTAAGTATATATACGCACGTGTACGCGTCAGTGCGTGTATATGCACATTCATGCGCACGTGTCGTCTGCATGCATGTATATGTATATATATACATGTTATATATATGTGTACTATAAATGCATATATACATATGTACATATACATTTCGTTGGCTCGAGATGTACGATATGTATATATGTATGTGTGTACATATATATCTCTCTTATTGTCGATCAATTTGTTACGAGAGAAGAAAAGGAAAAGGTGACAGGTAGTATTTGCCTGAACCGATTCACGGTAGCGAGCATCGATATTTTGACGATCGCACGGGAGAAACGTCGTCTCTTTATGGAGATAATTGTGACCATCCATGTACGAACTTCGTATAAAACACTTGTAAAACATTCTTCTACTTAACATGTAAGACGTTTTTATTGATAAATTAGTAGTGTGAATTTTTTAATAAATCAGTTTAAAAAAGTAATAAAGTCAATTTGAAACAATGAATTTTTTTTAATAAAAGGAAATATAATTCGAATCGGTATATTTCTTCTTTTATCTAAAAATCTTGATATTTTCCCGCACTCTTTTTTGAAACCCACTTTACGACGTCGGTCCAAACTTGTCGCCGATTCAATACGCATGCCCGAGTTTAAGCAACAGGCGTTTTCAACCGGGCAACTATCCAAGGAGAAAATATCGAAATTTTGCCATATACGTATACGCTTTAACCGTATGAAAATTTCATTTCTAACCGACTTATTTTAATGGTTTAACAATAATAATGTAATCGGTACATTTAAAATGATGAACATCAATGTGTGATTAAAACTTTATTTATATACACTTTTTCACGATATTATGGAATAATCAAGTATGCTATAGTACATGTAAAACTTGTTTCTAAACTTGGCCATTTATCGTAAAAGTTTGGTATCTAACTTTGGAATAAAAGTGATTACATTCGAATATCGCTTTCGACATCGAACGTTTGTATATTTTCTACTATTCTTTAATACGTCGATACTGTTTTCTTCCTATTAGATCGCTACAGTACTGGATGCGATACACTTCCATTACACGCGTACTTGATGCGCGCATACTTAAAAATCGTTTATCAATTTTTTCAATGAAATCAAATTTATCTCTTGCGCTTTGTATTTTTCTGTACGACAAATTTCACTTACAATATCCACCAAAACAATAACAAGATTCATAATAATAATATCACGAATAACATAACATGTCCTGAAGTACGCTTTATACGTGTGTACGTGTGTATGCACTTTTTGCATTTTATATATAGGCAGGACGAAATAATATCAGCTACTTTATACGAGTAATAAATGTTTTTTTAAGTGATTGCCCCTATTTGGTCTTGCGTTTGAACACTAGTTTTTCTTTGCTCCTTCAACATCTCCCTCTTGATCTCCCCTTTCTTCTTCTTCTTCGACAAGATACAAAGAACACGGAATAAAGGAATGAGTATCAAGCGCATATCATTTATCGTATCAGTATGTTCAACATTTCCATCGGTTTCTACGTTGTATCGCGTTGGCAATACGCCGTATAAGATCCTTAAACGTTAAAGTTTGTTTCGTGATCAAGATACGAATAAAGTAGAGGGATCAGGGGACACAAAAGAGTCGGTAAGCAGTATTACCGTACGTACGAATGTAAATCAGGAAAACTGATATCAAAAATATTCCGTAAAGTTAAGCGAGTACAGTCATTTTTGAATTCTTATCTTTTCGTCGCATGATAATAAAAAAAGGTGATTTTTGCATAACATTGTACGCTAGCTCGAGTCGCGTGTACTTTTATTCGCGTATCACTGCGTCTATCCTTTTTCACTGTACAATTTTCCTAATTACTTAATCAATTCCACCGCAAAAATTGAATCCCATCTATTGAAAATAATTGCTGCCAGCTATGCTCTTACATATACAGAGGAACGTCGCAAACGTTCTTTGGTTTATTTCTGACGAACAGCGTAAGTATTTTATCGTGACTAGAATCGATTATAACGTAAGTTCATGTGTCTTCTGCGACAGTGTACAGCGTACAACGGAAAAAAAAACGAAATTTATTTTGCACGTAGATTACATTGAGACCCTGAGTCGTTAATTTTTAAGCATCGCATTCGATTTCGCCGATTTTTAGCGAAACCTGGTGGTACTCGATCTTTAACCATGACACGCAAATGATCGTTTTCCTATTTTCTTACACGAATATTTCTGATATCACGCGAGTGATCTGCACGTTTGTCCAGGCGATATGAATAGTCCGAGGCATGCCTCGATATTCGTATTTCAGACAGTTTCTTCGCGCTATGCACTTAGTATGAACACGTGGCTCTTTCATCATTCGATCGATCGATTAACGGAGCGTCTCGTTACGCCGGGGTGTATTACAGATTTAAACGTTCATCGCATAATATACCGAATTCTGCGCGTGAGTTGGTAACGTTACGCCATTAGGATTATGTCCGCCGTAAGTATTAGACGCGAGTAAGATCCCCGATTGCGGTATATCATGTCCGGACACGCTAGCTGCTCCTTCTGGAACACCACGTTCCATTCCCGTGTAAGGTCCCATAAGTTGTTGCTGCTGTTGCTGTTGCAATTTCGAGGGCGAGCAAGGGATCTGCAAGGAAGACGAGGACGAGCAAGAGGAAGCGGAAGAAGAGGAGGAGGAGAAGGAATAAGATAACGAGGACGAAGCCGACGACGACGAGGATGACGTGGAAGATGAGGAGGAGGAGGAAGCGGAAGTGGTGGTGGTGGTAGTAGTGGTAGCTGTGATGGTGGCGATGGTGGAAACGGCGATGTTATTGGAATTCGATTGAACGATTCCAGATCCGGTACGAAAAGCGGTATCGAAATTCGTGGCGTGAACAGCAGGTTCGGAAACATGATTCGGAAGTACGAACGTGGACAAGGTTTGTTGAGGCGCTACGGTTACGGTTATCGTTGGTAAAGAAGAGAAAGATGTCGACAATGAAGACGAGTAGGATGCCGAGGACGGTAACGGCGGAGAACACGAAGCGGTAGAAGAAGATAAAAAGGTTTGAGCCGATTGTAACGCGTCCGTCGGGGGTGCGAGAACTGTACGACCCAAATGTACTTGATAGAAGCGATAAGAACTTTCTGTCGGAGCCGCTCCATTGCCGGCGAACGTCGCGCATTTCGTGGGTGCGATTACGGCGTACGAGGACGACGACGGGGAGGACGAAGAAGATGGTGGTTGCGTGGACACGGCTGGCATTGTAGATGGTAAACGATAAAACATGGGCTGATGATGATGTCGATGATGCTGATGATGTTGGTGCTGTAATTGGAGCTGTTGTTGATACTGGTGTTGATGTTGAAGCTGATGCTGATACTGATGTTGATGCTGGTGTTGATACTGATGTTGATGTTGATGTTGGTGATGATGGAAAGCGATTCTAAGGTCTTCCGGTTGTTGCTGATGATGGTGCAAATGAAGATGGAAGGTCTGTTGCGTAGGCTGCAACGTAACGGGAGGATTGGCGGTGGAGATCGGAGTTGATCGAGGTTCGAAAGACGAGAAGGACTCGGAGGACATAGAATGACCGAGTGAGCCGGAAGGTATCGGAGATGCGAGATTGCCTTGCGTCATATTGGATATCGGAGAGAGCGAACGATTTCCTACGTGATAATATCTTAGCTGCGACGTAGACGGCGTAGGCGGTGTAGACGGTGACTGCATTTGCGTTTGCGTTTGCGTTTGCGCCTGTAATTGATCGCTTTTGTTCGAACGAGGGTACGGATATCGTTCGATATGATTGGTATAACTAGGAGACGGATGCGACGGTAAAATCCGCTGGATGTTTTGATAAGTTGGATCGGATAAGCCATTGTACGGAACAAAGTACATGGTACGGTAGCATTTGGTATTAGCCGGAAGTCCGGTATACACGGTCGGCATCGCGTTACAATGATAATTGGAAGGTGCCGTCGTTGCTAGAGGCTCTCTTCGTCGCGGCTTTGCGGAAAGAGTGTTAGCGTAATCCCTGTTATCGGCGACACCGGCGACGGTATCGATCTCTTCCGCTCCCACCGCGATGCCTCGCAAAGAAGTTCGAGCATTCGCGGTGTTTAACTGTTCTTGACAATATTGTTGGCCGTTTCTTTGTTCCTGATAAATACGGAAGGCAGGATCGTTGATCGGTAATCGGAGATGAGCCTGACGCGCAAACGCTTCGTCCGTATAAGATTCGCGTTCGTGCGAATTTTGGGCAGTAACGTTCGTATTCTCGACGATAGTCTGATAAATGTCATCGATCTGTTTCTGCATCGTGTTTATTCTATTAATCGTACTGGCGTCTCGCTCGTTCGCAAGCAAAGTGCCAACGAACGAATTCGGAGTAGAGTCGTCGATCGTTCCGTCGTATAACGCGATGCGACCGTCGATTCGAATACAGTTATTTTCATAGTACGTAGGAACCGACGGATGAAAGTTCGTCCTAGAAACGTTCGCGTTGCCAGCGTTACTCAAAGTCGACCGATGGAACGATTCGCCGCTACCGTTCGTTGTTCGTTGTTGCTTGATACCCGTTACAGATGGTCTGCGATTAAATCCATAGTCGTTTAATTCATCGTCGTCGTCGTCGCCATCCTTGTCATCGTTGTCGTTTCGCTTGTCGTTGTCCTCGTTGTTGTCGCCCTCGTCGTTTTCTTCGTCACCATCGTCGTCGTTATGTCCGTCATTGCCGTCGTTGCTGACGATAGTTATACCGTTGCTGTACCGACCAACGCAGAGGCGTTGTAATTCACCGGTATTCTTGTTACCGTTGTTGTCGCGCGCGATATTTTCGCGATATATAGGCCCGACTCGTTGTCGATGACCGTTATCGATGACTTCGTTCTTGCCGTCGATACTCTTCTCGACGAGTTTGTTGCCAGAAACATAATTGCTCGTACCGTTGATCGAAAGCTGATATTGGTCATCGTTATATCGACGCTTTATTCTTTCGGTTCTAAATCTATCCTGTTCGACGAAAGCGAGTAATTCGTCGGTCGTATTATCTCCTATATCGGGTCTATCGAAGAACGTCGGTGTACCCTTGGTAACGTCCGGCTGACCTATATTATAATTACCATCGTCTTGGTGCAAACTCGTTTGTACATCGTTTAAATCGTAAATCGATTCTGCAGCCGTTGCTGCGTCGTACGCGGTAGATGAACTGCGATTTTCGGTAACCACCATTCTAGAATTATGTCTGTAGTAATCTTCTTGAGTGTCCGTACTATTGACAGTCACGCAAGATAACGGTGCCAAGCTGGCTAAAAACTGTCTACGTACATCGGAATTATTCGCTTTGATCGTGTTTTTCGTTTGCTGATAATCTTTGCCAACACTGCTATTGCTTTTCCCGCTGTTCCCTAAACCGAGATCTGGCATGTTCGGCTGGATATTCTTCTTGTGTACAAATAATTCAGTCAGTTTTTTATAAGTCGATTGATTGTGTAAATGATCCGTAGCGGTACTGGCGCCGGCCGAAGAGACGTGTTTGTAATAATTGGAATTGGTAACAGTGGTTGCCGCTACCGCTATGGCCGCCGGTGTCGTCGACGTCGACAACGATGAATTTGACGTTAAGAAAGTTGTCGTTGTCGCTGTCGCGGCTGTCGCAGTCGTCATTGTATCGTACAACGTACCGAATCTTGTAGCGACACGTATCGCCGATGCTGACAACACCGACGACGGTGCCGATGTTTCGGTACTAGCGTTCCGAACGGTAAGCGGTCTCGTCAACGTCCTATTATCTTCCTGACCCGAAGGTGCAACGCGAACCAGCAATTCATCGTCGACTTTACTGTCCATAGTCGAATTCGTACTCTCTACATCGGACGATCGTTGACACTCTTCGTCATCTTGATCTACGCAGGTAAGCTGTCGTATCCGTTCCTCCAGGGATAAGTTGTTTGACGGTAAGCTTTTCTTGCGAGAAGTGGTACGATATTTATCGAGGAGGCTTCTCCGAAGCGTGTTTCTTTCGATCGTTCTTCTGATCGGATTCGACTCGTCATTGGATGAATAGTCTTGACTGTCGGAAATCCCTGAAGTTTTCGTACCGTCGAACAAACGTAGACTCTCCGAGTTAAGAAAAAGTCCTGAACCATTTACCGCATCGTCGGCGGAGTTGCTCGAAGAGATCAATTTAGCCAGCGGTGCCGGTGGGGGTGAAACGAATTTTGGATTAGGAAAGAGTTGTCTAACGGCAGAATTTGGTTTTAGACTATTGTTACCGGCTAAAGTAGAATGACCTAGTTTGAACACGAGAGATAGCTCTTTCGCTTCCGATGTTTCGCGTTGCGCGACGTGGTCTTGCTCCACATCGTTCATCGACGAGGATTTTTTTGGTAACGTATGTCGCATATCGCGAAGGTCGGCGGTTCGTCGTCGAGCGTTGTTCGCGACATACTCGCTCGAGTCGTCGTCGTTCGTCGCGTCGTCGTCGCCTGTAGCCGTGATCGCCCGGTCGATCGTCGTCGCTTTACCAACGGAAATGAAATTTCTTTCTGTGACACTCGCTCGATCCGTCTTTCTTTCGTCCAGCGAATCGACGTCTTGACCAACGTGGACTACGCGTTCTTTTTCCTCTTCTTCGCTGATCTCGCGTACGATACGTCGCTCGGTGACAGTCGTCATGGTTATCGTTTCCACCAGATATCGATGTCGCGACTCTGCGAACAAGAAACACGTACGATTCATAGAACATTAAACAGTCGGCTACGTTGACACGCAAAGGAAAGGACGAAAACGTACCTGTAGATGTTGCCGTACGTTGCAACTGTTGCTCGTTCGTTCTTTGTACTTCGTTTTCGTCATGATTTTTCGTCGTTTCTTGGTCGAAGGTAAAACAACTTGGCTCTCCATCTTTTGCATCTGTAAAATCGAGTAATGCGGTGTATAAAAGGCGTTAACTGTTGCGAAGGGAAAAGGAAAAAAGTACATGCGTCAGGAACAATGCTTGCGCGACGCGCGTATTGGACGAAGAAGCAATAGGCAATAAGCATATTTTATAGTGCAACGATCGTTGTTGCATAGCAATAGGTAGTACGTACACGCGGTTCTCGTCCTTCCAGCGTATCGTGGAAACACCGGAGTCACGCTACGCTGTGCTTCCGGCGAATGTGGACGAGCTACACTCGCCACACGACCGTCAACGAGTATTCGTGTGTACGTATTCGGTGCGTACGCACGTTAACGATATCCTAACTGCTTCTCAAGGCTTTTTGCGTTTCGTTTTTTCTTAATTAGCAAAACGGAAATAGCAAAAAATATCGTTCGCGTATAATATGTGTGATACGCGTGTCGCGGAAAAGGAAAAGCAATTTTACAAGATATTTCACATCGGCCATTTCCGCCAAGAATTATTTCTTCGTCGTTCGATCGAGAAAGCCCGAGAACGTCGTTTGCGCAACAATCTAATCTCGTATGTTCTTTTCGGTCACGTTTTCCATCGCTATCGATTAAAAGAGATTGAAACTTTTGCCGAGATCGTTAAAAGTCGTACAGACCGTGAACGCGTTAGAGTTATAGAATACGGGTTATGAGAAAATAAACGTGCATTCGTACACGAAGGCATCCGTTAATTGCCGTGCGCGCGTCCCATACGTAACGAATTCCGTGGGAACGCACGCCAATTATAAACTTGCGTACATCTTTACAGAGTCGATAGCCGCGATACGTACATAATGGCTAGCATAAAATCTTTTTTACGCACAGCCTCGATGTCTTTTTCATCGGAGCGGAGAACAAAGGAATCTATCGCGAGTTCATCTTCCGACAATTCCAGAGCCAGCCCTAAGTCGAAACAAAAGCAAAAAAAAACTCGAACGAAACTCACCTACGGTTCCTTGACAATGAAGGTAATCTAGCGACGACTGTAAGCAACATTCTGCTACGTTCGACAGCTTTTCATTCGAGTAAACATCTTTATAACCTTCCGGTGGACTCAGTGTTTCCTGCTGATGCTCCTGTCGTGCAAGCGGTGACGATGGCCTATCTAACGGAGGTGGTGCCGGTGCTAGTGCTGGTGCTGGAGCCGGTGCTGGTGCCGGTGCTGGTGGTGGTGCTGGTGCTGGTGCCGGTGCCGGTGCTGGTGCAGGTGCAGGTGTTGGCGACGCTATCGTTGGTGCCGGTGCAGACGTTGGTGTCGATGCCGGTGGTGGCGGTGGTGCCGGTGGCAGCGGCGGCGGCGGTGGCGGCGGTGGTGGTTGTGGTGGCGAAGGTAGCAACGTCGTCGCAGACCCCGTCGAAACAGGCATATCGGTCTCGCAAACATCTATTTCGGCGATTTGTTTTCGGTATCCGCTTTCGTTCGACCCATCGTCCACTCTTTCGCGTTTCTTTCTACCTTTCGGTTTGGTCGCGTTCCCTGCTTCCTCCGCTGCTCTCGGGGATTGTTTATCTTTCCGTTTCTTCTCGTTCGCTTTCTCTTGTTCGTCCACGCGGTCCTCCGTCGGCTGGTACGTCTCCGCTTTCTCGTCATCTCCGAATCTGTCGGATACAATAGCCGCTTCTTCCACGTCTTCGATTCCATCTTCGTCGCTTTCCGTTTCTACCTCGTACTCTTCGTGATCCTCGGTTTGCAAGTGCACGTAGCCGTACGGTTCACCAACGCAGATCTGCTCCGTTCGCACCGCGTTCTCTCGTATGATTTCTTCGTCCCTTTCGACATCGTGGTATCGACCGTTGTCCGCGACACCGAAGTGCAAGTTCAATTCGGCTCGGCATTCCTTGCAGTTTCCCAATCGTATCAACTCGTGTTCCTGACAACAGCAGTCGCAGTCTTCTTCGTAGTCGTCGGCACAGCATTCTTCCTTTATCAGTATTATATAATCAGCCGCGAAGAATTCGTTCAATTTCTCGTTTATCACCACTCTATTCTTGTGCGACCTGTTCTTCGACTGACCCGGCTTTTTCAACAACGACTTGAGGATCTTTGCAGGCTGCTCCGCCGGAAGTTTGCTTCCGTGCTCCTTCATTATCGGGGCTTCTCTCTTCTGTCGCGTCTACCCTTCCGTCTTTCTCCCTTAGCCACCGGACGCTTCCCTTTCTCTTCTTCCCTTGTCTCTACCCTTTTAATTTACGATCCTCGTGTTACGTTTCGTCACGTTTCGTTACGTTAGATGGTATGCGCATTTCACCGCGTGCCGTTACCGTTCTCTCGTTCTCTCGTTCTCGCTGTCTCCGACGTCTTTCCTCTTTCTCGGAGCAGTTTCATTTTCGCTGAGAGGAACGCGATTGCCGTTCGATGCGTACCAACGTTCGAATACGTCGTTTCTCAAATCGATCAGTCGTATGATCGATCAGACGATCCTGTTAAGTGATCGTGTCGTCGAGCGGGCACACCATGTTTCTCGACGATCGTTTAATCCGCATTAATTCGATGGCACATTACGCGGAAAACGATCTAATAGCAGGATACCGCTATCTTCGACTTTGTACGGTTGCATTCCAACGAGCAGTGATCGGAATAGGTGTATTCGTACGTGTCGGATGAACGTCGCTCGACACGGTTTAACGCCGGTGGCAGCGGCGGCGGCGGTGGCGGCGGTGGTGGTTGTGGTGGCGAAGGTAGCAACGTCGTCGCAGACCCCGTCGAAACAGGCATATCGGTCTCGCAAACATCTATTTCGGCGATTTGTTTTCGGTATCCGCTTTCGTTCGACCCATCGTCCACTCTTTCGCGTTTCTTTCTACCTTTCGGTTTGGTCGCGTTCCCTGCTTCCTCCGCTGCTCTCGGGGATTGTTTATCTTTCCGTTTCTTCTCGTTCGCTTTCTCTTGTTCGTCCACGCGGTCCTCCGTCGGCTGGTACGTCTCCGCTTTCTCGTCATCTCCGAATCTGTCGGATACAATAGCCGCTTCTTCCACGTCTTCGATTCCATCTTCGTCGCTTTCCGTTTCTACCTCGTACTCTTCGTGATCCTCGGTTTGCAAGTGCACGTAGCCGTACGGTTCACCAACGCAGATCTGCTCCGTTCGCACCGCGTTCTCTCGTATGATTTCTTCGTCCCTTTCGACATCGTGGTATCGACCGTTGTCCGCGACACCGAAGTGCAAGTTCAATTCGGCTCGGCATTCCTTGCAGTTTCCCAATCGTATCAACTCGTGTTCCTGACAACAGCAGTCGCAGTCTTCTTCGTAGTCGTCGGCACAGCATTCTTCCTTTATCAGTATTATATAATCAGCCGCGAAGAATTCGTTCAATTTCTCGTTTATCACCACTCTATTCTTGTGCGACCTGTTCTTCGACTGACCCGGCTTTTTCAACAACGACTTGAGGATCTTTGCAGGCTGCTCCGCCGGAAGTTTGCTTCCGTGCTCCTTCATTATCGGGGCTTCTCTCTTCTGTCGCGTCTACCCTTCCGTCTTTCTCCCTTAGCCACCGGACGCTTCCCTTTCTCTTCTTCCCTTGTCTCTACCCTTTTAATTTACGATCCTCGTGTTACGTTTCGTCACGTTTCGTTACGTTAGATGGTATGCGCATTTCACCGCGTGCCGTTACCGTTCTCTCGTTCTCTCGTTCTCGCTGTCTCCGACGTCTTTCCTCTTTCTCGGAGCAGTTTCATTTTCGCTGAGAGGAACGCGATTGCCGTTCGATGCGTACCAACGTTCGAATACGTCGTTTCTCAAATCGATCAGTCGTATGATCGATCAGACGATCCTGTTAAGTGATCGTGTCGTCGAGCGGGCACACCATGTTTCTCGACGATCGTTTAATCCGCATTAATTCGATGGCACATTACGCGGAAAACGATCTAATAGCAGGATACCGCTATCTTCGACTTTGTACGGTTGCATTCCAACGAGCAGTGATCGGAATAGGTGTATTCGTACGTGTCGGATGAACGTCGCTCGACACGGTTTAACGTCGACGCGAACGATGGGAAAGAGAACGTAAGCCGATGTAATTTCACCGAATGGAACGCCCCGAAAGATGCGACAGAAGGGAAAGCGTGCGAATCGAGGGATCAACGAGGATTCGACGAAACTCTAGCGACGCTAACGAACAGCGTATACAAAAGCGTCGCTCCGTACTCGCGAGGCTCTTCTACTTTCTCGCGGACAGCGAGTCGCGCGTTAAACGTTCGCGACAGTGACAGCTCGAAATGTTATCACCGTTAATCACCGCCACCGCCACCGACACCAACACCAACATCGAACCGACACCGACACCGACACTGACACCGTCACCGGACACCGACAGCCGACGAAACTCGTCACGGTTACGTTAATATACCGTATAACACTGTCGCCACTGCCGCCGTTTTCGTTTCAACGCTCTATCGTCGCGTTGCGCTACCGTTCTCGTTCCCACTGTCGCTATATTCTTTTTTCTTCTTTCTTTTTGTTGCCTTTTGTCTCGATACAGAGTACCGTGTTCGCTGTGCGCAAGCGATTGCTTGTTTCTCGTAACACTACCGTTTATCGATCTCGGCCGACGAACGTGGGCGCACTTCTAAACGACACGATGCGCCGCGCCATCACGATCCTCGTTGCACCTTACGTACTTTCACCGTAAATACGCGTACCTTCATCGTCTACTTACGTGTACGCGTATGCCGTTTGCCGTTTTACAACACCGAATAAATTTCGATTTAATTATTACCGTCGAATGAAAAAACAAAACCATGCACCGCACACGCGCATACGCGTGACAGTAACAGTCTGTTTCCCGATCAAATTCAAAAGAACGAATCGTATTCAATGACAATGAACTCACGCTAGTACACCTGTTATACTCGAATATCGCACGGTTCGCGCGTTAAACGATCGGATAACGAGAACGTTATTCGTGACGCGTTAACCGCAACTGACGTTTCGATGCAACGGCCTGTGTTGTCCACACGTATCGTAAGCAGCTTCCCTCGTTCAAAATAAACGCCGAAGTAGCTGTCATCGAAGCGTTTCGACCTCGAGAGGACTCTACGGGGCAACCTTGCGTACAGTATACGGTGAATACGCAGCGAGTCCGCGCATAACGTCACACTCTTCAATTTCTCCCGCGCTTCGACCTGAAGCAACTGCCATCACGATGTGTCTCGATTTATATACATTCGATACATTCATGATTTTTTCGATGTAATATTGCATAATTCACTTTGCTCGATCGGTACTAAAAGGATAGCGAATCTGCCGATCAATTCGTATAAATTCATTTTCAACGAATGTTAAGTAATATTCAGTTTAATGTACACGTGTCAAAATATATTTGCTATAGGTGCATAACCTGTAGGTAACAGGTCTGCAAGCATATACTATTACGGATTTTTGGGAATTGTTAGGAAAGTCGGGGTGGACTGATACCCGTGGAGCGCTCTGCTTGTCAAAGAGCGAACACTTCAAATTTCAACCCGTACGTAATTGATTCTTTATTGGAAATGTATCTATGCTCCATCTTATGACGGAATGATCATACTTCTCATACGTCGACAATCTAAGAGATTTCTAACCGCAAGTAAGATACCCTTCTAGAGTTTCCTTACTTCATGGTTATACACTCTGTGTAGAAAAATAAACGAACAGAGAGAATGGTAATGTAATAAGTGTGCAAGTTAGAAGAAATACTGTGCTTAATTTTGGGATATACTCGTCAAACATATAAACGTAAAAGGAAAAAGTACTTCGACGAATAAGTGGAACATATTGCGATCAGTAGAAATTATAAGTTATCGATGTTTCTAACCGCTGAGTATATACTGTCAAAGTTACGACCGTCATAAAAGCGCATGCGCATTACCATAGATTATGTAGTATATAGAATCAAACTCTATATCGTCGAAGAAATGGAAATCGTCATATAGTAAGGTTACTTTCTCATGAGATGAAATGTGTATAGGGTCTGATATTACAGGAAATTTTTTTTATTACAGGACTTTAGAAATTTGGAATTTCTGAACTTTGAAACCATAAAAAGTAATGCATTACAAACATTAGTAGAGTTGAACAAAATTATTGTTTCTAAAAGTGAAATTCAAATCTTTAAAAGGAAGTTTTAGCCTACACAGTCTAGGAGGAACCTAGAAAGATCTAGGGAAACCTGTGGCATCTTATTCGTGATTGCCAAACGAATGCACCGTTTATGAACTATTACCCTTCAATGCCCGCTGTTTACTGTTGTTTGTCCACCACTGCATTACACCAACTATATAAACTTAGATATGTATATAGCATTATATCTATAACACCCTGTATATATCTACAATTCGTTGTATTTACGTTTTTCAAACCGGAAAGTATTGTTTATGTTATCAATAAAAAGATAATTGTAATGGAAGTTAAATAAATTTCGAATACTTCTTATAATAGAAGATTTTTATTCGTTTCGTTGTTACATGTTTAATATCGTGATCCTCGCTTGCAATTTATCAAGGGTGGTAGGTAGTAAAGTTGCGATGCAACATTATTTACATATTTTCCAACCCTTTCCGTCATCCACCTACAAATACATCGGAGCAATATGATGCGTGCGCAAAGTCCCTCCACAGGTTCGTGACGTGCGCGGGTGGCGCATGATTCGCCGGTTTGGGAGTACCACTCAGGAATGTATCGTCCGATGTTAAATGATTTTAACAGCATTTTCTTTTAAAAAAAAATTCGATATAATAAATTTATATCTATCGACGATTAAAAATTCAATGTAGTCATGTCAATAAAACGAATGATATTAACAACATTTTTAACTTATTTATACTATAATATTAGTACAATAGACAAAATTACATTCTCCAAATTATGGTCTAGTGCCACTAATGATTAAAAATTGCTCAACTAATACCCACAAAATTCATAAATAACTTTCTATTCCTTTTTAAATATAAACGAAATAGTGATTTGTCATTATTCGTTATATTATTTTTATCGATGTTCACCATTATTCGTTAATGATTTTTTCGGTATAATATAAAAATTTGATGAAAAGTACATCATTCAACGAATATGAGTAATATGCAGCAATAAAACGAATAAAAAGAGTGTTGAAAAATTGAAACCATTTCATGAATTTGTAAGAGAGTTTCCAAAGTATCGATACGATCCTGAGTATAATGCCCCCCCCACTAATCGATTGTCGCACACTCAACAGATTGAGGTGTGGCCATCGAGGGCAGCCATCTTCTTGACTTTCTGTTGCTTAACATTTCAGGTAAATACGCAATTATTTCTTAAGTAATACTGGTTGGAGTGGTGCGAGGGTGTGCTGTGCTGTGTGCCGGGGTTGTTTAAGCGTGCCGTATATCGGTTCGTTAACGGCGGAACCGGGAACTCTGTGTGTCAAGAAGGGAAAAAAAGCTCTCCTTCTCCCGTGATAGAGAGAGGGCCGAAGGAGTGCCATGCGTTACGAATCCACCGTATCTTCGCATGACGACCGTTTAGTTCAACGTGCAAGAAGCCACAAGCGGTCTGCTGGGGTTGAATCCGATCACTGATTTGGGACTGTTCGTACAAGTTCAAATACAAGCTCAGTTTAGTTCAGTATGTAAATCGTCCCCCAGACTCTAGACCCCTGCGTCGCTATCCTATCGCACCCCTAGCGCCCCCACAAGCTCTCCCCCCGCACTCTTACCCCGTTACGCGGCAATGCACTTCCGGCTGTGCAAAATTCGGCAAAAAGGTCCGGGCCTCTGTCTGGAAAGCTAAGCAAAAATCTGTGTCACGGCTTCGTCTTGACATTCCTTCGTCGTCGTTTACTTCGTCGACCGACGTCTCGGATCTGCGATAAACAAAAGGTCGGTACGTTCTTTTGATACGGAAAAAATCGCGTTTATATTCGTTCGATAAGTATTCGCGTATCTTTCGCTTACGCTTTCGTTTTTCACCTTCGAGATGATTTCATCGGAATTTCCGTTCGCTAATAAAAATACCAAACAAACGTACGTCGATTTTCCGTTAACGATTGACCTCTGTATATTTAGAATATATGTAGGAATTTTAATGTTTCAAATGTTCTGTGCTCAAGTTGGATGAAAATTGAAAAAATTATGTGATTTATTTTCCAATTAAATTACTTTAGATAATGCAATTCTGTGAGATATTTAGGTAAAATATTGTACTCTTATACAATCAATAATGTTTGCAGTTATCGATGATGTTAAATTGCCCAGAAATCTAACAATTGTGGCATTATAATATTAACGCATAATTCTTCTTATATAATTGATACGTACAATCTCTTTATGTTTGTTCGCATTGCTTCCGCATATTAGAAAATATTTGATGCTAACATTCTTGCTTTTGTGCAGTCTTACGAGTGCTTTTAATTTCTGTTGCACAGGATAATACTGCTCAGAAATCAATTATTTATGCTTTTAAATTGTATACAAACTTTGGAGCTAAAAGTTGCTTTATTAATGGATACAATCTGTGTAAAATATAAGTACCTAAACAATTAATAAATGCCTAAAAACAATATATTATAATGAGAATTTAAATAAATAAAGTTTTGTTCTGAAGTTTTAATGCCAGCATATCTTATGATGTATATTTTTGTGTTATACGTATAGTATATATAGTCAGATAATATTATAAATTGTTTAACTCATAATGAAAATTTTATAAAGCATCTTACTTGTGTACATTATGAATGTACTGCCTATCGTGTTTAATTTATGCTTTCCAAATATCATTTTTGATGGACACACATTTCTTAATAGTGCATGTTTAATACGAACAAGTATTAATCTTATATGTTTATGCATGTTTTTTGGAGACATCATTGTCTTGTTTCAAAGCATAAGGTATAATCTCCTATATATGTTACAAAATATTGCCATCAAGAATTAATGTACTAGTAGTTAAATACAATTTTTTACATTTAATAAGACTTTTCCACAGAACTGTTAGGACTGTTAAATAAAAGCTTTACCTTATGCGCTTGAAGAATTCTTTGAACTTTGATTTTAACATTTACGTGAAGTCACTACAATAGCGTTACAATAACGTTAAATCCATATTACGTTTAGTCATTGGCAATTTTGCAAAGCCTTGTAGTATATGTATTTTCAAATATCGGAAGGAAAGAGTTATGAATCAAAATTATAAAGGTGTCGTATACTAAATGATCATAGATTGTATTAATACTTTTACAGATGTTTAAGTATATAACTATGATAGAGACGAGATATATGCATATCTTATATTTATGATATCTGTGTGGTACATGCAATTATCTCGCAACCTTCTATCCATTCTAACATGTAAAATGTCCACTTAAAACAGAGAAGCTGAAAGAAAGACTAAAAACATGGGATGCAATACGGGCCGATGCCTCGGTCCAGACGATACGGGGTACCCTGGATCAGGTACGACCCAATCAATATCCTTTAAATCTTCAGCCCTCGTAGGTCGCTTTCTAAATAGTACCGAAGTAGATATCAGTCATAGAGAAACAAAAACTTTACCTACCCACTCTATACATAAGTAGCTGGCAGTACTGAATTTAGATACAGTTTATTAGTAAATTTAAGTAAACAGGAGGGCTCTAGGGAGCGTATGTTACTATACATGTATGTAATGCTAGTACCAATTTAGTACTCTGTTTAAAAATAAATCGGTGCAGTATTTCTAGATGATAATATTTCATACCCTACGAGGTTTGAATTCGAGTCATTGTTTATGGCATTATCAGAAAACAAATCTAATGGAACAATTTCAAAGGATTACCCTGATTTCTTCCTAACTCTATCCTGAAGAATGCTTTTTCTCTATCTTTTTCATTGTTTCATTTGTATTTCCACATTTGCACCTAGGTCTATCCATTTGAAATTGCTTTTAATTTATTTATGCCTTATCAGGTTGCAGGGAAAGTAGTTTCATTTAACAGTGATATCGATTCCATCATTTCGACGTTCTTTGTTTTTCTCATTTAGTTGTGATTTATCTTAAGCGTATTACATGCTCATTCACTGCATGCTTTAGTCAAACTAATTTTAAATGGTGTTTTCCAACAGATGTTATTTTAGTTGACTTATATTCGTATCTGAACAATTTTTAAGATGCTATTTGCATCTGTACTGCATGAAAATGCAGTTTAGAAGTCTTTAATATGCAAAGTATAATTTTTACACTAGTATTTGTGGTTTAAGGTGTATATGTACATACACAAGTGTATACATACATAGGATGAAAACTATAGAAATTAGACGCGCATTTTTATTATTTCACTCATGTATGTAAAAGTTGGGTACATATACTTTGTACATATTGATCTAGCCATCATTGGCAAGAAATATAGAAATGATCAAAATTTAACAAATTTAGTTCAGCGTGAATATATTACATAAAATTAATTACTTTTAAATAGGTAAGTTATTGGGTAAATGATGAAAGAAATAATTAATAGTTGGCAACAATATTGAATTACCTACAAATTTATGAATTGTGTAAATTAAAATTGATTACTAATTTGTAACAATTGTGTATTTCTTGCTTTTGCATTAATATTTATGTTTTAAACATCAAAATTATATGCATACAGTTATATTTTTGAGCTATATCAGATGCAGTAATAATAAATAAGAATATAATAATTTATATTTTAGAATTCATGGCAGCCATTAGGAAGAAATTGGTTATTGTGGGTGATGGTGCTTGTGGTAAAACATGCTTACTCATAGTCTTCAGCAAAGACCAGTTTCCTGAAGTGTATGTACCTACGGTATTTGAAAATTATGTTGCAGACATTGAGGTCGATGGAAAGCAGGTGTGTTTTAAAAAAATATCGTTTCGAATATTTTGCATCGCGTAATATCTATAATTCAGAAAATATTTTTTGTAATAGGTGGAACTGGCTCTTTGGGACACAGCTGGACAAGAAGATTACGATAGGTTGCGTCCGCTGTCGTATCCTGACACAGACGTAATCCTAATGTGCTTCTCCATCGACAGTCCCGATTCCCTGGAGAACATTCCCGAGAAGTGGACACCAGAGGTGAAGCACTTTTGCCCAAATGTGCCCATTATCCTTGTTGGAAACAAAAAAGACTTGCGCAATGATCCTAATACTATCAAGGAGCTTAGCAAGATGAAACAAGAACCAGTAAAACCCGAAGAAGGTAGAGCTATGGCTGAGAAAATTAATGCGTTTGCTTATCTTGAATGTTCTGCTAAGAGTAAGGAGGGTATTAGGGAAGTATTTGAAACAGCCACCCGGGCAGCGCTACAAGTAAGTATTGTTCAATACAGGTTTTCTTGTCGATAGAATAAAACCCGGATAGACGTTATTATAAAAATGATGTGAGTTTGTAGGTAAAAAAGAAGAAGAAGGGAAGATGTTGGCTCTTATAATTCGTGTCGTGAAATTGTTATACTGGAGGCCCCCCAGCAAGAACCATAATATAATAACAACTTATCCTGAATTATTTTACATAATAAAACAAATCTATGAAAAAGTAAAACACAAAATGCGCCCGCAATATATATACTGTCATCGATGAAACCGGAGACTTAAAAAAGAACGTTGACTAAATTCAATATAAGTATATGTGCTATATATGTGAAACCATAATGTATATTGTAATGACTTCTTGATTGTATTTTTTAATGGTAATGAATTGTGCTTCGAGTTTAAAGAATTAAACAATTGTCATACCAACTATTTACGTTTACAGTACATAATTATCTATATCGTTGTAGCAATTATTACTATTATTATTAGTATCTCAGTACTATCGATATGCATTCTACATCTCTTTTTTTTTCTTAAACCATAGTGACTGTTTATTTTTGATAAAAGAACATGGAAGGAAAGGATGAAAGAAGTTGGGGGAATTCGTAAACAAAGTATAAAGAGAAAAAGAGGAGAGTAGAAACGTAGTATGCAATGCAAAGTCATAGAAAGCAATGTATAAGAATCTAAAGCAAAACGTTAAGAATTCCAAATGTTGCGTCGCTATTTTATCGAGCCATCGCATTATCTATATTTCTTAAACAAACAAAAAAAAGTAACAAACGTTATATTATACTATAAAATTGCGTAAGTAGACGAGCGGATCACTTTGATCTTTAAGATACCAACTAGGCTAAATGTATTATTATTATTAATTATTATTATTAATTATTTTTATTATTATATTATTGTAATACGATGACACTAACATTACGGATTGTAACAGCGGCTATATTATATTTATGTATTTCGACTACACATCCCTTGTATCCAATTGAGCACACGAAAAATCTCCTGGATTTCATTTCGTTGCGCCATACTTCTTAAATAATCTAAAGTGATCAATGTAATCAGGAAACGTTTAATACCGTCAACGCAGGGCGAACAAATTTCACAGAGTATATTCATTTTCGTAGTGGATGTGTAACTTGCACGATGTTTTCTAAAAAATATTTCAATTTGAAAGTAATATGCATTGTTTAAGAACATCGATCAATTTACGAATTTCAAGTTACCTCTTTTTGTAAAATGATTATCAAGCCCGTTTAAATCATCCTATATTTTTCCTTCCTTTTGTTTCTTTTTTTCTCCATTTGTATACATACTATTTCTAAACTTTTAAATCTTACGCGTCTTCTATTAAAACTAATCTATAATGTTCATAAGGTAGTTGTTTTTTGCAAGAACTATTGAATTAACGACTGCAATGCAGTCTTAGCCATTGATTTAATGAATGACTGTGGAATTGTGTTCAACAAACTTTTTTTAACGGTGAGCAGTACTACTGTTCGATTACGCTTTTAAACTGGAACTGCATAAAGTTGCAACCAAATTTTGCAACGGTTTCAATTATTACTTGTCAAGGATTCAACGATTCAGAGATTGACACTTTATTGTCAAGAAAAAGTCTTTGTTACGATTAAGCATTTGAAGCACAAATTTCATTGATAACTTATAATTGGTAGAAAAATCCTTCTATAACATTGAAATGATACGTATGTTGCTGGGATTTTTTAAATAAATAGCAAGTAGAAAATCTTGAAATCTAAATGTGTCGCTTTTGTAAATCAAATCCCGTTGCAAAGTTTGTTCTTTTTATAATAATTTCTGAAGGATGTACTGTTAATTATGATTGTATCAGTTAATCCTTTATGGACTATTTCCCAAATACCGCAATAAATACCATCGTGTTTTCAAGATGAAATAAATTACTAAAAAATTTGTACAAACACAACCGCAGTTTTTTATAAGGATATGCTATGAGTCGTAAGAGAATTATCACTTAGAATCTACCTGGTCTTGATCCTCGTCAAATCAAATATCATTGTACAAAAGTCTTTGAGACTGAGTTTTTATGCTTTAATCAACAAAAGAATGTGTAATCTAAAGAACACTTTTTTTACAAAAATTTAAAAAAAAAGAAATTATTGTTAGGAGCACAAAATTATGAGATAAGGATAAAATGATAATGTTATACATCTGACGAAGATCAAGATGGTAATTGTTTTTGTACTCGTTATTGTGTACGATAAAAAAAATTAAATGGTAAAAAAAATAATTTTGTTGTTTTACTAGTTTGGTCCATATAGGATTAATCAATTCAAAGTGTTACTTCCAACAATCTTAATAATTTATGTATAAATACTTTGTCAGTAATAGTGAAATGAAAAAATTTTTTACGATTAAGAAAAACAATTCGACTGCATTTTTTCAGTTCTAGAAATCACTCTATAATTAGCTTTAATGTATAAGGTATTTACCCTCATGATTGCTATAATGATAAATTGTAATTAACAATAAAAAGCTACTTACCAGCATTTGTGGGAACGGTTCAATGCGTATCAATTTACGATTACGTGAAAATTTATTACGTCATTTATTCTTTTCTGTTTTCATTAAATGGATACGCAAAATGTCAATATTTTCAGAAATATGCATATTAGGATGTGTTTTTAATGTATTATTTCAATAAAAATGATTTGTTACAGGGAAGAAAATTTCATATAAAACAATTTATTATTACTTTTGGTACAAACAAAGCATGAATGCATTGACTTCAATCTAGGATAGTCAATCATGGAAAATGGAATGGAAAATTCAATCTTAACTGTAATTCATTGAATCTGGAAAACATTACCACAATAATTCTAAATCAGTTCTGCATAGTTTACACGATTTACAATATTATAAAGTTACATAATATACTTAGATCACCTTACGCTAGTTATGTTTCACGTTGCTTTCAAATGCTCTGTAAAATAAATGCGCAGCACGCATTACCGACTTTTAATTCTATTTTTAAAATAAAAAAAAAATGTTAAACCTTTTCATTCAGTTCTTACACTTGTAAGTCATACAAGAAATATTTCACTCCAGTTTTTGCCGCTGACTTATATAAAAGATGTGATAAACAATCCTGTATGTATTGTTAAAAAAAATTATAATTCATCAGTTCTTGGCTTGGTAGGTTTGCCTTTACGATCGAATCCTTTAAGCTCGTCAGTCGCGTGCTTGGCAATGTACTTGATGAAATCATCGATTGTTCTGCCACCTTCGTATTTAACAGGATTATCCTTGGCATTTTTGGGTGCCCAGTAAAGTGTTGGGAATCCTCGAACTTCGTATGGTGCAGGAACATCGTTAGCCGTCGCATCAAACTTCACGATCTCGACATCTTCGTCCTCTAATTTCTCACCCAATTTGTCATAATCCGGTGCTAATTTTTTACAATGACCACACCACGGGGCATAGAATTCGATCAACGTGTCTTTACCATTATTGGTAACAACTTCATCGAAGTTTCGTGCTACTGCGACCTTAACTGGTCCAGTGTTATCTTTAGGAATAGCTTCAGATTTCAAGTATGGTTCTAAACTACCCGCTTCTAAATCTTTCAAAAATACTTCAAACGCATCGACCGAGAATTCATCTTTCATGACAAATTTCTGATTGTTTGCGTTTCTTGCCAAAATAACAGGCTTATCGCCTTTCACGAAATCGATTCCAAAATCGTTCAGTTCATGTTGGAAGTCGTCTTTGGAAGAAATAGCGAAATTTAAGCTGGGGAAGTCTTTGGCAACTTTGATGATTCTGTTGCGCCAGTAGTTTGTACCCTTGGGATTCTTTACATAATCCACGGCATAGTATGCGACGACTAGTGGATTTTTGAACTCTCCAGCGTTGTCTCGTGTACGAACACCCGCAATACCGAAGCTAAAAGAAAAATTTCATCAGTATTTACTAGGGTTATATAGCCTTAAGGATGTGGGTATCTAAAGATACACCCATGTATTTTGCTTTAATAGTAATTCTTTTAGAACTTACTAGTTCTTGTTGACAAATTCTTGCACTTCACTGATAGAATCATCACCCTCATATTTTACAGTATTTGGTTCAAACTTATTCTGCAACAATTTGGGTCGGTACAAAACAATAGTGTTCCTATAAATAAATAAAGTACATGTTATTTTATGTTTAATATTGTCTTTAAAATATTTTTGTGATAAAACAATTACTTGTATCCTTCCTTGTCCATAAGAGACTTTGAAGTTGTGTGAGCAAATCTAACTTTCTCTTTAAGTTTCTTAGACACAGAATGGAAAGATTTTGACAAAGGTGAATCATCCTTCTCAAAGAAACCCACAATACCAACTTCATCAGACTCTAAGAATGATTTCAAACAATTTTCACCAGTTAATTCTTTGGATGCAGGTCCAACTTGTGCCTACAGCAAATTAAATATCATTATTATCAATATTCAATTGTACAACTTATAAATGATCAAAATCTCAAGTACCTTCATGTATTTAGCAATGCCTGCAGCTTCTCTAGGTCCATTGTAATCGCTAACAAAATCACCTTTGAAAAAGATTTTCAATGTTGGATAGCCACTAACAGAATATTTGTTACATGTTTCCTTTCCACTTTCTGTACAGTCTACTTTGGCAAGAGTAATCGGAGGGTCATTGCCCAAAAGTAACTCAGCAGCTTTTGCATATTCTGGTTTCAATCGTTTACAATGACCACACCTGGAAAAATTTTCAAATAATTATATTAATGCTCTTTATAGCATGCTCACTTTAAAAATCTGCCGAGATAACTAGGACCCCCATAATCCCAAGAATGATTAATATAACGGTAGTACAAATAATTGAGACACATTTTCATCTGTTAACGTGTCACAAGCCGGTACATGGTATCGTCAATACCGGAACTCTACAAACGATTCCACATCATTACTTTCTTTGTTATTATAAAACATTATAAATATTATAGAGAAGAAATATATATATTAACAACTTCAGAAATTCTTTATTATCACAAAAAACTTCTTACCATGGTGCGTAAAACATAACAAGCGTGTTCTCTAGCCGATCTAATTCATGGCTGAAAGTATCGTCCGTAAGCTCCAATACATCTTTTTCTTCGGCTAGGACAGTAACAAATAGCACGAAAAGAAAACTAAAATACTTAGGCAGCATCGTGGATCACGGTGCTTATGACTAAAATTCGAGACCTATTCTTACACCAAAAGAACTGCCTGTCGAAGACGTGGCTCTTACAAGAAGTTAGTCAGGGTAGCCGCGAAGTGCTGTCGTGTCCTGATTGGTTCTCTTCTCGATATGTGTTGGTATATCAATGTGCATGCTACGCACACATGCATATAACGGATAAAAAAAGAGATGCCTACAGGCTGGAAAGTGGCAGGTAACGAAAAGGTATATTCCGTCAGTTTTTGACTTGGTAGGAGAAACTGGAAGAGAATTTTTAATGGTACTACAGATAAGATTTCTTTATGCGACTTTATCTACAACTCCGACTGGTTTCGAGGCCATCTCGAGTAACTTATACGAACTACGAACTAAAATATTGTATGTACCGCGCTTCTGGAGTACATTTTTAAAATGCGAATAAGTAAATATTCTTTTGTTCGTATTATCTGTTAGACGGAAGAGTGATTCGATTTTATGGTTTAAAAAAAAAGGTGTACGTAACAGGAAATCGTTAGTGCGATAAGTCTCGTTTGAAGTATTTAGTGATATACGTATCGATAAATTATAAAGGTGTTTAGAATTGATAATTTTTGACTCGGGAAAGTACTTTTTATCAACATATATCTATACATATACGTAGCCATATTGTTCACGAATTCTGAGTAAAAACGATCTTAATTAAAAGAGAATATTGCTTAAGATAATAAGAATATTATTTTTTCCAATGTGTTCTATTTTAGCGTATGAGTAACAATTCAAGTATTTTTAACTAATTATTGGAGGTTATCAAGTTCTCAAGAAGTCCCGATCGAATGATTACATAGATAAGAACAAATCAAAATAAAAGTTTCCTCGTATGATGCTGCATAATTATCTGCAGTAGTCTGAACCATAAAAGCGAAACAAGTGTACGTGTTATATCGGAACCTATTATCAACAAATTTCTGAATTTCCCTGTGTATCTAAATTCTAAAACTTATAATTCTTTCTAATTGTAGTGATATAAGCATTAAATAAAAATAATCGCGTAATAAGAGGTCTGTAAATCAATCGTTCCAAGATGATGAGGAAAACGTGTCGACAGTCAGCTTCTGGGGGAGCCCCGTTTAAATTCAAACGGTAAAAATAATGAGTTCAATAACGCAACAAATCTAGGAAAACGCATTTTCATCGTTGTTCGTGTACTACAAGTATAACAATGTCGCGACTACTTTCACGTATCGTTGAAAAGAAATGGAATATATTTCGTACAACTACGAGCCACGTGGACGAGGCAAGGGAGAGACTGACGTAAGTTACTTATTAAACGCCAAGTGAATTTTAATGTCAATCCTTTCAACAGCAGTGATTGGTTGTTTGTCCGTGTCTAGCGTAGTCATGAGTTTGCAGAAAAAGAAAAAAATAATGTAACCAGCATGGGGCGTCGTTAAATGTTGTATGCAACAAAGAGAATTTTGTCAGTCTTCAAGATACCGTACTGTCGTTTGCAACGAAGCAGAGAAACGTAGAACTGTCTTGTAGGTGGCTAACTCTACTTAAAAAATATTTTCGAGTATTATGGTGAGTGGAAGTTGAAACGATCTTAGGAAGTTAAAATTCTATTAAAAATTTCTTTTAATTAGCTTAACAATATATAAAAGGAGATATTAAAAGAAATTTTAATTCATCTATTGTTTTTCCTTTGAGGAATATCGTTTAAATTGGATTGCTCGATAAGCCTTGCGTGTACAGCGTTCATATTCTACTTTTACGACCGTTCGAACGTTTCCTTGCATGTATCTGATTTGATTAAGTAATCGCGCGGTATTAATGTTTATCAGTGATGATCATGCTACGAGAAATGAATTAATAACAATCGTATAAAATTTTTAATTTTATAGAAATGTTCATAACTTCAATATTAGTGGTGGAAAGAATTCATGTTGTACTTCATTTTTCAGAGTTTATTTTAAATATAACATGTACAATTTTTAAACGGTGTATGCGCACGTACAATAATGGCTTTCTTCAATTAAGAAAGTAACCTCCCACTCCTCCCTAACAATCGGGAATCCAGTTGCCGCGCATTGAATTTTACGAGATCAGTAATAGGCAATTGTGCTCGCGAATTCAGAAAGGTACAATTCACGAGCATACAAGCGGCATTGATGGGCTGTAGTCTGCAGATGTTCTGTTTGTCAGGAGCAGAAAAATAATTCTAGGTTTCCATTTTAGACTCTTTCTATATGCAAAATTAAAAAAACAAATTAAGGGAGTGACGGAAAACCGCTTTTCCGTACATCGAGGAAAGCTTACGTTATAAGTTATACAATAGTAATAAACAATACTATATTATTGTCTTTGAATGCAAAGTGTTACGGAAATAAATCATATTATTCATGAAACGGCGTGTACGTTCAAGGATTTATAAGCGAATCATTATGTAAGCCATAACTTTGTGATCTTTCCACTTGAAACAAAGTAATTGAATGATCAGTATTGGTTTCTGCTTGGGAAACAGCTGGTTATTGTTTTATTAATACAGACATTCGAACCACGTGGTGGGGCAAAGCGTATTAAATTACAAAATTATTAATAAGGTACCACGTTTGACGAAATCGATAATAATTTAAACCAACGTTACTATAATTTCATATACAAAGTCCTCTTGTTATGTATACGATTACAGTTTTGTAACTTTCTTTCATTCCGCATAAGTGCTATGTCATCTTCGGCCTTTTATCATTTAGATAAATGTATATTTTGAGGAAGGTTAATAAACTTATTGATACGATCAACAGTTAGCTGCTTGAATGCGCATGTCAATTTCATAATGATTAATAAGAAAAAGAATTAGGCCAGAAGTGGTGAACGTGAAAGGATCACGTATCTAATTGTAAGTCTGGTAAATGTAAAAAATTCGACCTCTCGAATCGGCACGACTTTTTTACACACATTAATAAACGAACTTCGCGGAGCTTGTGCGTTCAGTCGTGGCCCACCTGTCACAACGAGAGGTTGCTTGCGCTGTTATGTCGTCGTTTATCTCGTGATTCTTCGATTGAATTTGGTTCATTTGGCTATTAGCCACGATACTGCAAGTTGTACTCGGCCTTGATACTTAACAAGTATCTGTTTTTCATATTTCAGTTGGCTCGTCATTGTATTCATTACGTCAACGTGTATCACTCGTCCAGCGCTGTAAAAGGTAAGGAATTTTTGATACTGAAATGTGTTGTCATCATTACACGCCGTTTTACTTTCCTTTCTACTGACTTTACTTTCTAGACTGTTGACCTCAATTTTGTCTCTCAGGCTAGTCTAAAATAAAGCATCAATTTATTGTTATAAAATTTATCTGAATTATGTAACTTTCTTAGTATGTTAAGTGATTCTTGATAATTTGAAAAAAATATTGAACATGACATAATAATCTTTTATATTGCAGGGAAATTAAACAACATGTCCTGCCCATTTTTAACAAGCCTGTCTGCAAATTATATTCGCAACTATGGAGCATCCGTTATAATGAATTATCGGCAGCTTTGTCCAGTAATGTCTCAACTGTTCAGCACAGAGGCTGAAGCGTCTGTTAATCAACAAATTCAAGAACCCATAAATGGTCAATGCCCATTCCTTGCTAAAAAACAAAATGCTGTGAAAGTGGCTAGTCCTATTGTCCAAGAGGATGTTATTAAAGTGACATCGTGTGAACAAAAGGAAGAACCAAGTTTTCCATATGAAGAGTTCTTTCATGAACAAATCATGAAGAAGAAGAAAGATCACTCTTATAGAGTGTTTAAGAAAGTAAATCGCTTAGCAGAAAACTTTCCAACTGCAGTAGAGTATTCGTGGGGGGAGAAACCTATAACTGTTTGGTGCTCTAATGATTATTTAGGAATGTCACGTCACCCAGCAGTGATAGATTCTGTCAGACAAGCATTGGATAAATTTGGTGCTGGGGCTGGAGGAACAAGGAACATATCTGGAAATTCTATGGGTCATGAAATGTTAGAGAAAAGACTTGCCGCTTTGCATCAAAAAGAAGCTGGATTGTTATTCACTTCCTGTTTTGTTGCTAATGATTCCACTTTATATACTTTAGCAAAATTGTTGCCAGGTTGTCATATTTTCTCTGATGCTGGCAATCATGCATCTATGATCCAAGGTATAAGGAACAGTGGAGTACCAAAGTATATATTTAGGCACAATGATGTACAACATCTTGAGGAACTTCTTTCAAAGGTGGATAAAGAAGTACCAAAAATTGTGGCATTTGAAACTGTGCATTCTATGACTGGTGATATATGCCCTTTAGAAGAATTATGCGACGTTGCCCATAAATATGGTGCTTTAACGTTTGTAGACGAAGTTCACGCTGTAGGGTTATACGGATATTCGGGTGCTGGCATCGGAGAAAGAGATTGGGTACTTCATAAAATGGATATTATTTCTGGTACACTGGGAAAAGCTTTCGGCAATGTCGGTGGTTACATTGTTGGTTCGGCTAAACTAATAGATATGATACGAAGTTACGCCGCTGGTTTCATTTTTACAACTTCGTTACCACCGACAGTATTATACGGTGCTTTGACAGCTGTCGAAATTTTAGCTTCGGATGAAGGAAGAACATTAAGGGCTAAACACCAAAAAAATGTAGCATACATGAAGTCTATTTTGACTTCTGCAGGTCTTCCACTAGAACCGTCGCCTTCTCATATTATTCCAATAAAAGTAAATCTCTTTTATTTTATGTTTTTAAAGCATTTTTAATGTCAATGTATTTCATTATAACTGTTTTCCAGATTGGTGATCCACTGTTATGCAGTCAGTTAGCTGATACCTTAATAAGGGAAAAGGGCCACTATGTACAGGCGATAAATTATCCAACTGTTCCGGAAGGGCAAGAAAAGTTACGATTAGCTCCGACTCCGAAACATACTCGGATCATGATGGACACATTTATGAAAGACATTTTAGATGTTTTCCATCATTTAAATATACCAATAAGCGAAAATAAATTAGGGGAAATTCCACGTGTAATTCTAACGAATATGAAATAATGAAGTGCAAAAAGTCTATATTCTACGAATATAATGTATTCGTTCACAAAGATTTATTTTATGTATTAAAAAATCGTTAAAAGTTAACTGATTATATACAGCTTTAAATAAAGCGTTATTAACCGTTATATCACTAGCACTTATTTATCCAATAACACACTGATAATAAACTTTAAAACTCGAATTTAAAATCTTTGATTATGTAATTTGAAACTATAAAAGAATTCCTCTATAGATTGCTTTGAAATATCGCACGGCGATTCATAAGCTACTGCGCATACGTGATTAAACAAGGATACAACACTATAATAAGAGGTATGCACTTTGCGCAGGTGCAAGACGATAGGATTGACAGTATTGTCTGCACTTAACACTTTAGTGCCGTGCGGATATATCTATTCAATTTTAATGTGTAACTTTAAATCATAAATGATATTTCAAACTCTGTTAAAGTCACTCACTATTTTAATAAATGGAATATTTTCAAGTACAAACGTAATTCTACCATTTTAATGAAATACTGATCGAAATTTGGAACTGAGGTTAGAATGAGGAGCATCGTCAATATTTTGAAAATGTTTGTCGCCTTTTTTTATGATTATGCACGAGGATTGTCGTATACCATTACCATAGTTTTGATTCTGGGTTACTGCTTACACCCAGCTAGATTTGCTTCGCATTATACGTTTATAAAAGCAGAGGATATTTATGATGAAATGGAAAGATCCTATCCGGCTAGAGATAACTCTTGTTCGATCACTGTTAATCCCAGAAGATCTTCATCATTATTGTATCCTGAAGAACAACCACGGGAAGACCCGGTGGCAATGGCACGCCGGTTAGGAATATTACCTGGAGGACAATGGAAACCCCTTAACTGCCATCCTCTTTTTAACGTAGCGATTATTTTGCCATATAGAAATCGCCAAACGCAACTTGCCATTTTCATGAACTATATTCATCCTTTCTTACAATCTCAAAATCTTGATTATAGAATATTTGTAATAGAGCAAAGTCCAATGCGTGAATTTAATCGTGCAAAGCTCTTCAATGTTGGGTACGCAGAAGCAACAAAAGTGAATGACTTTCATTGTTTCATCTTTCAAGATATAGACTTGATACCTCAGAATCCTGATAATATATATGCTTGTACAAAGATGCCTAGGCATATGAGTTCAAGTGTAAATACATTTCGTTATAATTTACCTTACACTGGCTTATTTGGCGGTGCAATTGCATTAACACGTAAACAGTTTGAAAGAGTCAATGGTTTTTCCAATGTTTTTTATGGTTGGGGTGGAGAAGATGATGATTTTTATAGTCGTTTACAATCAAGAGGTTTCCAGGTATGCAAGAAATGAATGGTAAGTTACAGATTTATGATAAATTGGTAATATGTTGTGCATTAAATTCTAGGTCACACGTTTTGGTCCTGATATTGCTCAATATTATATGCTAATACACAAAAAAGAATCTCCTAGCAGTGCTAGATTTGAAAATTTAGAGAATAGTGCTAGAAGATATGATACCGATGGAATTAGTAACCTTGAATATAGGGTTTTGAATCATCAATTAAGGCCACTATATTCTTGGATATTAGCAGATGTGTAGTCATTGTATCTATTTATTTATTATTGTTTACCAATGATGATGGCTGTTTATAGATATTAATTGCAACTTAATGACATTAAAGTCTTAGTTTTTACAGAGAATGGAAATGAAATTTCATAAAAAGACACTTTTGTAACAACTTAGGTGTAATAATAGGGACTTTTATCCATCATGCATAAACGTTCTAGTAGAACAAGAGTATTGCTATCACTTTTTATATACATATATATTGTTTTCATAGTAACATATGTGATTTTAGTTTGTATAAGTTGGTGTAAAACAAAGTATAGATTACTCAATATTTCCTATGATATTGTACATGGTACCTAAGGTATTGCTATGATATGTTAATAGAATAATAAATTATGGATTATTGCAATTGGAGATACATATCTACTGCTAATAAAAATAGCTTGCTATTTATGTATCAATATTTATTATGAGAACAAAATATTTACTAATAATTTTTTCATTGGTCATTACACAATCTATCAGAAATAACAAATAGTTACAAATACATTTCCTAATTATTTTCATGTCCGAAGTAACGCAGTATTCTAGAAAAACCATTTTCTTAAGCAAGCGCGGATTTAATAGTACAAAACTTCTTTACACAAATAGAATATTGTAGTTTGTTCCTCTAGCAATATTGCAACAAATCAAAGTATAAATATGACTGTCAATTTTTTCCTAATGTATTAATAAATTTATTACTTAGTGCTTAATAATATTTTTAAGTATTGCATTTATATGACCTGAAATGAACAAATATATTATTATGATTAGAATATTATGTAATTCTTTAGACATTGAAGACAGTAAAAATACATGATAACAATAAATTACGGAGTTGCAATAAGATTGTGTGATGTTATATGCAAAATGTAGTTGAAGAAATATATTTAGTACAATCTAAACAATTTTTTATTTCATATTACTGTCTCCATTGAGTCAAACACTTTTTAATAGCGGTAAATGTATACATTTTAAGATACGAACAAGCCTTAGGCATCAAACCCTTTTTACATTCTAACAATGGATAATTTGCAAAAATTTTATTGAAAAACTAAACTTGAAGTTCAAATGTCGAATCATCGAAAATATTTCAACTAATGGTATAAGTACAAGTGTCTTGATATAAATGATACAATTATACCAAGAATGCTCGTGTTTTCTTCTAAAAAGAAAATTGTATATCATTCAACAAAAATAATATGTAAAATTTACTCCAAGGGTTTAATTTAAAAATATTTTAGAATGTATAACCAATTTACAATTGACATCTTGTATGTACATAGGTAATTTTATTTTAGGAAGGTAAATTATATTTGAATACTCAAATATATAAGTAAAAAATATGTAATATTTTAAATACAACTTCGTTTTAATTCCTATCATTAAAAAGAAAAAGAAATATAAAATAATATATAGAAATTTTGATTTTCCAAAGACGAACGCGATTGTATTGCAGGCAATAAATGCTGCATGTATTTTTATTATGTTTGTTTAACCTATTTATTTATTACATGGGTTTTGCATATGTAATTAAAAAAATAATGACAAGTATACAAATGACTGTAGAAATGTGTATGTATAGCGAAGAATGTGTGATATCCAAAAAATACAGCGTAAATCATAATAAAAAAAAAAGATTACATACATATGTATGAGTATAAATATAACTATCTTTCTATATATGTATGTATGTGAATCTGTCATAATTACATTATAAAGGAATTATGAAATTTAATGCAAAGTGTTATAATATAATAAACATCATGCAACCAGTGATAAGTTTGATTGCACTAGTTTATAACTAAAGTGTACAAATACATTCTTGTCAATGAAGCATCATGAAATGTCAATGAAACGTAACAAGTTATTTATAAATACATTGTTACAGAAATATTTCATAATGCTTCAATGTATTTTATTTATGAAAAGTACTACATTGTGCACAAACTGTTAAACGAGAACTGCTTAATGTAGTAACTTTTTGTCTCGACTATTTCTATTGGTATGTATTTGCGGTACATTCTTGGGTGTACATTGTACTTTCCTACAAAAAGCAAGTATTAGGATGATTAAACGAACGTATATTGTTCCAAGATTGTATTGTAGAAATAATTTAAAACTGTGAACATTTAAACGTGAGATGTATTAAAATTGAATGGAAAAACACGGTGTAAAATTAAAAATGTTATCAATTCATTAGTCCTAAGAATATCAAACACAATAGTGTCTCACTATACAGTTTTAGACTAGGTTATAGGAGAGGAAAAAATTATGGAAAGAATCATATAAACGGAATTTATTCCATGCAGTGGTTTGATTGTTAAAACGCTACTGTCAGTTGTGTAGTTCATGAATGCTAACTTTTTTAATGCGAGAAGTTACGCTAAAAAAATAAGTCGCCTCTAATATTCGTGGAAGTTCATATGAAAGGGAAGTCACTCAATGAGCCATATAGCGAGACCGTACTGTATTATCAAAATATGTATAGGAAAAACAATAAAAAATAAAAAAGGTACATATGTTCCCAAGAATGAATTATCACTTCCCAATTACCAGTAATGCAACCAGTATATTATTCAGGAAATACGCATACATACCTATTCGCCTATGGAAAATTGGGTACAAGTACTTATACATATATGTATATATATATATATATATATATATAAAATCTATTTTCAATGATACTCAATATATTATGTATCAGACAGCTCTTGATAACGTGCGTACATCATTTTTTTTACGCAATCCTTATAGGTGTCTCCAGGTAATGCACTGTACGATGACGATTTTGCTCCTAAACCAGCCGTAGGTACTCTCCTTTCCGCTTCAATGATACTTGTTCTGCCTTGGTTCGATTTGCCAAGACCCATTCCTTCGCTCCAACCCATTTTTTGTAACAGTTTATTGCCAACATTGTCCGAGCCAATACCAGCTCTCGTAGGTTCTTCGTACGATACCGATATATCTTCTACCCTGGTTTTCAGGTATTTTTCTTTGAGTTTATTTGGTTGTGGAGGCTCTGGTTCGCCATACTTCGCTCTTCGTTCTTTTGCGCGGTCTCGATATTTGTTGTTTCTTTGCTGTGGGTCGTTTGGGTCTAAACCGCGTACTTGATACCAATTTTCCAAATTTTGTTTGTGAAGATCAGACAACTGCTGATGTCGAAGTAACGCCTCTTTGCTGGGAAACTGTCGTTTACACAATAAACACGCTAATTTGCTCCAATCCGTGTGTTGTCTTTCTTCTTGTTGTACATCTTCGATTTCCTCTTCCGTGTCACTACCGCCACCGTAAGCAGCTACTAAGCCATTATTTCCGCTCTGATCCTCGTCTTCGTGATAAGAATTAGCAAGAGATTTCTTCTCCAATATGGCGTATCCAGCATCCGCAGCCCCGCTTCCAACTCCTTGATTGCCATCACCACCAGCGAATTCTGAATTCCAATTACTTTTTGCATTCTCCTTCTTCTGATTCAACGTTTTCGCCCAACGTTCCATATCTTTTGCTATTTTCTTCGCTACTTTTACTTTATCCTGTTTACTATCTTTCTTTTTATTTTCATCTTCCTTTGATGTTTCCGCAGCCGTAGCGGGTACCGACGAAGTTGTTGCTTGATTAGTGGCTATGTTCGTTGAATCGGTATTACTAGCGGTGGCAGTTATCGTAGTCCCACTGGACGTGGTTCCTGTTGCCTGTGTTACGGTTGGAGCAGTCTGTATGGATAAGATTTCAAGATGGTTAAATGATTAAGATGCTGTTAACGTTAGCTGATATGAAATGTATAAATTCTAATTACCTTTGCAGGTTGATACGAGAACGACTCAGCGTCCCAATAAAGGAATTGTTGTGTGTGACTATTGTAATAATATTGCGAATTAGGATCGTAATATAATCCTGTGCTTGGATCGTAATAGTAACCCGAGGATTCGTCATAATGGTAGGTGCTGACATCTGGTACAGCTATAAGAGATATATTAACGTTTTATGTACAAACTTTTGACAAGATTAAAACAGTTATACTGTCGCATAAGAAACTTACAGTATACTTTACCATCACTACCATGCGCAGGTACTCTTCCACTCGCTAACGCGGTACTAGTTGGTGCCGTAGGCGTTGGCCTGTTCTTCATTTCCTCGGCATCTCCTAACTTCCTAGATGCCTGTAGTTGTTGTATGGCAGATTGCGCTACAGCTGCAGCCGCATTCACTCTATCAGTCTGATTCAAAGACGGCAAAGTGATAGCAGACCCCTGCATTATCTGATTCTGATAGTATTGCGTATAATACTGAAGGTAATGAGCTTTCTGTGCAGGCGTTTTAGCGTATAAGTTGGCACTGTACTCTGCCAATTGAGCAACGTCGTCTAGAGTATACCTTTGCGGTTGGTTGTCATTCGTTTTCCACGTATTGGTATTATTTATTTGGTGAAGTTTACAGTATGTAATTTCAACTTTTCTGCCGTCTACTACTAATCCTTGTTTCGTTAGGGCTGTGTGTAAATACATGGCATCTACTACATTTCCCATCTCCAGATAACAAACACCTCTAGATGTATTTGTTAGCGAATCGCGACCAATACGGATACTACGTATTGGCATGGACGAAAGGTTTTTCATTGCTTGTAAAACCGAATCCTCGGTCGTTAACACGTCTAATCCTCGCAGAAGAACGGTGTTCGTGGGGTGAGGGCTGATTTCATCGCTACCTTCTCCACCTTCTTCGCTCTCTGCTCGCGAGGCGGAACATTTAAAGCACGTTTCGCGCCTCTTAAAATTGTGTGCGCCACACTAATGAGAACAAAGTTATAGTTAGTTTTCTCTACTGTTGAGTAATCGATTCATTTAGAAGTGAAGCTGGCACGAGGCGAGGAACTTATACAAGTATTGGATTTGATGTACTTTAAGTTTAAAATTTTACCTTAACACAATGCCAATCCTGTGTATTTTTTGCTGGTGGCTTATCTACATGGCAATCTTTCGGGATACTGTACTGCATCAATGCACGATATTGGTCCTGCAGCATCAGTACTCCCTGAAACAGAGAATTTCAGTGTTATCCCGTCCAACATCCTCCCAAAGCAGCTGTTTATCCCGTAAACTTCCTTCTTGGTTGACGAAATTATAGTTTTCTACTTCATAGCTTTCCGTCTCGAACGAACAGTAAAGAAAATGTCGTGGGCTTATAAACGTGGGCCATTCCACACGGCTTGCGGACCGACTATATGTACATGCGCGAGAATTTTTATTTTCTTCTCTTTTTTTTATTTTACTTCGATCAAAGAATCGAATCAGTAATGAAAATAAGCAAACGTACAATGACTGCTTGCATATAAAACTTGTACGTGAATAGGAAAAAGAACTGTCGTGCAAAAAATTGTCATTCTTTGAAGAAAAAAACAATAATAACGCTTAATCAATGAATCATTGCATCAGAGAGCAAATTGAAATGGTAGAAAAGCAGTAATCGAAATGATAACGATAACAAAAGCGTTTGTAATAGTACTGTATGTAGCAAATTGTGATTATTATATATGTAAATAAAACTATCATGCCGGATAATAATAAATATGCATTGTACGTAGAAGATAAGACGATTGGAATGACCCTCCTCCGATCTTCATTGTTAGTCCACAAACTTTTATGATAGATAGAGGATAGGTGAAAAGCACGCGGCGCGGCCTTTTTTTTCCCGATATAATAATTCTTTTTTTAATCCAATAGACGGAATTTGCGAGCGAGTTAAGAAAAGTCTGCAAATTATGTGGGGACTCCTAGATAAATAATTAGGTACGGTAGATTGAAGTAGCCTTTAATAGGTGCACAGCCATGGCCATGGGGAAGGCCAAGGGGCTGCGTTACCGTGCCTTGCCGCCACGGGGCGTCGGTGGCACGCGTACAACGCATCGGTTGTCGGGTATCTGGACTGAACTTCTTTCTACCTGTTTCATCTCCATCCACCGTGCGGCCTCCTGAGTCGCGTTAAACTCGACGAATGCAAAACCTCGCGAAGCACCTATACAGAGCAAATACACACATATCCAAAGTTAATCCACGTTTTGCCTGGGTGTCTCTACTCTGAGAGGGCAGGCAATCACAGCACCAACCATTGACAGACTGAGTTTCAAACGAAGTATTTTTCTTCGCTTCGTCGCTTGCTTTCATTTCCATTTGCCTAAAGCTCAGCAGAATGAATTCTACTCGAGTGACAGTCGATTGATATCTATCATACTTTCACGCGAATTTTATTTTACTTCTTTAGTACCTAAATCTCTTGCTCTTCATCCCCCCCGCCCCAATTACCGTGAACGGTTATATAAAATATTCCCAATCCCATCCAATTTATGTTAATTGCTGATATATTAAAAAAAGAAAGAAAAAAGAAACAGGGTCATCAGAATTGGTTGGCAAATTATGTTCCAATTATTTTAAATATATATAAATATTATTTCACCACCCTTCTAGATGAATAACGATGATCTGATTTTCCTCAAAATAATCTTGCTACATAACAACATATGTTCTTCTTATAAACTTACCTTACTCCAAGAATAAAAAATGAATGATTTATGATCAATTTATAGCAATTATGTTCATAATTTTGCATTAATAATTTTGGGGTATGTATGATTGGTACCGACATAATGCTAATACAAATCTTTGTATGGTATAATAAAAAACTGTTTGAAATTGTTAATATGTAAAAACAATTTAAGACAATGGTTATCAATGCTTTTATAAATTCTAATACTATCAACTCAATGCAGAGTAGCTTCTAATATAGTTACTCAAAATTGAGGCAAAATAATTATGTTATATATCTTACATAAATTATTCACATATCAGTGATCTGCAATATAATTCAAAATTATTAAAAATTTCAAACAGCTTTTTAAATGATCATTAAAAAAGCAATGATAACTTATGACTACTCAAATCTAATGCAACCTGCTGAGATAAGAAGCACTTTTCTAGTTCGCACATTAGGTTTAGGGGAAGTTAAGTTGCAAAAATAATGATAATTACCTGTATCCTTTTTACGAATTAGCCTGATGTCCTTGGGCATGAGACCACAGTTGAGGATGTCTTGCCGCACCTGTGATACACACATCATAATAATAACAGTGATGCATGCTTGCAAATGCTGGTTCACGAGTGGCCAAATTATGTTGGGCCGCTAAGTTGACAACCTACGTCATTTTCTGTAATGTGCTGTGCAAGCCCACGAATCATTATGGTGTTGTTTGGAGATTGAGATTTGTAGTGGATGCCTTCCATGGACGAACCATAAGTACGTCCATGGTCATGCTCAAAGTCCATGCTTTCTCGACTGTGATCATCATCACGATCCCTGTCTCTTTCTTCCCGTTTTCCTCTACGATCTCTATCTCTATCCCTGTCTCTGTCTCTCCTAGAGCGGTCTCTGTCTCTGTCGCGGTCACGATCCCGATCTCTGTCTCTTTCTACAGAGTCTCTGTCTCTTTGTCTTCCATAACGGTCCTCTCTGTCCCTGTAACTGCGATCTCTGTCGTCTCTACTTCGATCTCTTCTGTCTCTGGAACGGTCCCTTTCACGATCTCTGTCCCTACCACGATGATTTCTGTATTCTGGACTTCTGTGATCCCTATCACGATGATCATTGTCACGATGCTCAGTATATTCTGGTGATCTGCTACTTCCATATTCATTACGATAGTCATAATCCGAGTTATGTCCTCTTCTTTCAGGCCCATAACCTGGTTCCCATGGATCAATACTGTTACTGTACATGTTGTCCATTCATTTAAATTATGTCTGAAACAGTTAAAATTTTGTTCATCACAAACTGAAAAAATTAATTCATTAAATATTTTGTAATCTAAAAAGTTATGAGTAATTAATTTAAAATTAGATTAAAGCAACGAAGAAGAGCCATTATTAAATTAACGTTCTACTATATACCCCTATGTAATATATATAAAACGATGTGTCACATGTTGTATATAACAAATCATTTTGAAAAATTAAATAATAATTCTTGAAGACAACTGAAAAATTTTCACTTCACATATGAAATTTTTTAATTTCATCGGAAACGTAAGATCTCGATTTAAAATCCGTATTTTCGACGGAAGAACAATGCATCTTACATGAATGCATAAAACTAATGACAGATAGTTTGATACTTCTAGAATATAATCCAGCAATTAAAAAACGCGATAACAAATATTCGATTGATCTTATTAGCGCAAGAAAGGATTAAGTGATAGAATATTAAGTAAAAAGTGTGAACAGTGCAATGCAAGATTGAATATGGAATCCTGATCCGCTAAAGTGAACGAAACATCGTGGCATTGATTAATAATTACCCACTACTATTAATGTTTTCAAACTACACCAAATTTCTAGTAAAATGATCCGTGTTTTGTTCCAAATTTTCTTCGTTCGTAATTATTACTCACTTTACTTGTTACTTGCAAAATCGGGCAAGAAATAGCGTGATGCGCACAATGGCGTGGTTGCACCTCTTGTTCCTCAAAGTACAATATGGCGATCTCTCTGCAGGACGGATTCATTAGATACGTGGTTCGCAAACGCATAATCTATCCAGAAATATTTCTCAGATGGCGCTTCAACAAGTTATAAGTCGTTATAAGTTTTGACACTACATGTGTATGTCAAATTTTCGTCTAAATATCTCAATTCCATTTTGTTGTTATATAAATAATTTCTATTTTATTAATTTTTTCGTTATAGAAACAAAATTAATTCTTTCAATTATAACGGCAATTAAGAAAATACTGTTTACTAAAGAATTGCATAGCATCTTTCCCACCTTGAATTATATGGTACTATATTTAATAAGTTATAATTAATTTTACAATGATAATAATATCGCATAAAAATTTGAATTTTACGAAATGAAAATCTTTAAAAAAAGATCACAAGGTGGCAGCACCATGTCAACTCGATTTTCCCGCGTTGCAAGGTTAAAATTAAAACAGTTGCAGTGTATAACAAGTTGTTACGTGAGATAAAAGAAATCCAGATTTTTAGTTATTCTTGTTCTTTTTTCTGTTTTAATGAAAAGTGCATAACGTGGTGACAAGCAAGTAGTTTATATATTTTTCTCTACTTTTTCTTTTTGGTATGTATCGTTTCTTTTATTGCGATTCGCACATAATATACCGATGATTCCTCGTATGTCGTAGAAATTAATATTCTATAAGTATATAGTAATTCATACTTCATCCTAATAATAAAAAACATCATTGTAATATTGTATCAAAGACGGTGTCAAAAAAATGACTGACAGCAAATAATTCATTGCCAGTAACATTTCATTGTTTACAAGTCCAATTGTTTGAAAGTTTCAACTATTATTATTGTCGAATGTCCACAGTAATATATATCAATTATATTTATTTAATTTAATTGCAAGTGTTACGTGTAATTATAATTGATACGACACTCGAAATGCGAATGACTTTCTGCGATATAACCTCAAATTCCATGTTAAAAGCTATATCCGTCAATGGTGATGTCTATCGATAAAACATACTGGAACTAATCGTAATTATAGGCAGTTAAACAATTAAGTGTTAAAGTTGTCATATATGGTGGCATGATATATATACCGTATCTACGACGTGCCTAAACCGAAATGCATCACAAAGCTGCATTTGTAAAGTAAGTAAAATACAAACTTTTATTCGTAAAAAATCTTCGAAGTTTCAAATATATTTTGTTTCCATCTAAACATTTATTCTTTAAATTTATTCGTGTAATTTTCACACGAATATATTTCGTAATGTGTGCATGCATGCCGAGTGTGTAAATTGAGGTCTATTTACACATATATCGTGTTTATTCGGATCGCAGGATCGCGTTCAATTTTGGTGTTATTCAATTTCATACACGGTAGTCGGTGGTCGCTGCACACAATATCTACTTGTATGTATTAAAATCGAATAAAGAATTATCGTTTTAATAATAATAATTCGAGTCCTAATAATAGTGTTGATGTTCCGCACTTGCATTAATATGTGGTATTCCACATCTTACATCTGTCACGTTTTATAGGGAGTGTCAGTTCATACTTCGAAGAGTAGGCCAGATCCACCCTGATTCTTACCTAGCTACGCGAATGCGTATGAACTAATGTTTTTGCTCGTTTAACTTAAACGCACTTATAGAGGTCGCCAGTTTTACCTAAGAATGTGTTGGCGAGTGAAAGAGCATGATAAACAGCGCGACAAGGTAGAAGGACACGAATTGAAATAACAGAAGCAGCGTAGCGAAGAAGAAAAGGAAAAATGATAAAGACAGGAAATTGACGAACGAAAACAGAGATGGGAACTGTAAGAGGAGGAAAAATAATGAAAGAAAGAAAATGATAATAGGGAAGAGTACGGGAGAAACGAAGGGAGAGGTAGAGAAATGCAAATTGCGAGGGGGGATGCAAACAAGCGTAAGCGCGAGAGAAATAGAAAGGGATGAAAATAGGGGTTTTCTGCGCAAGTGGTTCGCGCAGACGGCTCGTCTATATACTTGGTTCAACGACCACCGCCCTAGTATCATCCTACCCCGTAGTACCGGGGCGGTTGGTGCGATACTAGCAAGGCGAGAGGGATGAAACGGGTCTTGGGGATCGAGTGGGTGGGTTGGTTGGGGAGGCAGAGGGTGCTGGCCTGGGTGTACGAGCTTAAGAGGGGGAAGAGACGAGGCGGTGTTGAGCCGAACGACCTACGGACCAGTTCCGTCTCGAGTCCAGGAGTAGAAGAGCTACTGGCCGCTTGTCTGCTCCCTTCTTTCGCTATAGTTTCATTTCTTTCCGTTTTAGTTCATTCTTCAGTTCCGATTGATTGACACGTATTTACACATACATGTAAACACACATACACATACACGTATTCATACTCACGAACATATATGTACTAATATACAAAATCGTCAGGCGACACACCTATATAACCGTGTGGTATATACACGCTACCTCACAGCCTCACATACATACACACACACACGATTACACGCGTAAGAAGCGCGCGCGATCGAGCGCGTACATTAGACGTATCTTTGAGTATCTGGTCCACGCACAGAGGGAATATCGTATGGTGTCGCGAATATAATCGTACGTTTTGTGTCTGCTGCGTTCCCGTTTGTCGTATATGTTCGATGCACGGACACACCCGCGGTTAAGCGTCCTTAGGCTCGTCTCTGACCAGGTGTGTCAGGCCGCGTAATACCTGGCGTCTTCTGTCCATCCCGGTGCGCGTGCAACAAGCCCCCCACACACTCGGGTCGATTGAGTTTTAAGAAACCGTAATTGTCGCATTCAGGTACGTGGACATTTCTATTATGTGATGGCCGAAGTTAAGTCGTTCAACACGTTCGATCCCAGGGTAACAGGTGCAGAGGTCGCCGCCTCGGTGGTATGTGTAATATTACACGGTTAGACCTGAAAATGTTAACCCAGGAATTCGAAGTGTTGGAAGGTTTAAGGTCAGCCCAAGGGAGGGTCAGCTTGTGTCCACTTAAAAGAAAATATTAGAAAACAAAATTCGTACCCTTTTAAAAAATAGAAATGAATGATACATGACACGGATCATTTTATTACTTTTATCTTTTGTTTTGATTATTCCTTTTTTCAGAGCGTGCATATTTAATAAGAATTGAAATTATTTTGAAAAATTCAATTTTAAAGCTTCATGGATATTTTTTGACCCTCTCTTTTCTTCTTTGAATGATTTAAGAAAAGTTTGGTTTATTAATGGCAGGTTAATAGATAGCACTCCCGAACAAGATCGATTCACTCCATTCTGATCAGTGTATGTCAATACATAAATAAAACGGTATATGGCAAGATCTAAATATAAATTTAAACGATAAACAGAATTTCTGTCTCGTTCGAGGGTCTTTTGTTTATTTAGTCGTTGTGTGGAATAAATAAGTTAAAGTATAAAATGTTTATATTTATTTGAAGGCGTCGTTCACAATGAAATGATTAATAATTACCAAGAAATTATGCATGCATTGTATTTATTTCGTTTTTCCAATAACAATTAATGTCTTCGTTTTGTTATTAACATCGCCGTCAAAACATGTAACCGAGAAGTTTAAAGGGGTTGTATTTTAACGGAAGTTCAAGAAGAAAATTGCGTGTGCACGCGAATAAAGTAGCGTTAACAACCTTATAAATCAACCCTTTATGATTCGATATGGCGCGTTCGAATCAGTGAGTCGCGTCGTTGGCATTAACCAGGCTTGGGCATACCACTCGATGCATCAATTTGACCCGAGTCAAGCTTTCTCGCGAACCGTGTAAAGAAACTTCCCTGCGAAACCGATACCGCCTTTGCCGTATCGCGTTTAAATTACATGCTTATGTTACCTCGTTATCCTTCCTTTCTTCGATCAACCGGCCGATCAATTTTTCAACGATCGCTACTCTCGTTTAGACGATGAATTTTAAGTGTCAGACGAGTGTATATGATGCTTTGTTAATGGTAGACAATCTTTCATCGAGTGGTCTTTCATTTGAAAAGTTATAATTTACGTGAAAATTACTCGCCATGTAATCACACTTTAGAGTTGATTTTCATGTAGTTGGGTTAATTGTGACTCTGATTTCTGAGATGACATGATTTTTTATTTTTCCGTACATACTAAGTTAAAGATGACACTGTCTGAACTTTAAGCCAAATAGGAGGAACCTTTCAATTTGACATATTAATCGACAAGTTTGCTTAAAAACAGCAAAAATGATCAATACAATTATGAGTTTACGAACTGCACATATACAGTGTTAACTTTGAGCGTTTTCAATAAATTGCATAGGGGAAGAAACGCGAAGGTCGCGAATGTAGTCAGTCTAGTATTAGTAAGATATTGGTGAAAATTCGATAACTGGTAGAAGCCACAAGTCGTTCGAAAGCAAAGCAGGCCAGTCGAATTCGATAGAAAGAGCTCGAAGGTTTTGTTGAAAAGCATTTCACCCGTCGATTGCTTCCGATGGGATGACGTCCAAGTCGAGACGATCGCTATCTTCTCGGCTTAGCGGCTTTTCGAGCGACCTTTGCTCTGTTCTTGCTGGTAGCCAGCTCCAAACCGCCCCTCGTCAGCTGATTGAAATCGATAATGGTGAGCCTCGGCTCGGCTGGATGTCTCGACAGGGGCTGCACCCTGACGACCGGTGCCCCGGGGCTCCGGAACCTGTAGCTCCGGTTCCTGCACCCGCCGACGCCCGTTCCACTTCCACTTCCGGTCCCAAGCTGGCTCATCCGCGTGCCGCTCATCGATCGACAACCACCGCTCGCGGGTATCTCTGTCTCCTCTTGGAAATACCTGTCGATCAGCGACGGCATTCAAACGTGTTTCGATATCGTTTATTCCGACAATTTATCGCGATCGAATAATCGAAAATTAGCCATTGTGACCTTACTACCGAGCTGCATCCGACTCAGCTTTCATTTAAGTTACTTTAGAACGCGAATAACCTTTAGTTATTTGATACCGATAAACTTGACACTGATTCGCAACAACAGAGTAGTAGAATTACTCGTGAATGCTGGCGAGATGTATAGGAGCCGGAGTTCTGGACGTTTTCGCTCTCGGTTCTCTAAGAACCCGATACCTTGGCCGAGATTGACGCGTTCGTTTGGTGGAAGGTTGATCGGGAAGACCAGCAGGGATGATGCCCATTAGTTTGTAGTATTCTAAGAAAACTCGAGCTAGACTGCGGCCTACTCTGTAATCTGTGATTCAATTCGTTAGTCAAGATCTTTGATTCAGTAATTCTGAAATGGAAGCTGGTAGCAATTAGAGAGATAGAACTTGAATCGAGTTCAGCGTTTTTGCTATTGACAATCAGCGGAGTAGAATGTTTGTTCCTATTCATTTTAGCAAGAGCAACGTGCTTAAAGCGGATTGGATTAACGAGCCGGATTAACGGCACCGTAATTTGGAACAGTCGAGTGTCTTCAGACGGATCGTCTTTCCGGTGATTAATTATCTCTGCCGAGATTGCCGTAGCTTAAACTTTGTTAATTACCAAGTTTTGACTGGATTCGCGCAGTAATTATATTTGATATATGAATACCTAAATGAAATATGCGACAACTGTGCAATCTATAGTGATTTAACGCGTGGCAATTTATGTTGGTAATTTAGTTATTCGGACTTAGCAGTGACAGCTAGAAAAGGATACATCCTTCTTCGGTGTAGGGGAATATTCCGGTCGTCGCTTTTCTATTGTACCCGTACATCGATACCTCGATGCTGTAACAATTCACGTGTTCTTTCAGAATGGAGCACAGATAACGACGGGCGGTCCCAGCCTTGTGCGGATCCTGATTGTACATCGTATGTCCCATTTCATAACCTTCGGCGTGTTGCGCCAACAACTTTGGCAGAACGATATGCCTCTCGTACCTGAGAGGCTGGCAGCCATTCATTAGATACTGTCTCTTTAACGTCCAAATGATTGTATTTTGTTCCAAAACGCGATATCACAGTCGAAACATCAAAGGAATGGGAAAGGGGTTGTGGAATTTTCATCTAGATTCTAATAATAATCATCTAGTTCGACATCCTTAAAAAGAGGAAAGCAACGATTGAAGGTACCTGTACACATCGTCATACGTGTTCCCATAAACGAAGATCCCGGTGGCGTTTGTATGAGCATGTAGGTCCAATACGCAGTCCAAAGGAGTACGAGTACTCCTATCGAGGTTCTTCAGTATCGGTTTGATCGCCACTAGAGCAGGATGAATCCAGTCAGAGATTTTGTTCCAGGAACGGTTTAGATCAGCGCCTAGCGCCGTGGATCTTGAACATAGTCGCATCTTTTAGTTAGTTTAACAAGTTTCACGCGCAGGATACTCTCTAGTTATTTACCTATAATTACCGAGAAATACGCCGTCGGGATTCAGCATCGGTACCACTTTGAAGACGACGTAGTTTCTGAGGACTTGAGCAATGGGATGGGAACTAACCAGAAAGTCCATTAGACCTTGGCAAACAAAGGAAGACGGTGATTCTCCCGGATGGATTCTGGCGAGAACGACTACGACTCTTCTGGAACGCTCTCGAGTATCGTCCAGGTTCGAGCTTATCGTGATCAGTTCGATTTTCCTCTTTTGAATAGACGTGGCTAGAGTCTCTCTCTTCGTGTACATTAGTCTGGTGCAGAGGTTGTCCAGGTGTGCCAGGTATCGGCTGTACGAGTATGGATACGATAGAGCAAACTGGTACACGTCCTCCTCGCGGTCGAAGGAGAAGGCGAAGCTGAGGACGTAGTGATTTTGGTGCTGAATAGACTTGTAATAGAACACCTGGAGACATATTACTTGCTTTGAAGAAAGAATCAGAAGGTAGCAATATAAGAAGTTTACAGCGAAGCAAACAGTTTTAAAAGTCTTCCAATATCTGCAATAAACTCTGACATAGTCGACTACTTTGTCCACTACATAGTTAAGTCACTGTTATCCCTGTTTCCACTTTAGATTTTTATCCCTCTTAGCTTGACCATGGATCTACAGCTATGTCAAGTGGTTCAGGCCTTTAAGCAAACTTTACGAACACTTAACAATTTCGGAGATCCTAGACCACTTTGAGCCATCAATAAAGGAAGACTTCACAACTAGCTTACTTGGTCCCTTGGAATCCTTTGCCACTTAGGTTTGCTGCTGCTCTTGACCAACGGCGTCATCCCACTTCGAAACAGATTAGCACTTCTCGATATGTTGACGATGTTGAATACGACACGTTGCTCGGCCTTCACATTGTCCACCGTGAAATTGAACCATAGACGAAGACGTGGGTTGCAGGTGTCCGGCCGGATGAACAGATCGTATTCGAACTCCGAGATAAGGTCCACCCTACCCAGGTTGCCTGTCTCGAAGGAGGCGTCAAAACAGATGTGTCCTTTCTTTGCTTTCCCGCTGTGACCAGGTGGCCGCATTATCATCTTGTTCACGTTGCCCAGACCACCCTCTGCATCGCTATCTTCACTGTCTGCAACGATGATTTTGATACGATAATTGCGTTAATTTACTGCGGCGTTACGCGTCAGATTATCGTGTATTGGATCACCACGCGATGAATCATAACGCGTTGGATTACCATGCGTTGGATCACTACGCATTGGTTTAATACGCGAACTACCGGATCACTACGCAATGGATCATCACACGTTCGATAATTTAGGCAAAGTATGACAACAAACCGGCTCTCTGATAAAGACTAGTGTGTTCCAGAGGGTCACGACCCTCTCCCATAGTGATCGCAGGAGTGGTAACAGCAGTGATCCACCGTGTAGAAGACACGAGACCGAACTGACTTGATTCTCGCCGAGTTCTATCACGTTGGCTGTTACCACTTACGTGCTAAAGCTGCAACACCGATGGTTGGATCAGCACGTTACGGCTAATTCTCGTGTCGGATAGCTCTTCGTGCGAGCTATCTCGGCTGGTTCGTGCATTTGCGTGGTTGAATCTAGTCAGAAATCGAGTTGACGAGAAATCGCGTGGCAGCCACGCGTCAAAGGTCTTACTGGTTTAACAGATCGGTCATGTTTCAAATGGTCAAAGTCACTTGTCACGAGAGAGAAACGGAAGATTCATTTTTATTAAATCTTTAACAACTTTATGATTTGTCTCGAAGATATAGGTCTATCAATGCCGTCCTAGTCGTAGAAAGAGAAACGATAGCAATCCAAGCTAAAAAGATGGTTTAACAGCGATATGCACTTGGAAATGATTTTCTAAGTTGATATCTTTACCGGGTAGTTTTACTTCCCGTAATCTCTTGCGATCACGTGGGAACGTGGCCAGAGCTGTTGCTTCTGGTCACGAAACCAATTATTAGAAGTTTGGTTAGAAGTTGAATAGGGTTGGTTTTAAATGCTTTACACCTACACTTTCCGAATGTTAATCATTTCGATTACACTGTACAATTGCAGACAGATTTGTTAACACAGAAAGTTTCATCGCGCTGTTCAACCCCTCATCAGGAAAGAACGAGCGCAAAACAGAACGGTACACGTCACGTTTTCCACGAACGAAGTCACGTTGTGGTACCTAGAATCCACGTTCTGGTTTTCTGTTTTTCATATTACATGCAAGAAGCGTAGACTTCCACGGATAAATCTAAACCATACCAGCACAGAGCCTACTTCCATTTCTACATATATCCATCGGTAAATGACGTATCCGAAAGTGGTACGTCTATAACCAGCGACGAACACGTCAAAGGAGGGATTAGAGACAGTCGTCAACCTATAGTTGTTTTACGTCAAGATTACGCAACTCTATTATCAATGATTCACTTGATAGAGGACAACAGCAGCAACGGGTTATACCGTCGCGTGAACCTTGTGTTGTCAGTCAATGCTAGTGACCGACAGTGACTCGTTTTCATATAGGGTGTCCTATCACGATGTGCCATTTAAAAGAAAATTATGTCTCTGATGCCACTTGTACACTATCTCTGTGTCCTCTTTTGGCTCTCTAAGTCCTAGATTCTTTCTAGACTCTTCGAGGACCTAAGCTTCCTTGGATCCTAGACTCTACATTCTCTTCATCTCCAAGCTCTCCCTAGTCTCTAAATCTTCAGTAGTCAATTTAACAGATCAATATGTCTAGCATCAGCGGAAGAACAGTTAAAATGTCAGAGTGTGTACAATGCGGCGAATCACCGCAATGATTCCTCGCGTGACTTTCCGAAAGGATCCGATCGACTTGACGGATCACTGAAGATTCATCGGAAACAAGGTGAAGGCACGTTTGTGTGTGTAGGCGTGATATCACGTAGATCGTGGCACTTGTTACGTGCTTCCAGTCACGAACAGGTTCGTTACGAACTCTCGAAGACGGATCGAACGTGTATACTTACCAGTCTCGTCGGACATATCGAGAACGGTGCGACTTTGTCCTGGCCTGGTCCACGCGAGGTCGAAACTTCGGACGTGCACTGGACGACACTGACTCGCATCAGTTCACGTTGGTTTCCCTTGGTTTGTTGAATCGATACGCGTCGCAGAGACGCTTCTTTTCGTTTTGCTTCCATCTACGCCGCTTCCTCGGTCTCGCGTGTCCCTGTTCGGTAGTTATATCACTCTCGGGAAAGTTCATAGCACCGTTACGGTGGCCAACGAGCTTACAGTACACGCTGCTTCACAAATAATGATCGATGGCAATGATTATTTATAAAGTAGAAGAATTCTGATAGATCTGCTAGTTTCGTCCGAAATCGTAAATGATCACACACTGCTCTCTTGGCACTTGTTAACTTTAGTTCTAGTTAGAAACTGTGGAGATACCAACAGATTTGTCACACTTAGTCCAAGTGCAATCGTATGTCCTCTCACCCTGTCAGATGGGAACTTTCGCATCTTGACTGGAAACTTTAGTCGTGTCAAGAAATTTGCTACATCAAGACCAGGTCAAGTCTTTTATTTGATGGTCGGTAGCTTTAGTGCCTCATACAGGGGCTTTAGCAGCTTTATACGGTCATCAAAATTTTTCAGGCTATTGTCATTCTTTATGAAACACTCTATACTATGATGCACGTATTCGGTTTCCACCCGGTGAAAGTCGAAGAACTTTACCCCTGAAATACATTAACCAATGGTGAGCGCAGCGAGCTCATCTTTCGCGGTAAACATTTGCGCAGGCACGTTTGCTCTTTTACATCCTAATAACATCCTGACCGAGTATTTTTTACTTTCTCTTTTGGAAACGTGTTCGAACTATCAATTTTCCATTAGATCAGTTTAAAATTTTCGAGATAGGTATATCATTCACTGAACATTTAGATTGAAATGGTTTGTACTATCGGTATCGTGCGAACTTAATACACTTTGGCTCTAGAATGTGGAGTGCAGATATATACATGTGTGTCCATAGCCTATGTAGATAATTTTCATAGGGAGCGTGTATGCATCCGCAGCACTCAAAGGGTTAATACGCGAACGAGCAGCACATAATCCGCGCGGTGTGTGGTCGATTATCAGAGTGCAAAAAGGTGTGTATACGTGTGGGTGCACGTGTGCAGCCTCGTTTCCCGGGTCCATGCAATGTTCCGTGCATGGAAGCAACATGCAAAACGAGCTTAAGTCGCGCATATCTATCTTTGGCCAGGCTCTGCTTCCGGATGAGCAAGCGCAACCATGGCGTTGAGAAAGGATGTAGTCATGGAAACTCGCTTGCAGGGCTACGATATGGTTTTCTGGGCTTCTCCGAATCCCCCGTTTCTATAATTCGTGATAAGATACATTTTTCACGACTAGTCTCGATATTGTACAAATGTGGACTTGTGTTAAACACATTTTTCGAACAGATTGAATTCGTTGAAATACTATGTCAATACTTTGGTGCATCGATCTTCGAGTTGAATGGTTCTCCCGAGTTGTACCCCATTAAAACGTTGAAAATTTCTTTCAGCGATCGATCAAACTTCGGTAGCCCCAAACGCAGAATTCGAGGCGGAATAACTTTTGAATTTGAGAGCAATGTTCGGAGCAAGTTTCGACGATGGTTATGGTTAGGTGTGTTTGTTCGGCTGGTGAATGTCCTCCACTCCTGGGCTTTGCCTGGGACTTCCTGGTGAACCCTTCCCGTTTCACCCCGTTCGCAACCGAGCTGCAGTATGGAGGGAGAGCAACAGAGAGAGCCAGAGAGAGAGAGAAAGAGAGAAGGAGAGAGAGAGGGAATTCAGTGCAAGAGAGAGTGAATGACTAGAAGGCGAGAGATCGATATTCGAAACCCCTGTGCCGTTGGGCAACCGAGCTGCTCTTGCCACCCAACGCCCAGTGGCGTAGGAAGAGGGGGCAATTGGGCTAGGTATACCTCCCTGTTCCCAGGATACTCGACAAACGGAAGTTTGGGACAAAGAGGAGGAGCGTTATAAATTGCCCGAGACGGGATTCAGGATTTACGCGTACCCCCCTGTCTTCCTTCTGCTCCCACCACCCCGAGCCTTCTGGGTGTCTGTCTTTTCATCCTTTCGCTATTTTTATCGAGTCCTTTCAATGACTTCAACTCTGCACATCGTCTGACGTTACTGGCAATTCAGGGAAAAGCGTATTAAAATTTACGCGTTTGATTAATCGAGTCTGAACGCAACGGTACATGCTAAGATACATATGCAAGATACACAGTTTGAGATATTCCGGATAACTGCACAGGTGTTCGGGGTATTTACCTGGTGGTACCCTCTTAATATTTACTCTTCTGGAAGGACTATCAGATTACGAGTTAACTGGTTCATACCAGCATACGGATCAACACATTGATTATCGTGGCTGCCACGGTGCTGTAAATTACAACTTCTCCCGGATCGTCCTTCGTCTACCGTTCAATTTCCATTACTATTTCAGGATATAATTGGAAATAAAATTAATGGATAACAGTAAGCTGTAAATTGGTCGATCCCTTATGTTCTCTAATAAAAAACCAATAATCCTGAATTAAGAAACGTTTGTATAATCATTTTCTTTGATCTTCAAATTGCTGTGTCATCAACCTGAATGCAATTTCCAAGATGAACAAAATCTACCCATAAATTTCAACCTACGCCTTTGCTCGTGTCTCTCCTCGTGCACATACTATTTACCATTAGATTATCATCCCCTCAATTTTTTTCGCGTCTCCCTCGTCTCTTGTATTCCTTCACCCTCTCATCCCTTTACGAGCAGCTCTTTTCTCAGCTCAGCTTCCTTTTTTCCCATCCACCTATATATCTCGTCCATATCTCTCGGTAACGCCAACGCGTAACGGCTAGCAACGAGCAAACTAATTATTTCTACCATGATGATCGATTCGCGTCCGTCATTTCGGGCAGAGTCATTAACGGACGCTCTTTCACGCGAGCGTTCGTTAACATCGACTGCTCGCTACGCTGGCAATAACGTGATAATGATATTCAGCTTGGGGAGCACGCGTCGCGTTTCGATCGATACTTTTCTCCGTTCGACTCGATTCTCGATAAGATAATCATCGATCAAACGCAGATTAGAATTAAAAGTTAAAAACTCTGTTACTATTCGCAATTTAAAATTGTTCATTTATTGTACATCGTTCATTGTGAAACATTTTCTTATATAGATAATATTGTGGTAAGGAACAAATTGTTAGTTTAGACATAGAACTAATTTGCTTGTATTTTATTGTATCTACAGGTTTGTTACTTTCTTATGCATATATGTTCGTCCTATTCATTATTATAGAATGCACAATTAATCGGTAGGTGAGGCACGTGGTTCCATTTATGCAGCACGTGTCCTCTCAAGATTCTACCAAGGGTAGTGTCACATTACCCGATGAATCCACCTCCTCCAGGTAGCTCACCTTCCTACAAAAGAAGAAAACGTCCCCTCGATTCAATCCCGAACCTCTAATACCTTGTACCTACACAATGGAGGGAGAATAGGGACGAGAAAAAGCGACAAAAGTCGGGAAGTCACCGAGCTAGTTTATCCTTAAAATTCCCGACTATTTTCAACACTCTATATAATTAAATTAATTAAAAGAAAATTTCACAGTTGTATGTAGTATGTAGTAATAAAATATAAAAAAGGAAAAGTGCGTATGATCAGATACGAGTTATCAATTGGGGTGTAATTTTGTGGAAAATTTTTTGAATATTCGTGCATATTGGTTGGGCGGTGGACGATGTGGTAAAGGCACAGGGTGAAATTTGGCCGCATTCGGTACGAATTGGAGGGAGGTGGAACCCCTGGGACGGTTTCCATTTTCAACGTGGCGCCTGCGTTCTCGAGCTCTGCACGGGCTCGCACAACCCTCTCTCTTCTCACCCTTTTCATCGAGTTTCTCTCTCCCTCTCTCTCTTTCTCTCTTTTCGCGGAGCCTGAATTTCCACCCCTTCTCTTTCAACCCTCGAGCAACGCTTGCGCACGTGCACTCCCCCGCGTCTGGCCATTTTTTTCTTTTTCTTCTTGTTCCCCTTGAATTCAACCCCCCAACCCTCGTACAACGACGAGAAACTCTGATGAAACACAGTCGACTGTATATACGTATATATTTCTACGTTCAATTTATTATTCGACGATTTAATGATACGCATAATGTATCCAACGAGCTTTTACATTTATAGCCAGAGTCCAATATGATTTCGTACTCTGTCAACTGGAAGTCTGTTATTACGTTCATTACCGCGGTGAAAGCAGATGTACAAAGTAACCTATTGTATAATGCAGCAGAGACTTTATTAAACGTACTGTGATCAAAATTACTACAACTTTCAGTATCGTTAAAAGTCTTCGAGTGATTTAGAATCATCCGTCTTCTTTGGAAACACCGGTTAACGCGTTTTTGTGGACGTCTAATCGCCAGGGCTCGTTTTTCACGAATTTACCCTTCCATCAGGTTCGTCTGACACCTGTACGCAAGCTCCACCCTGTTACACTCTTTTTTCTCTAAAATCTCTTGTCCTCACCCTTTGGTTCTTCAACCAACATCCACAGGCTGTTCTTTTCTATCTCTGTTCGTCCTTGTCCTGTCCTTTCAATTGGTATCGGTGGATGCAAGGTCCAGAGGGTCTCCTGAGGGAACAACCATTGTTTACGACCCTTCTGTAGCGTTTGCGTACTTGGCAAACGTCCATGATTTTATTTCTCTTCTCTTTCTTTGCTTCTTTTTTTTTTGTTCGCATTTCTCCTCTTTGTCTTTGGTCGACGGACAATTATAATGTCCAGGGATTCTGGGGAGTACAATGATCCTCTTCCGTTCTTGTTCGGTGGATACGTTTATTTCTGGCTTTGTTTCTTATTGATCTGTTATAATCATATGTTGCGTACACTTTTCATGATTTTTCCCTTCTTATTGTTCGCGGTAAGCAACGTCTCGAGAGAGAATCGAGAACAATACGACACATGAATACACGGCGAAAATGATACCGTCATTGTCTTCGTCTTAATTCTGCGCCTTCGCTATTTTTCTCGTTTCCTTACGTCACTATTTTTCTCTATCGAGTCACGTTCAACCTCTAACATTTAGTATTCCTCGGTAATGGAACGACCTGCAGTGATTGCCTTTAACTCTGATTTCACGCAAGCGCATTTCCTCTGGATCCTTTTCGATTCCCATTTCTTGCTATCTTTACCATCTCGCTGGCGAAGAGCATAGATCTTGATTTAACATCCATGTTCTTGCAACTTCAATATCTTCTACCTAACCTACTTCCGATACGTCTTCCAATGACGTGGACCGGGAGTCAATCCTCGATTTTTCATCTTTCCCAACTTCCTAATATAACCTAACCTCGGTGATGCGAACCCAGAAAGAGCCGCCTCTGAAAGGTCCGATTTAGCGTACTGGTCCTCCAATTTTCTTCCGATTATAATTCCCGCCCTGTAATACCACTAACCTAACCTAACGTACCCCTGGCACTCAAAATCTGGTAGCGATGCATACGCAGAAAGAGCACAGTCATTGCTCGTAGCCCTGATTTAGCGCCTGCGTGTACCTGGTCGTCCCACAACTTTTCTCATTCCTCATTTCTTACAACTTCACCCTCGTCTCTTTCACCCACGTTCGTGCCGCCACCCCTGTCGTGCACACGCAATATCGTCGTGGTAGTGATCCAGAGAGAGGGTGCATTGCCTCCTCCCAGCGCCTGCGTACATTCCATCAGTCTCTCCTTGTCCGTCCACCTTTTTCGCTTCGTCTTTTCGCTTCAATCATGCTATTCTCCTAGCCGACTCCCACCCCTCTCGAGTCTAACCAGGACTAGTATCAACGAGGGTGGTGGTGGCGTCGAACGGGTGCAGCGATTGGCGGTGGTGCTCAGCTCCGTCAGTTTAGTTACCGCACCACATAAAGGCATTGCGTTGTAGACACCGTTATACCCGCAACATTCTTATACTATTTGCTTGTATATCTTCATTTTTTTAACCTTTCAATTCGACAATACGTTCGTATACATACAATCGTTCTCCGTGCATGTACATTCATCCTTGCTTTCTCCCTGACCACGTGTTCTTCAAGATACGTCAAACCGTGCGTGTATGTGGTTCACGCAGAAGCGACCTCGAAGTTCAACGACAATAACAATAATAGCAACAAGAACAGCAACGACAAGAACCATCGGAAGTTAAGAAGAAGAAGGAACCCGCACGTGTGTCTTAATCGGAGATCTTATGATTTCGTTCGTTCCCGTTCTCCACCCTTCCTGGATCCCTTCTTCTCACCCTCCAACCCCCGAAGTAGTCAACTCGTCGAAGATCTCTCGGTCTATGCGTACGCGTTGTTTTCTCTCGACTCGTTGAATAAAAGATATTTCGGTTGATCGCAACGGATCATTTCGGCGAAGAAGTTGTTTTCGTCGTCTGGAAGATCGAAGGAAGAGGACACGCAAGAGGGACGAGAGGTAGAAAGAGAAAGAGTAACAGTGTCAGACGGTTGGAGTGACAGAGAGACACTGTAGGGTGTGTTCCGTCGATATTCTTCGTCGTTTTATTTTTTCTTTTTTATTGTTCTTCGTTTTCCGGTCTACCGGAAAGCAAGTGTCGTGAAAACGAGTCGTTCGATCGATCGAGACTGTACTTCGTCGTCACAGTGCGAGAACTTGATTTTTTAGTGTTGTTCGGTCAAATAATAATAATAAAAAAAAAAGAGGAAACGAAACACGCACACGTTGTTTAAAAAGAGATAAAAAAAAATCAAGTAAACGAACGAGCCATCGAAACGAAATATTAAAAGTAAATGAGAAATCTAGAGATATAGATAAGAGAGATAATCGATATATTAAAAATAATAATAAATAATCGTTAACGAAAAAAAAGAAAAAATAAAAAAACTTAACCCAGACCGTCGTTTCGTTCTACGCCCAGATATCGGCATCCTCCAACCACTGATTTTCATCGTTAACCGGTATGTTCATTTGTTTCTTTACTTTTGTTGCTTCTGTGATTCTGACGTTCGAATTTATTATTATCGTTCTATTATTATCTTGTTATATTAATTGTTGGTTAATTGATTATCGTTATAATTGCAAACATTATTCTTCGATCTCTGTGTACTTACATCGATCCATGTGTTTTTGGTAGCGGTTTACATTGGCCCGCTACCGATTCTATTAAATATATGTTTATTATCCTTTGCCGGAAATCCTCGATACAGGGACCGATCGCAGGATACATTCTTGCGTCATTCACCGTCATTCTATTCCTTCCTTGTCCTCTTATTCGTCGCGTTCTTCTGGCCAGTACGTTGCGTTTACAACTCTTTCAAATATGCCACAATTTGCCGCGGAAAATCATGGTTGCAAATTTTAAATCGTAGAAAATTTCGAAGACCATATTGTCATGGGGAAGTTACACAAATTCTAGTGAACCTTAGCTCGATTCCTCTCGGGTCGTTGACACTTATATTTGCCAATTAGTCTCTTGCTATAGCTAGAGATCTAGAAATCTAAGTATGTAAGGGATATATGAATCTAGGGATGCAGAGATTTAAGAGTACAGGAATTAGGAATCTAGAGAAATATATAAATATTATTATTAATGATCATAACTTGCTAAAATTCCATAAAGAGTTCGTACAAAAAATGTGCAAAGAAATTACGGACTGAAGTACGCAAGCACGAATTCCGTTTTTTCCCTCGTTAAACACGCGTTTTGTCGGGTGAATAAAAAACAACGAAGTGTTACGAAAACGTGGTTATAAGAGCAGCTGACGTTTTTGCACGGCGCAGTATCACGAGCCAAAAGTTTGGGCGTGGCAGTGGAAAGCAGCGTGGTGGCCGACCACGAGAACGCGAACGAGCCAGCCTCCTGCCATTTTCAGTTCAAATTCTTCCTTCCTCATTTGCGGAGCGACTCGGCGAAAGCCTACAAAAACAGCTAACGTCGTAACGAAACGTGTATTAAAATAAAACGACAGATGAAAGAATCGAAAAGAAACGATTTAAACGATGAGAGAAAGAGATAAAATCTGGTATATACATAGATGAATTTATCGATCGAATGTTAAAATACATAAGTTCGGGGTAAAACAAGACGATGGAAAACGGCGAGAGTGTACATGAAGGATCAAGCAGATCCAGGATGGAGCAACTGGCACTGCGGGTCCTCGTCGAGGACAAGCAGGAAGTCTCGAGAGGGACACTTCCGTCCGCGATGGCCTCGATCACAATGGTGCGTGAGAGGGATAAAGGGGGTGTTAGATAGTCTGTCCAATGAACATTTTCAGAGACAACACACACATGGAATTTTTAAGTATCGCTTCCTTCCGTTTCATCGTGTTACGATTTTTCCTTCCGATCAGAGTATCGTATTTTTTATCGAAGGCGGAGGAAGCAACCCCTTCGAGATAAATCAACGCGAACCATGACTGTAACGTTTTCATCCTGATCACGTCTTTCTCAAATTTTATTATTCTAAGTTCATTTTCGTGGACATTTCACTCGATCATCTTTCATGACATATCCGAAGTTTGGAAAAGACCCAAGACTATCGAAACGTTGCAATCATAATTATTTGAATTTTGGTTTTGATCGAAGGGTCATTGCTTGTTTAAAATCCAAAATAAGAAATCATTTTTGCAGATCCTATCGTTTCAGCATCGTTAACCGAGGTCCGTATTGAAGGGACATTTGAAAAAACACAAAAGTACAATCGAACAATTAGTAGCGAAGCGTCCTTAGAAACCGAACATCAGATACGAATTTTATTATTCGCTTCTGTTTTCCTATGAAAATTCTCAGCCGGTCGTTGAAGTATCAAAGATTGACCGAGGGGTTGCGAGCCTGGTAGGTGGATGACAGAGCAGAATGAAAGAGAGAAGGATAGATATCAAGCTAGTAGAAGAGAAAGAGAAAGAGAGAGAGAGAAAAGGCTAGGTCTAGTTGGGGAAGCTCGTATTGATCGTTCCTGGGTCCATGTGACGCGCTTGCGTTTTGCCGTGGGGTAAAATCGTGGCGAGGGTAAACTACGGGAGAGAGGGTGGAAAAGAGAGAGAGGGAGAGAGAGAGATATCGGTGTGCCGGGGTTCATATACCCCCAGGGTAACTGCAACGTTCCATCGTGCCACCGACCAATCAATGGAGCTTCTCTACCTCTCTGTCTCTCCCTCTTTTTCGTTCTCCCGTTTACCCCGTTCATTCGTCATTCTTTTTATCCCGCTCTTCCTGCGTTTCCCGGCTCTTCGTCCATCATCGTACGAGCACGTTACGCGATTATCGATTAAATATTTTCGAGCATCATTCAACGTAAATTATGCCTATGAAAATCGCGAGTAAACGATGATTATTCATTTGCTATACAGTGGACAATTACAATACCCATTTATATCTCAGAATTTCAATGATTACCCGATGGTCATTCAGTGTATCAAACATTTCCTTTCATTTTCCCAAGAAATTTTAACCTCTCCCTAGATCCTACGTTGCACCGCTACGAATAATATTTCGTGATCATCTACCTAAGCAGACGTTTTCCTCGGCAAGCATTTGTTTACCTTACGTAATCACTCTTTGTGGACTTCGAGGATAGTCGTAAGGTTTCCTGGGATACTTCGTGATACGATCATTCGAGCCGAGAGGCGATCACGAATCGGTAAAGTTCACGGAGCGGAGCCCACCGTGGAAATTCACGAAGGAAGGAGTCGTATCGTTGGTGTTGCGAAACCGCAAGGGAAGAATCGATCGATGCCACCTTAATTAGCGTAACGATTACGTGCTCGCTTGATCGATTCGCCAGGTTCTGGTTTCTGTTTCCCTTAGGCGGAGTAGACTGGTCGCTTTCGTGCAGATGCTCGTTAAAATCCTCGTCATCCCTCTTTCATATTTCAACGATAATACCAACGCGTTCAACCCTCTGATGTGGAATACTGCTAGTATAAGGAGAAATATTTTCCCCACCGAGCAGGGATTATTTATACACCTCTTTATTTATCACCGTTTTTGGTGTTCAAGTTCGTGTAACGTCTTATCAACCGACACGATCTTCGTGATTTGGATAGATAACGATTGTCTTCTTTTTTATCGACTTCGATTAGTCGGAGTAGCTTATCAAACGAGGTTCAACGAACCCCGAAGAAACTTCACGGATGGAATTACCACGTGCACGTGGTTAGATGGATCGATGAACAGAGGTGGGGCTAACCCCCAAAAACTTAGCTTCGACAGCTGGATCACGATCAAACGAAAGAAGAGGGTTTGCCTTTCGAATACGAATGATTCACGATCTATATGCTTCTCCATGATTTGGATCCTGCGTTTAATGGTCGATCATTCTGGTGAAGTTCCACGGGTATTGTTGAGGACGTAGACACCAGATGGGCATTTGGTACGCGAATGTGGAACGATTAGAGCTTTGAAGTTCCAACGAAAGAATTCATTTATTAATCGACGGATTAGTTCCTTATCATTGCCAACTTATTTCTCGATCAGTTCATTGTTACACGAATTAAAGATCTGGTTAGAATATACATAATCTAGCCTAACGCATAAGTAGCAAGATCGTTTCAAGATAAACGGGTTCATAATTCGATAAATGACGAGGGTGTCGACTACCCGAAAATTACAGTGCACCGCGAATTGCATGGTCCTTTTACAAACTGAAATTACAGTTAAAGAACACCCTCCATTAAAGAAGGTCGTCGCATTTCCGGTCGGTATGACCTACAGCATTAGCAGTTCAGATGTTGGAATTCTTGCACTTCATGACTTCTCGAGATCAAATTAGTTTTAAAGGTAACTTCCACAATCCGGAGAAAGATTTTCAAAAATATCGTTTTTCAACTGCAGCTGTGTGTACGAAAGCCTGTAGTTTTTCTGCAAGTAAGGATGAAGCCAGAAACTTTTGGACCTTGCTTACTTAATCGCAGGGTCGTTGTTCTTGTTGCTAAGGCGATCAGAGGCCAGCAAACTTTCATAATTCCAACGGTAATGTGGCGACAACTTCCTGTCCCACCGTGTGGCTGCTTTTAAACCTACCGAGTATAATAGAACATATTCGCATATGCGTCTGCTACGTGTCCCTATTTCTTTCTCTTTTTTTATTCCCTGTATATGCCGTTCCGCATCTGTTACAAGTCCCATGGTCTGGTCCCAGTTTCTCTTCCTCTATTATTACGTTCATTCTTTGGTACAATTTTATGGTTTTTCCGTGACGGTGATATTGGGACCAACCATGTGCCACTTTGCCACTATTTTAGGAAAATCCAGAGTAATTGAGGACCCAGGAAAGAAACCGAGGGACCAAGGACTGTTTAGGGAGAGCTAGGAATTTTTGGCGAGTGCAGAGAAAACTTAGTCTGAGGAGAGCTTAGAATACTATGTTGCACGCTCCTTGTACAGATAATGTGAAACAAGGTTTTTACCTCGGCAATGTATATTTATAGTATTCAAATGCGGGTATATTTATAATTTCAGTCGTGGACGGTTCGTGTATTCACGGGATCACTGCTTTGAAACATTTAATAATAACGAACATTCTTGTAGATATACCTAGTATCTATTTTAAGTACTTACCTAAAAGATTACCTCAAAATTAACATTGTAAACTTTCTATTACATTAATTTTATCGATGATTCATGACACGTGTGTTCTTTTTAAATTTGTAAAAATGATTACGCGTAGCTTCCGTAGGTGATGCAAGACAGCGGAAACGAATTTCCGAAAACACAAACTCTCGGTTATTGGCACGACCGCCAAGTGTTGCTCGGCATGTTTCGTCAGCGAAGCATAATTTTGGCCCGTCGTCATTTTAGAGACCGGTCTCTTGATCTCCGGAGATAAAGGCAGGGTAAGGTCAGGGATGCAGAGCTTCTTTGATTCTTCTCAATGTTCCCTCGTCCGCAATTTTCATTCAACTTTTACAATTTTTTGAAAACAGCTTGATAGCTCATTTTGCTATAAGCACCAATTAATATTAAACGAAATTGATATAATTATTACTACAAACAGAGACTGAATTGCGTACCCTTATGCCTTTATCCAGCTTTTCTTTAACATTGCATTTACTTTCTTCACAATCAGAAAAGTTATCGATTGTCAAAATTCTGAAGAGTTTTTTCGCACCTACTCTCAATAAGAGAGTGTAATGGAACAATATACGATAGCAGTAATAATAATTTCGCAAATGACATTTTGTTTATCGGTTTTCCTCGAAAGCTTCAATTTCATGGTCTCTGGCAAATGGCCACCATCGAATCTGGACGATGTAATTCATGGTTTCGAGTTCACTGTCGATCGAAAAAGAGAGGCTACAGGGCCTATAGTACGGGGTAAAAGGACTCTTGTATCGACGCGATAAAGCTCCGGTACGACGGGGGTCAAAAACCGTGAAGGGGTGGTCATGATCTGATGCAAGGGGTGATGCAAGCAACGATAGAGAGAGAGAGAGGGTACTGGGAGGGCATACTTTATGCCCTCGCAATATCAGGGTAGCCATGTTGCAAACATTTCTAACGAACAAACCCCTGCAAACATCTCGAGGGCTCGGGACGCTTGAAATATTGTCTGCGAAGCGTTTAGCCAATGTTGACACCCTCGTTACGAATGCAAAATTCAAAAGAAGTGACAGGTGTCCCGTTTAATCGCACGCTGTAGAACAAACAAAATTGATCGTAACCCGTTACTTAACGCTGCGGACGTAACTTCGTAAGAAAATGAAAATATCGAATAAATGAATAAACTAACACGTGGCGACTAATTTTAGAATGTCGCGGCTGTGGCGTGAACGGCCACCAATCGCTGAAACTCGTACGGTGAAGTTAACCGAGAGTCGAGCACACAATTTAAAACGTTAATTCGATCGGGAAAGGTGCCTAGAAGATTGGAAATTTTTGAAATTCGATTAGAGGGAAAGTGTGCGTTTTGCCGGGACAAGGGGTGCTAGTTCGATCGACGATGGGAGGTTGCAGTTTATTTAAGAACGCGCATACGTCTCTTATTAGTTCGATCGGCAACCCCTCGCAGCGTACGCGCGACTCGATAGAAGGAGATACGTAATACGTGAACGAGGGGTTCGCGAGACGGGCTTAGCCGAGGGTGCGCGACCGCGTCCGACCTCGACCGAACTCGACCGAACGGGCTCGCGAAGCGGCGTAAGCCGCTCGAGTACGGCTGGTGTGTCCAGTCTCTAGGCAGCCTCCGCCCGTGTCGTATCGTTATTTCCGTTTCCTTAGTATAGTGTTTAACGCTTTAATTTCTAGTCTCGCGTAACCCTCTTACACACTCATACATACACACGTAATCGCGTTCTCTTCTTTAATACATATACACACGTTGTACTCCCTCGTTTATTTTTTACGGTCGACGAAATTTGGTGGTTTCGATTTCCGAAGATATTGGACGCGAACGAATCTCGGCTCCCTGCTCGCACACGCATACACACGCGTCTACACACATACGTGCTGGTCAAAGTGAAATCGAAGGACCGTCGACCAGAAGGCGAGCATAAATGCCGATTTACGAGCGCTCGCGTCGTACTTTTCTTTCATTGATTTCCCCTTCTGTTCCGGGCGGCGGTGCGAGAGCGTGATAGTAGGTGTACACAAAGAGAGAGCAAGAGAGAGAGAAAGAGAATCGAGAAGACGAGAGACCGGCGCGATACATCGTCGAGCAGGAGAGTAGTCGCGTAAAAGCTGTTTGCACGGTGCTCGGTTTCGCGTGCGACCGAAACGTTCGGAGGAAAAGGGAAACGACGAGAAAAAGGAGCACGAGCTATACAGTGTCGCGTCCCGGCGGAAAGTGTTTCTCTGTGTCTCTGTGTGCATGTGTGTCGTGTGCTTTCGCGTGCATCGATCGCAAGGTAGAGAAGGTGGCTCCAGATAAAGAAGTTGGAAAAAGGTAAACCCGCCAGTCGGCCCGACGTCACGGTCATTTCTTTGTATCTTCGTTATCTATCGATTTCTATTTACGTACGTCCGAAACATCCTCGTACGGATGCTGTGCAAACTCGTTCGGCAGAGATTCAGAGCACGTGCCTAGCGAGTTTCGTGCCACATTCTCGTTCTCACCCTTTGCTTTCTGCGTGCTTTCGTCGTCGTTCTTTCTCCCTCCCCTACCCCCACTTTCGGTCACCTTCTCCCCCCTCGGTGGCAGCCACGAGTTATTGCGTTTTTGCCTGTGAACGCGTATATGCGTGCGTGCGTGTGTTTTCTCGCGCGGAAAGGGGCGTACGCGAGCGGGAGGGGTTTCCCTTGGCATCGTACCGGGCTCTCTCTCTTTCTCCCTCTCTCTCTTGCGCGCGCGCTCACTGGCGAAAGAAGAGAAAGAGGGGAGATAGCGGCCGACCACGAGAAAGAGCGAGAGAGAATGAGAGAGGGAGAGAACGAGGCAGGGACCCGAGAAGTCGCGCTCGTATTGATCGGTCCCGGCCACGCGATTTTCACGATCCGTCGCCATGGCCACCTGGCCACCGGCCGAAGATCGTATCTGCCAGCGTACGTGAAAATCGAACTTTAACCCGCCCCCACTTGCCGATTCCCACCTGCTACTTCTCGCGCTAATTTATATACGTGCTTTTTAACAAAAATCTTAAACAGTTCATTTACAAATCCCACATATTTCTAATCGATTCTTGTAATTTCAGAGTCGAACGGAGGATACTTTTAATTCAAAGAGTATAACGTTTGTTGTTTATGAATTATAAATCGAAATATCATGTGCAACGCCATATTGATTTTGATTCGTTAAGGGATACCGGAATTTTTATGGCGTCGCTTTTGTCGCCATAATAATATTGATTTTAGGACACTATTAATAGAAGCAGCGTATTTTGAATTAGTAATTCAAGTCCTTTTAAAAATGTATCACATTTTGAAGTCGTTTTCAGATCAGAGGTTTCTCAGGTCGTTGAAACACAGATGAGTATTTTCACAAGAAGACGCCAATAAATTTTTTATTTAGAAAAATGAAGGTTGTTATGCAGATCACAATATTAAGTACAAATTTGATTCCCAACTTTAAAATTTCGTGTAATAGCCAGGGTACAATTAAACAGAAGAGTATAAGTGATAGCTTTCTCGATTCTGATGGATCACCGCGAACGAGATCGACTTCTATCGAACCGTTGGCAAAAGGGGGTGGGTTTCAGTATTGTACCGGAACCCTAGTTGCTCGCGTACGCGTGTACACGCAGCCATGCATAACGTCCATTGTCGTCAGATAATGACGGTGTTTCGGAGTCGCGTTTCGAAGTCACCAGCGAACGATACTTTTCCCTATGCGTATCTAGCGACGACAATGGGGGTCTCTTTCTCGCTCTCTCGGCTTCCATTGTGGCGTCCTAAAATATATCGCGATGTCGAGCAACGGAGAGAGGCGCGGATCGATAACTACGGAAGATGCGGGGCTACGATAACCGCTAGTACCTCCGACATTTTCTTCGACTGTTCAACGACACTTTCTTTTCTACCCCCAAGTTAGGGAGTCGAAACTTTAAACCCGGAGGATTCAACTTCGTTTGAGAGTTCCAAAACCTCTCAGGAATTATTCCCAAATTTTTTAATGTTAGACAAGATTAATAGTATCACTTTTTTACCTACTTTCCAGTAAGAACTGGATCGTCCAGTGTTAGATCGTGACACATTATATGGCGACACTTCAACCCTCAAATTTCACATAACGCCTTAACATTTACTCGTTCTTAATTTACCCCTAGTCAACAGAGATCAAAAGGCAGCATCCCCAAGCTTCAGATCTATCTCTGCATCAGATCACCATAGTGACCCTTTGGCAAGGGAAGCAAAAGTTGTTGCAGTCGCTTTGAGTGGAATTAATAGTCGCCGTCCCAGTTTCTTTCCCATAGTCAGGCTAGGGGGCCAGACACGTTCGATGCATATAATAAAAGCTATCTATTATCTGATAGAAGGTGGTCAGTTCGTTTGGGGTGACCACAGTCACGAGACAGAAGAGGTAGTCTGCGTGGGGTTGCTGGCCCTAAAGACAGCTGATGATTACGTTGAACGTCTGACAGAGACGACAGGCGGAAGGGAAAGAGAGAATTAAAATGTACACCGGTAGCTCGTGCCGGCTGATATATGTGTCGTGGCAGCTGTGTGTATTCTCCTTAACCGTGAACACCATCGGCACCCCACGGTCCTCGTCTGTAATTCCCCTTTACCTCTATCTCCCTTTCTCTTTCTAGCTTGCACGTTTTTTGTCCTTCTTCTGCTTAGAGGCACGCGTGCCTATCTACCGGGTGTCTTCAATTACTCAATATTTTTTTTATATATTTTTGTACGATACTCTGATTTGTAAAATTTATGCAAATATTGTCGCGAGGTTTCTAGGTTTCGATTTTAGCTTTACAGCTGCGACAGCTCAGTAGGGTATCGTTCCAACTTTGATTTTCATTCGAGACTTGGTATTTGAAACACTTTTATCGAAATATATCTTGCAAGTGTTCTTCATTCGAATTTGGTATTTTTATTTTTCTTTCATTAGCTGGATTTATCTGTACGCAGAAAGGTCGAGTCAAGAATTTGAAATTACTCCTTCAGGGATTATCAGAGGGCGAAATTAAGATGATACTGATTTGAATTTTCTTAAAAATGAAAGTCGTAAAAGGAGGACACCCTATAGATGATTCGAGCGTATCGAGCACGGTGGTTATACCGATAGAATGGAAGGGGAAGCACGAGGGAGGGCAAGCCCTTTAAACCAGAATGGGGTTCGTCGCCCCTTTAAATTATCCGCCTTTCTATTGGACCTTACCCTCGGTCCTACCAACCGCCACCGCCGCCTGTTCTTTTCACGCTGTATTTTCAAAGTCATTGTCAGATTACGTCAGTATTCAGTTGCTTGAACCGTGGATTTTCGTAAATTGTCCATGACTAAATAACTCGTTGTCTTTTCTTGGACCCTCTCTCCGATATGTAACATCTTGAAACGTATATACTATTTTATAGAAATTTATCTCACTGTGTTACTATTGTTAAGAAAGTATATGTGTCTGTAACCATACATGGTTATCTTTCTACATGTACATTTCACCGAACTAAAAGTGATTCAATATAAGGGAGGTTTTAATGATCGTTTTAACATATATAAGTAATTTGGATGTATGTGATATTTCCTAGGAAAAATGTTTGTTGCCACGCGCTTGGCTATGTTAGACAAAAACAAGATTCTCTTCGGCTTGTTCCCGTTGTGCATCGTCTGTATACAATGTTTTGTTTCCACGTAGACGTTTTTACGTCCTTCAAAATTCCGTCAAGTTAGTACTTGAGTTGTTTGTTTTCTTCGCGAGTTCAAATCTTATGTATTCCTAATAAACGAATGTCGGTCGTTTCGAATTCATTCAACAGCCCTATTACTTCTTTTTGATCATTTAATAAATTATTTTTTCGAGCAGTTTCAAAATCGTTTGGGATTTCAGGGACAATGCGTCATCAATCATCGTCTTGGACTCGATATAAAAGAAACTACCTTTTTCCTGAAAGAAACTTCCTACGTCTATGAATAGCCTTTAAACGATCGCTTACATTATTGACCTTGTCGCGTTCACTGGTAATTGTCCATCTAACCCCTGTCTGCGCGTTTGGCCATAGATCACAAAAGGGTAACAAACAGCACCTTGTGATCAAAGAAAGTTACGGCTGCGAATAATTGCACTGAAAGTTACATCGTCGATAATTTCGATAGCTAGCAGGATACCAGCATAAATTCACCGTTTCTGCGCGAGACGATAAAGAGGGGATTTCTTGTTTCAGATTTCGTACGTAGTTAGAAAGGACCCGGTAGAAGAGTGCAATGATGGCGAACGGAATGGACACAGTTGTGCAACAAAACGGTGGATCCACCCTCGGACAGGCTTCGCAGGAAGAGTCCAAAACGAATCTTATTGTAAATTATCTGCCCCAGAGCATGACCCAGGATGAGATTCGATCACTCTTTTCGAGCATAGGCGAGGTGGAGAGCTGCAAGTTGATCCGCGATAAACTCACTGGTAAGTTGAACAATTCGACATCTGCCTGATCGAGGGCGCACACGCTGACCACCAGACGCAAAACAATTCCTATTTATCGAATATAAGATACAAGTGCAATCTTTGACACGATAAAGAATTTGAAAAAGTTTGTCCAGAACGAAGATCGATCAAGATCCCCGCGTTTATAATTTTATGTTGTCGATTCGAAGAATTTTATAGGCAGATTGCGCAACGCGTTACGCTTGTCCGAGGTCAATTTTTCTCCAAGGTTGGTGCATGTTCGCGAGTACACATAACATAGCGTAATTTCGCCGAACGTACACGCGGCTAAATTCCGTGCGTTAGCGGAGAGCACGTGCGTTAACGACGTCGCGACGCTATTTCGGGCATCGAAGTAGCGGGGGCGTCGTTTCGTTGGTTGTGGAGACCCGTCGCTTTATATTCGACCTCACAGATCCTTCAGGGCCGTATTGCAGTTTCCTGTTTTCGAGAAACCTATCAATGAACGTTCCTTACGGTGTCATTTCGGTAGCTTATGATGATTTTTCTCTGTTGCAGGTCAGAGTTTGGGATACGGATTCGTAAACTACCACCGGTCCGAGGATGCTGAGAAGGCGATAAACACGCTCAATGGTCTTCGTCTGCAGAACAAAACGATCAAGGTTCGTTGTACATAATTGTAACCATTGATATTTAATTGCGTATCTCTACGATCGATAACGTAAATTAAATGTTGAATCATATTCTGATTTCGATATTTGCACCGAGAAGGAACGGTCACTTTCCCGACACTTTACTTCAAACCAGACGTCTTGTTTTAGTTCTAGCCTAATTTTGAAACATGCACCGAGATGTCTAGGCGTCTCTGTTTGGTTCATAAACGAATTGGCTGCAACTCAGCAACAAAGTATTCGCTGGGTATTCGTAAAAGTATATTTTTGTGAGGCGATAGGTGTTATTGATCTACAACAATTTATAGAAGTTCGATAATCTCGAGTATCGAACGCGGCACGTATTTTCATCGTTGCAGCGATGGAAATAGGTTGGCTTGATTTCAACGACATTATCTCGTCTCTACTATTTATTGATTAATATGTTCGACGATCGTCTCGAAGGCAGCGTAAAGTTGTTTTTATAGGAAATCGCTATTATTACACGGTAGAAGGTTAATACGTTTTACGTTTCTGTTCAGGTATCGTACGCGAGACCGAGCAGCGAGGCGATCAAAGGTGCAAACCTGTACGTGAGTGGTTTGCCGAAGAACATGACACAACAGGACCTGGAGAATCTCTTCAGCCCGTACGGCAGAATCATCACGTCTCGGATACTTTGCGACAACATCACCGGTAAGTTGTTCCTCGTTAATCGAATTGAAGCAACGATTAAGCGGATAGAGCCCTGTGAAAGGCTTGAAAGAGGAAAACCTCCTCGAAGAAGCGAAGTAGCTCGAGACTGTACGTAGTCAGACCGCTTGTAACAGAGTACTAAATGATGTACCAGTTTCATCGAAGGAAGTCGGATGAAACGCGGGTTTGATCGAGGTTTCGAACAGAGTAGGCCATGGGGTTCTCGTACGTTTATGGGGTGGATCGGTGCGCCTGCGATCCGAGCGAGAACGAACACACGATCGTGGAACAACGAGCCGAGATTGAAAATCGAGTTTCCGAAAACAGCGAACGAAAATAAACACGATTTCGTTTGTCGAGTCGTCTCGAAGCTGCATGATGATTTATGGATCTTTTATTTTTTTCTTTCGTTTCTTTTCCTCTCTCTCTGTTTACGCGTAGATCAGGCCTGAACAGCAAGTAGTACTAGCAAGGCATAGTAAATTTCTAATTAGTCAAACTAATCAGTTGTCAATTTTCAGTTACCGATTTAACTTACGTTGTTAATTAGTGTTATTCAACATTTCTGTTCTCTTTTCTTTGATTATTCAATCTGTTGTGTCATTGGCAACCCACAAAATAATGCGTTAATCTTTCTACATTACAGCTATTTAGCATCTGTGCTATAAGAGTAATGTGTGCGTGTGTGAGATTTCTCAATTTTTAGATCTCTATCCTACATTTCTGTATCCTCAAATCTGTATGCCCCTATCCACTACGAAACTAAGTAGCAATTTGTGGTTGTCTATATCGTTCAATGCGTTCAGAACGACCTCTTCACTTTCCTCCTCTTCTTTTCAGCGTTAGCTATAAGTTACTGAATAGAATAAGGTATTTTCCGAACAATAAACACCTGGGTCAACTTGCTGAGCAGGCCTACCCACATTAAAATATTTCGTAAAATGTATGGAAAAAAAAATAGAGAGAAGAGACACGGGTACCTGCAATTATATTTTGTTCGTTCGATGTTTCGTTTTTTCCTTGGCTCATTACTGTTTTACGTTCGCAGCTTACGTTTGTTAGCAGTGACATTCTGTTTGCATCCCCAGTTTCACGCACAGCCTCATGGCCTATCCAACCCCCTACATCCGTATATTTAATTTCAGTTTCCCATTTATAATTTTATTTCGATACTCACTGACTAAGTATCGTTTGTCATTGCCTTTTTTCATTTGCGTTCAGTTAATTGATGTTATCTGAAGGTTGACACACTAACGTTAATCCAGAAGACGAGTTAATCCCTCCTTTACAATAAGCCATTTTGAATTTGTATTGAAACTCGTGAAGAGTTTAACACGTTCACTGCAGTGAACTTGTTGAACAAGAATAAAAATTAATAATGCGTAGACTTGTTTAACGTTAACACGCTCGATTTCACGGTAACAGGTGTGAAGGTGTTAATCGTTAAAAAATTGGAACCTTCTCCCTCCCTTGTTCCTGGTTTGCTTCACCACTTATTCCCACAGCGTTATAAAAATTCTGTTACGTTTATTTTCTCTCGATTGCGGTTCAATTTAATACATCGAGTATGTTTGATTTTATTGTTGTTTTACGACGAACGAGTATTCTCGCATACTTAAGGAATAGCTTAATTTAACGGAAAGCATCGTTCGCCCCTTATTCATCTCATACGATCAGTTTCTTTTTTCCTCGAAACACTTATTTTAATTATTTGAACAGAGAGTATGAATTTCGAACAACGAGTTCGATTTTGATTCTATCTCGAACATCTTTTATTTCCGACTTCGGTTATCCATCGCGAATCCATTGCTCGCTCTGTTACTTATTTCTTTTTTTTCTTTTCATTCAAATTTACGATTCGAAAAATCACATAAGACTCTCGAGGAAAAAGAAGTCCTTCGTTTTTTATCCGTTTGCTTTTGTTTTCGTTCGAGTTTCATTTTTATTGGGGTTTTTTCCGCGTTCACCTTTGATTATACGTTATATCTTCCCGTGGACGAATCAGGGGCGAGCGAATCGTGTATTTCTGCCAGTTGAATTTTAACGTGATATGATTTTTTCCGTTTCTGTTTAGTACGACAGTTTGTGACCGGCGGCGGAGACTATTTGCCCGGTACGTAACTCATACAATTCTTTTTTCTTTTCCCTTATTACATCCAACGCTGAAACAAGAGCAGCCGTTTCTTCTTTTGTTTCTTTCACTCATATTTTTTTTCTATTTTCATCTTTTTTTCTGTACTTCTCTACTTTTACATTATTGTTCTTTTGTCCTCGTTTGTTTTTGGCGAACGCGTTAACTTTTCCTAGGGAAAATGGCGATGCAGGAGGACGCCCCACCACTCGCTAACAAGACACAACGTGAGTACCGTAGTTAGCGGTGGGGCCTTATTTTCTTACGTCGCCATTTTCCTCCGGGGGAGCTAATCCTGCTCGCACGCTTATCATTTTTATTTGCTCTCCAAGAAACAGTTACACGTAAATTTTCAGATACGAGAAAGGAAAGGAAACAGAGTCACTCTGTTTTCTTCCTTTCGTTCGATTTCTTTCCTACTTTTTGTTCGTCGGCTGCTTTGTTCACGCGTCCACAACAACAATTATGATCCAAAATGATTCCTCCCGAGCGCCGTTTTTGTTTCTTTACGCTTTTTGTCGTTAGTTACCAATTATGATTTTGACGGGCGTGCTGTAGATACATATTTCGCGACGCACGCCTATCTCATCAATAAACTCGTTCGTTTCGTTCCGTTTTTTGCCACGATATATCGACCTCATTCAGCTTTGCGAGATTCGTCTGCGATGGCCAGACGACGAATAATATATTTGTAACGCTCGTGAACACGACATCGGTGTAAAGAAACGAATCTGCGCGCACCGAGCCACTCGTTTATGCAGCGAAACTGCATCGATTTTCTACTCTGTACAGAGAATTCGTCGTTGGTACGAGTTACCCTTCCAAGGGAACTTAAAGAAAAATGTGTCTTCCGCAGACAGTAAAGTACAAGTTATACTGTCAGGTACATTGTACAGGATGTCTCAAGAAAAGTGTAAATCGTGAACATCGAAAAGTCTCCTTTGTAACAAACGAAATCAAAGTTCCTTGTGAAATCACAAGTTCTAGACCATTTCATGAATTGAGGCTTTCTTCTCAAAATATATGCAACATTGTCACAGTTACGGACCATCTGAAAGTTCAAGGAAGATTGCGTGATATTAATTATTTTATTAATGTCTTGTTTAAAAGATGACACATTCAACAGGTTAACGTGTTCCATTTAAATCCTCGCGTAGAGGAAGAATTACTTCACGAAATAAAATTGGTGCATATTCGAATGCTAATTAAAAGGGAACAAGTTAGAAGAAGAAATATTGAATTTTTGTTGGGTGTAAAGTATTCGTGATTTTCATGGTGCGCATATTTTTTGAAACGTCCTGTAGCATTGATGATCGGCGAAACATAAAGCGACGCATTATCGATCAACGAGGAATTCTATAGCTTGTCATGTCGATGCCATACGATGTTAAAGTACCCATGGAACTCTGTTGAATAATTTACAAACCGATTCCGACAGGATTGTCGAAGGGGGTCGGTTTCATAAGGTTCGACCAACGTGTCGAGGCCGAGAGGGCGATCCAAGAATTAAACGGTACCATTCCGAAGGGCTCGTCCGAGCCGATCACCGTCAAGTTTGCCAACAATCCAAGCAACAACAACAAGGCGATACCGCCATTGGCCGCCTATCTTACACCGCAGGCGACCCGACGATTTGGCGGCCCGATCCACCATCCAACCGGCCGCTTCAGGTACATTCCACTGTCGCCACTATCCAGGTACCTACTCGCCTCTACTCGCTCTACCCAAAAATCTTTCTTTCTTTCATTCTTCTTCTTCTTCTCTTCTACTCTTCTTTCCATTCAATTTTCTTTCGTTTCTTTCTCATTTGGTTCACTGTTCCTTCTGTTGTCTCTGACAGACAGATCGAAGACCTCAAACGATATGTACCGTCGATATTTCAACACTGCAATATCGACAGTGCAGATAGTCTACAGTCTTTGAAAGGGTACCTGTCTGCTTGGTAATCGCGCGACAGCTTGTCGAGAGCGTCCTTTGCTGATGGACATTCCGCTGAGAGTGACTGTCAGCTGACAGTCATTTTTGGCAGTGTCGACGTAGGATGTTCTTGACGACTTCTCGATGCGATACGTGCTCTAGCTAGATGAGTTCTTTCTTTTTCTTTTGAACGAAATTGAAGTTAAGATATTAGGTGACGGTGGGAACAAACTCTGGAATGTTGGATGCTAAGGTTTCTTTTAATACGTGTTTGTACATCAATATTTTTATACTATTAATTATAGATCTTTTAAAAATTATTTTAACAGGGATTTCTATTATATTCAGAATTATATGAGCTCATCATTTTAATTTTATATTTCATATTGTATACGTAACGTGTTCAACAAGTAAAAAATGTGTAGTAACTACTGAATCCTATGATCAATTTGCATTGTTATAATACTTAATTTTTTTTCATATAAATAAATGTATACAAAGTCATACAGTAGAATAAAATGAAGTTTGTCCTCAATATTAGCAACTATGTTCCTGTTTGCTCACCGTCACCAGTCTTGCAAATTTAATTTCTTTCAAAAAACATATTCATCCAATTCGTTGCTTTTCCTTGAAAGTTTCATTTGGTTCCTTGAGTTCCCTTCTGTCTCGTTCAATAGACATTCCGAACACGCGTGTTCGACGAGATCGATCGATCGATAGCGACCCAGATTTCTTAACCGCGAAGCCTTTGGCCCATGATCGAGTTATAACTTGAATTCGCAGTGGATCAGAAAATTTGCAAAATCGCTCGATCGATCTTTTGTATCTTTTTCCTTTTTTACGCACTCACCGTTTGAGTATACCTGAGTACACTGCAGGCTCCTCCTTCTGCACCTCATCTACCATCTTCTCACCTTATCTTTTTTTCATCACTTTTTTTAATCCTTTATGAGTCGACATTTCATTTGTACTCATGCATGCACCTCGTGTTCAGAATCATACCTGAATTTTTTAAGTGCACATCTTTCATCGAATCTTTAGTTCGCGTGGCTTTTCTGTTCGCACCTCGAAGAACAATCGTTACATATAATTTTCTTTATCGGTTAGTTGTACATTTTTCCTCTAAATCTGACGCGTTGATTAAAAGTTTAAATTTACGAGTTTGAAATATATTTTGTTCGACACGGTAAAAGATCGCTGTAAGCATAATCGACGCAAAGAAAGTTACGCATCGAAAGTATCGGAGAAACCTTTCAATCGAGCCGGGATCGATGTTTCGATATCAATATTTCAGTGGTGACACAAGGCGAAACACCCGCGTATCTGAACTTAATCCAATCAGAATATCGTAACGAATTATTTCGAGAAGTTGATTTTTCTTCGAGATCGTTATCGACCTACGATACTTTTCTTTATTTACAGTATTCTTTCTTGGATCTTTTCTGTTTCTTTTTTAATCCATTCCTCTTGACCCATCCAAATGTTCCTTTTCCTTTTATACGAGTGGTACAAGGTGGTCTCTAAGAGTAGATATTAATTATTAGATATAAGTCGTTAGTTTAACCAAGGATCGCGTTGATTAAGCGACCGCGCGAAAGACTGATCCTTGACCACTCTGGAAAACATGGAGGAGCAAGGCACACACAAACGTTCTGTTATTTCTGTAAGTTTTCTTGCTTTACATCTTCGTCGTCCACGGTAAGATGGCTATTACTTTTATAACGTTATGCAATATTATTTATCCTTTTGCGGTCCGTCAATCCCGTACAACTTTATTTCGAAACACAAAGTAATATAAAACATTCCTTTTAACATTATTTAATTATGCTACTGTTTAATACTTTAACATTTCTTTCTCTGATGTATGAAGTTACGAATGTTTTTGCCTGCGTTTCTCAAAATTTTCAGAATGATCCGTTTGATGCGTTCAGTGAACGCATTTTTAAACATTCAAATTTATGTCCATCGTTCTACTATTGATATCTTAAATTAATAATTGTAGAGGAGACCGCAAAAGGCTATCTTTATCTATAAAACAGCCTCCCGTCTCTAAAATAGTTACCGTGGATGCGAGGTTAACGATAAGTTCAACGATGATTAAAAATTGAGAAACATAGAAATGAAAATAATTTTCGTCTCTCCTTCATACCGTGTGTCTGTATTGATTGTTGACTTTAAATCGTCAAATCAGAGACAATCGATCAATAGAGAGACTCCCCTTTATCGAAAACGATGACCGTACTTCAGGTCCGTCTGTATGTCCTAATCGAATCGAAAGGACTAAAATATCGACGATGAGAATCGACGTTTAATCGATCGAGGGTTCGACGATATCGACTTGAAAAGTACACTAATGCGCTTCGCTTTCGCTTGCCTATCATTTAGTAACTCTTCAGTTCTTCATCTTGAGTCGCGTTTTCGTTTCGCGCTTCCTTACAACCTCTCCGACTCCCTTTTTAAATAAAGTAAACCCTTTGATGCTTTCTTTGCTACGTATTTCGATACCCAATTTTTTGACCGATTTTAAACGCTTGATCCACTAAGGATTTTTACCGCCCCTAGTTTAAATTCCATTCTGTTTATCTTCTCGCTTTTGTTCGCGACGGTAGATGCTAGTTTCCGCGAACGAAAAATCAAGAAAAAACAGTAAGATTTTGTTTAAAGCACAAGGAAGCGATCGACATTTATCCCGACTTTTTTGGCTCGTTCCCGAAGTATCTCTCTTCTTACGTTGTTCTTTTTGTGTTTTGTTTTAGCACTGGCAAGGCCATGCTTGCCATTAACAAAGGCTTACAGAGGTCAGTATTTTTTTCGTTACTACCACTACGTTCCCTCCCAGTTTTTTCCTTTCGAGACGATTCGTTTCTTTCAATCGCGGCGCTTCTACACGCTCTTCTATTTTCTTTACCGTCCATTCTATTTCTCCTTCCTTACGTTTCCTTTGGAACGCTTCTTTGCCGAATGTCACATCGTAGCATTTTTCTCGAGAATGCGAATCGATTCGGGTGTAAAAGTTCCCTTGATTTTTCTTACGTCCTTTTTTCTTGGTTTCTTTCAGAATATTCTGTATTTTATTCTTTTATCGAGTTTCGGGTTGATACGTTCGTTGCAAAGACATTCATCGAGTGAATGAAACATATTCTACAATTAAAATTACATTACTCTTTCGTTAGAGCGCCATTATATTATCAGCTATAATATCGTAGTTCAATTTGGTTGTCCGCAGCGAACGTATTAAACTGGAAGCAAAAAATTAGCCCCTTCGCGAAAAGTTTGAAACGCATCGGAGAACCTTCTTTGTTTCGTTCGTTAGCAGAATGCTTTCAACGTGAAACAGAGATTGAACGGACTGTACAGACGGATTTCGATCGAGTTTTCCTCCACAATAAAATCGACGAAAAGAAAAAAGGGAGCAAAAGATGTTGTCGTGATGGTTACTCGAACCACGCGCATCGGTTCGTTCGAGAAATTTCAATTCGACTGAACGTTCCTCGATCAGGCTCGCACTTTTCTTCTCCTACTTCACCTTTTCTTCTTTCGTTGTATCACCTTCGCCGGTCGTGTTCGATACGAGACCGTGCACCAGCTGCGATTTCTTGGTCTCCTACGATCACCCGTTTCAACCTGACAACGATTGATTGATTTTGCGCACGAATTTTCACCGTTCACGCACACGACACCTTGCTAACACTGATTGAAGGTAGAGCAACGAGATTTTAGCGTAGAAACACGTTTCGATGGATTGTTGGCGTAGAGCTGAGAGCGAGGCTAGGTGCACGATCTCTCCATAGAATTTCAACGACACCACGAAAAATACGGATTCCTCGTGTCAGAACTAATATGAGACTCCGAATATGCGCGTGATTAAAGGAAACCCAATGTGTATATATATATATGTATGTGTGCGTGTGTAAAAGACGCGATTCCTTACGAATAGTATACGCAAATTACTGTTACCTCGACCCTATACTGAATACTCACTGAGATGTGCCCTGTTTTAACGCGGCTTGTGACGTCAAGTAGGTACGTAGATACATTTTTACATCTGTAAATATTTCCCTCGTTCATCTCGGTGTTCGTGCAATTCGTGCATGCGTATTAAACGAGTGCATGCGAATTTCCTCGATTTTTCTTTTACATTATTCACCCTTTGAGATCGGTGCGTAGTCAAATGTTTGATATTTCAGTTTTCAAACCTATCGAAAAGGCTTTCTTTGGCGAGTATGTCGAAAATAAATTCGAGGAATGTTTCTGGAACAAAATGATCGTTAAAACAAGCTGTTTTAATAAAGTATAATTATGATATCCCTGTAACATTCCTTGTCATTCATGCACGAAATACATCCGTTATTTTAGAAAGCTTCTGCGTATGCGATCAGTTCAAAGCATGGTACAATGCGGTCGAAAATCTCGTCCGAAATTAATTTCTACAGAATCGGTTGTAGTCCGCGAAATTTTTCGTTACGTTCGAACTTTTCTGTGAACTCCAAGAAATTGTCAAAACGATCTTGCACGATGTTACGTTTCATGTTGTTGCTTTTCCATCGATCAATATTGAAACACTTGAATAGTAAAGAATATCTTATAGTTTGCTCGTCGAGTGAAAAGATTTTTCGTATGTCTGTGTAACAGGGTGTGTCGGAGTTATAGGTAAAAAAGTTACGAGTAAATCATCTACGAAATAACTGCTTCTGTTAGTTTAGACTTTACCTGTAGCTCGGACACACCTTTTATGTTGTATCGAAACAGAAACTGAAGTCGATAGATTTAAAAAACTGTTTTTATTATGGAGCCACGTTGTCGATGCACTAAATTTATCCCGCAATTTATCGACCCATCAAGAAAATCAGTCGTTGCCTTTTTCTATCATTAACCTTCCACAAACGTACTCTACAGGCTTCTTTCACTCCAGTACATTATCTGGTATGCTCTAACTCCAGTCATTATACCCTTCCCGCACGTGCTAGTAATTTTCTCGCCACCATCGATCACTCTCAACGTAAAGGTACTGTTCGGAGCTGAGAAGGTAACAGTTAGTCCTAACTGCAACACAGTAAATCAATCTTGTTAAATAGACACGTAAAATGATCCACGCAAATTTCTCGTAAACACGAAAGTCGTGAAAAATTATCTTCTCAGCTGGCAAGAATAGTATCGTCGCACGCGACAAACGAGAGCGAGCCCAACGAGTAGCGTATCCTCCTCCTCGGTTATATCTGATCAAAGCGAAGCCTAGCGTACTCGCGAGTATACGGAGGGTAAAAGTGCACGACAGCGTAGCTACTCCGATCAGTATTAAAGAAAACGAACGCAGAACGTTTGCCCTCGATCGCGAGAAGTTGATATATCGAGCAAACCGACGGAAGAAACAGCATCCCATCGATGATCGAACGTTTTCACGGATTGGAACCGGATGTTGCAGGTACAGCCCGCTGGCAGGCGATCTTCTGGCGAACTCGATGCTGCCCGGGAACGCGATGAACGGGTCCGGCTGGTGCATCTTCGTGTACAATCTCGCCCCAGAGACCGAGGAGAACGTGCTGTGGCAGTTATTCGGTCCTTTCGGCGCCGTCCAATCCGTCAAAGTGATCCGCGACCTGCAGACGAACAAGTGCAAAGGCTTCGGTTTCGTGACGATGACCAACTACGACGAGGCGGTGGTCGCCATCCAGAGCTTGAACGGTTACACGCTCGGTAACCGGGTCCTTCAAGTGAGCTTCAAGACGAACAAGAGCAAAGCGGCGTAGGACGACAAGCAACAACAAGCAACATCAACAACACCATCACCGGCGGTGGCCACGGCCAGCGTGATCGCGCCCTCGTCGATCCAAACGGTGGCCAAACCCGTTGTCGTTACACCCGCGAATCCAGCTCCATCTTCGGCTCCCGTTTCCGCCTCCGCGGCTCTGGTCACGCTCGCGGCTGCGTATGCTTCCAGTAAGAAGATCGTCGACCATCGTCTGCCCGTCGACACCGTGATCAACGCTCTGAACAATCGTTATCGTCGAGAGAGCCAGCAACACCAGCTACAGCTACAGCTACAGTTACAGCTGCAACAGCAGCAACAGTATCACAATGCACGGAAAACGTACAACAATTACGTGCACGCTCAGAAACGCTTGAACGGCTGCAAAATGCTGATCAGGAGTATGGCCTCCTTGAACGATCGCGACGAAGACGACGGATGCGGTTCCGACTGATAGAGGATGCCGACCTCCCTGGAGGAAGACAGAGAGAAAGTTTAAATCGTGTATATGTGAGCGTGAGTGAGAGGGAGAGAGAAGGAGGGTCGAGAGAGGAGAACGTCAGGACGCGAGAAGAGAGAAAGAGAGAGAGGCGGGGTAGGTCGTGATGCGCCAAATCGTCCGATTATCCTAACTTTGTAGACCACGCTCTAAGACCCATCGAGAGGGAATGCTCGTTTCTTCTATCTTTTCTATCCGATCTCTCTCTTCCTCTCTCGGTTCTGATCCTTTGCTCCTGCTGTTCGTCGACGAGCCAGGGGAAACGCGAGGCGTCGCTTCCGTTTCTCGCGCGATCACGCGACCCCTCGTCAGCGAAACCAAACACGAAAACAAACAAGCGAGTGTATATACATATTGCTGATTTATGTATATGTACGCGGACGCACGGACCACGTGGTGTGCACGCGTTCGCGCTAATCGATGCACGAGGAAGATAAACAAAAAGAACTCGTTGTTAAACTATACAGAGAAAATGAAAAGATTAAAAGACCATACGACCATCGGGCTGCAGCGACGCAGGAGCACCCGACGAGGATGCAGGTCCTCGTTGCAGCTCCTTATTCTTATTCTTATCCGCACGACCAAAGAGTCTCGACGATGTCAGGCTGTGAGACTGAAAACGGAACTCGAGAGGCTAATCGAAATAAGAAAGGCAGGGCCTGTTTTTCCCCCAAGACGACAGCGCCTCGCGTTTTCCCGTTTCCGCCTCCGCGGCTCTGGTCACGCTCGCGGCTGCGTATGCTTCCAGTAAGAAGATCGTCGACCATCGTCTGCCCGTCGACACCGTGATCAACGCTCTGAACAATCGTTATCGTCGAGAGAGCCAGCAACACCAGCTACAGCTACAGCTACAGTTACAGCTGCAACAGCAGCAACAGTATCACAATGCACGGAAAACGTACAACAATTACGTGCACGCTCAGAAACGCTTGAACGGCTGCAAAATGCTGATCAGGAGTATGGCCTCCTTGAACGATCGCGACGAAGACGACGGATGCGGTTCCGACTGATAGAGGATGCCGACCTCCCTGGAGGAAGACAGAGAGAAAGTTTAAATCGTGTATATGTGAGCGTGAGTGAGAGGGAGAGAGAAGGAGGGTCGAGAGAGGAGAACGTCAGGACGCGAGAAGAGAGAAAGAGAGAGAGGCGGGGTAGGTCGTGATGCGCCAAATCGTCCGATTATCCTAACTTTGTAGACCACGCTCTAAGACCCATCGAGAGGGAATGCTCGTTTCTTCTATCTTTTCTATCCGATCTCTCTCTTCCTCTCTCGGTTCTGATCCTTTGCTCCTGCTGTTCGTCGACGAGCCAGGGGAAACGCGAGGCGTCGCTTCCGTTTCTCGCGCGATCACGCGACCCCTCGTCAGCGAAACCAAACACGAAAACAAACAAGCGAGTGTATATACATATTGCTGATTTATGTATATGTACGCGGACGCACGGACCACGTGGTGTGCACGCGTTCGCGCTAATCGATGCACGAGGAAGATAAACAAAAAGAACTCGTTGTTAAACTATACAGAGAAAATGAAAAGATTAAAAGACCATACGACCATCGGGCTGCAGCGACGCAGGAGCACCCGACGAGGATGCAGGTCCTCGTTGCAGCTCCTTATTCTTATTCTTATCCGCACGACCAAAGAGTCTCGACGATGTCAGGCTGTGAGACTGAAAACGGAACTCGAGAGGCTAATCGAAATAAGAAAGGCAGGGCCTGTTTTTCCCCCAAGACGACAGCGCCTCGCGTTTTCCCTTTTTCACGCGATTCAAGAACGAGAAGTAGAGGGGACGCCCCGATGCCAAGGGAACAGTGCGTAGTAGTAGGTGGTTGTAGGTGTTGGGGGATGTTTGTGACGGAGAAAGAGAGGGCCAGGGACGAAAAACACGTAGGCCGTGAGCGAAAACGGGACGGGGACGATCGATCCGATCAGAAGGTGACGAAATAGCTCTCTGGTAGAGACGGAATTACTGGTCCCGTTGGTTGTCACGCACAGCAACCTCGATGAGAAAGAGAGAGAGAGTGAGAGAGCGAGCGCGAGAGAGAGAGAGAGAGAGAGAGAGAATATCGTCGACGCGAACGCGGATAGTTCAGAGAGCCAGTGAGACTTGACGTACTTACGCGTAAACTTCTAATCCGTAGTTGAATTAAGAGGACGTCGCCGTTCGACGAGTACCCGAAAGACGAAGTATGTTAATTTATCTATTTAAGAAGATACTTTAGGGCTTAACGATGCGAGTCGTGATGCGAGATCGAGGTACCCGAACCCGAGGGATTACGTGATCCAAAGCGTGAACCGGTCCAACGTTACCGTTGTGAGCAACGCAACGCGTTCAACATTAATTTGCTAGTCAAGCTCTTGTACTTCTCTGTCGGTTGCCCAAAGAAACCCACGTCGTTTGTTTACCTGCGTAAACGAATTTTTCCTTTCCTTCTACTTCTTCTACTTCTACTTTCTTCTTCTTCTTCTTCTTCTTCGTTTTTTTTTTTACATATACATACACATGTAAGAGATCTTAGCTAGTACAAAGTGCTTTCTTGAGCGCAGTCTGATTTTATCGAGTATACAGAGTCCCATTGGATGTGCACCGTCCGCGATAAGACTTTTGTCTGAAACCTTGTCGGACAAACTTTAACCCTTTCCCTGCGAAGGATGCGTGTATTCGTCACGGAAAAAATTTGCTGTTTATCGTAGTAGCATTCGTATATGTACAGTTATCGATCGAAGATCTATTATTAAATGCAATAGGAAGCATATATATATAGGATTACTAGTCGAAAATCTATCAATAATTGCAATATATACGGTGCGAAGGAATACTATTATCAGCTATATTAATTCGGATAGAAGACGTATATATACGGTTATTAGTCAAGGTCTACTGCAATAGGCGATTATACGCTGTCACCGATCAGAGATTTATCGTTAATTGCAATAGGTGACACATGTATACAGTTACCAATCGGAGATTTACTGTAATAGACGTATATATACGTTTACAAATTGAAACGTACCAGGATAGAACACTGTTTCTTTTTAAAGTTATCAAAATTAGCGAAAGTTTTAGCAGTTTAGCGTACAAATGTCTTCGCACTCGCAGCGAAAGGGTTAACACTTTGACTGCCATGTCACCTACGTAGGTAACCCGTGAATATCCAGAAGTATCTAGAAATGAAAAAAAGGACAGCTGGAATTTTTGAGAAATTTACACCGTTTTGGCAGTCGAAGCGTCGAAAAACGAATTCACGCTCTAATTATCAAGTCAGTGTTGTGGCTGCTAGTAATTCCAACGTTTTACACGCTCGAACGTTTCAATCTAATTTTTTTTTAACAACGCAAGAAGAAGAAACAAACCAAGTCTAACGTACAAAACGATACTTACTGTAGACGAAAGAATTAGAGACTGTCGTTGTTTCTATAATCTTGTACAAGTCGCGAAGAAGAAAACACGACGAGAGAACGGAAGGAATCGTAAACCCGAGACGGTGCACCACTATGTGATACACAGATCGACGAACGATCTAGCGAACGATTTAATAATCTTCGTAACACGTGTCTAGTCTACATGCAAACTTAAGATAAAAGAACACCTGGGGAGTGAACGAGAAACGTTTCTTTCGAAGACCAGTATCAGGGATCAGACACGATTCGTAAGAGGGCGCGTTTTTTAGGTGGTACGATGTGTTTGTAAGGTTAATAAACGAAACCGATTTGCTCGTGCTGACTCTCGAACAAAACTCCTTCCTCTGCAGGATCGTTGAAACAAGACCGCGATACAATACGAACTCGATTAACGTCTTCGAGACACGATATCTCTTCAAGGTTCGTTCGGAAGCCGTTGTTACGCGACACCTTCTACACTGGATGAAAGTTGAAAACTCGATAACCGTATCGACCACGACAAAGCAGAAAGTCACTTTTAACTTTAAGAATATAGAATGGACAAATAATAAGTAAATGGATTATTGAGCTTTTAATTTTGGCCCGAAAAAGGCTCCGAGTGTTAGCGGCTTAAGATGTCGTTGTCTCGTAAGGGCTATACTCGAGTTCTATAACGCCGTGCTCTTGTGCCGATGCTTACTGCTCCGGGAGGTACACTACACTCGATCGACAAAATCGTCTATTTATTTATTCATTTTTTTTCGTAAATATTAATGATTTTGTGATGGGAAGTGTTGTGGTAAGGGTTGTTTGGAAGCACGAGCGAATACGGACCTGTGTAAGTACTTAATCGTGAGTAAGGCGACAATTTCTTAAGCTGTTAGGTTTAGTGACGCGGAAAATAAATGAAAAACCGTAGCATATATATATATACACATATATATACATATATGTTGTCCTATTTATGTGTACCTTTTGTGTCTAGTCCGGGAGCAAGAGGCAGACTGATCGTCCGAAGTGAGGACGCTCCGCAGGAGCGCGACGACCACTGTCTGCATCTCCCAAAACGTAATTTTTTGAACCTCAATCAAACAAGTGGTTTCTGCTAAGATTTTATTTTATTTATTCGAACCTCGAGATTCGTTGCTCGATCGCGCGACCACTCGATTGACGCGTTGATTGCCTCTTGAAGGGCTCGTATAAATACACGTTGGTACATTGTACCAATACACAAATAACGGACTCTATGTTGCTAAAGTTATAGCAGGAGTCTGGAACTGGAAAATTGGCAGTGATAAAAAAAAATTTAAGAATATTGAATCAGAAATTGAATCGATGAAGTGGTGTCCTAACGTGGCAGACAACGTGTTAGGAGAAAACTGACAGAGTCGTTTGACGATCGGGAACCTTCTCGGGGTAAAACAGGATCTCGATAATTAGTGCAAATTATCACACTGTCGGCTGGGATACGAAAACGTAGACGTTACCGGAAAGAAATTTCAGTGAAACGATTCGTCCCTCGTTTGACGTACTCTTGAACAACTTTGGTCAGGTAATGGGTTTAAGAGATTTTCAATCTCATTTCCAAAATTACTGAAGACCAAAACAGCTCGTGGTTCAAGAGTATTTTCAAACCTTAAAATTTCTGCATCATACAAAAATAATTAACATTGAAATCGCTCTCTATTGACAAAGAATCACTTAGAAATAATTATCGGTGTTCCGAGGGTAAAATTGTACGAAGAACGGGGGATGAATGGTGCAGAAGAATAAATTTCTGTTTCGACGTTTCTTACAGCCGCGTGTACGCAATCGCATAATTATAAAAGGATTAATCTTCTCCTTCTCATAATTATCACGTATATTATTACACTTATTATTATTATTATTCTGGTTATTATTATTATTACCATCGTCATCGCCATTATTATTATTATTATTATCATTATTATTATTATTATTATTATTATTACTATTATCATTGCTATTATTAATTATGATCGTATATATATATATATATATATTTTTTGTGTCTAGTAGCTACGTGTAAAACCTTAACACCTTTATTACTATTTAATTTCGTACCACTATAAAATGAAAGAAACAAGAGAGAAAAAAGTCTTGAATCACTTTACTTAACATCTATTACCACCGTTACTTTTTTCTATTTCACCTTCCCCATTTATAACTTACTCGCTGCTATAACTATTACTACTACTACTTACTACTACTTACTACTACTACCGCTACTACTATTGCCACCAACCACTGCTACTACTGCTACTATTACTACTACTATTATTAT